ACAGTATATATGACATCACGTACCCTGGCAGAGACGACGGCCAAAGCCATAGTTGATAGGATCGCGCTTGAGATAGTCCGGGTGTTTAGCGCTGGCAAAAGCATCCAGTTCATCCCCTAGGAAGCTCTCCGGCTGGAATTCATCGACGTTATCATATCGCAAAGATTCGTGGTGAAGATGATCTGTACTAGGGAGGATCAAGGTGGCATTTGAAATGGTGCATCCCATGTATGTGATCTCTTCCGCAGAGTCAGGCGGGGCCCGAAGCTGAGTATCGGGCTGTATCTATGTAGTTCTTTGAGAAGAGCTTTAATGGAAGGTAAATTGTCTTGCTCTTCCCACGTTGGGAGACGAGATGGCCCGACGACTCTAGCAACTTCTGCGATCAACTGGTTCATACAGGGCATGTCTTGCAGTCAATCGCTCCAGATTTGGTCTCTGCTGACCTTGTTGAGCTTTCTTCTAAGACTTAAGATGCCTATCCATGATTCTGATGAAAGAATTTCTGACGGTTGCTTCACCCCCGAGAGATATCATCCCGGATAGAATGTCAATGGCAACCTTGTCGTCAAATCTCCACTGCTTTTGACGCTCCAACATCTCTGCGCCAAAGCATACAAGCTCTCCTCCGGTCTCAATTTGCTTCCTCAACATCAAAAGAAACGCCATATGGATGGCATATTAGCGTGCATCAATTGAGTCTGCGAGGTGCACCCATGGCTAGAACCTCGGCGGAAACTTCTCCAAGAAGCGCAAATAGTCTATGATGAGGCTTCCAGATTACATGCCCAGTCAGGGTGGCACATTTGTCAGTTAAACTCAGAAATAATTATTCTCCAGAGAATGGGTTCCGTTACCACGTACGTAATAACATGGTTTCCCAAATGGCACACAGTTCGACCAAGATTAGGCTGTCAAGACGGCTAAGATCGACACCATATACAGCTAAAAAGATGACGCTCATTCCTCCTCATATATTAAATGAGACTCAAATGAGTCAGAATCTTCGCATAAAGTCAGTATAGATATAGACTCGTGATTTTGGTATTTCTTTAACACGCCGTGACTGCTTAAAGCCAAGACGATCCATGTATATGCGGCGAAAGAAGCGTAGTTCATTAAAGCAAGCAGGATGCAACCCCCAAGTTCTGTCAACACCATTATCTTTTCCGTCCAATCTCAGCACAGCTCGGTCTAGTCAGCTCTACTCTGCCCTGGCGATGCGAAATACGATCCAATCGAATAGACGCCTGTAAACTAATAACCTAGCCTCTCACACCCTACGATGTCTCATCGACGGCCTGCTCTGTATGGGCGAGGCCAGCCAAAATGAGTGTATCGGCACCCATCTCCGGCAGGTATATGTATGATTTGTCATATATAGCTGCATCGTACCAACGGCCCAGCTGAACATGATGGTACGAAGTGAGTGTTTGGACAAAGAGATGACGTGAGACGCAGAGAGTTTCCTGTTCCAAGCTGAAGCTATAGAGAAGTTGTGGTGCAGACAGTAGGCTGTTATCTGAGCATCTTCTTGCGAACCAATAGATACTTTCAAACACTAATCTATCCATGCATGTTATCACCTATATATACGAAGGAAAACAAATACAACTCTTGATTACATGTGCTCAATCCTTTCATGAATACTACCAGTTCAGGCCTGTAGTTCTCACAGTCGGATACAGGTATCCCGCTAATGTGGCACTATAGGAGCGGACGGAAGACCGATCTATCAGCTAAACAAAGGGCCGCTCCGCTGTGGGAATCCAGAATCACATCGATGGGTCTGTTAACTGAGAACCCGAAGCTTGGCAATGGTTCGTCACAAGTCACATTGGAGCCCATGTCACTCAAGGTTCAATTCTAAGATCAGAGCGTAACAATACAGAACTCAAAATAAACAAAGTCATTCGTATTATTGCTCACTCAAATATCGACAAACTCCAAGTATGCCCGTGCCCCTATATCCCATTAACCAGATACAAATACAAACTCCACATCCCCAAGCCTTTCCAGTAACAGCCAAGTATCGTCGGTATATCCAGCACCCGTAATTAAACAGCTCATCCTAAGCCAAATGGTGCGCAAAGCCCGAATTATCAAGTCCAAGGCAGAAGCATAGATGCTTTTATATCTGCAAAAAAAAAAAAAAAAAAAAAAGTCCGTTCCACCAATGTACTTGGTTAGCCGCTCCCTCGATTCACATCTGCGGCGGCACTCCCCTCTGCCGCCTGTTCATCGTCAACTTGGACAATCTTCCACCTCTTGACCGACCCTTGCATGTCAGCCCACAGATCTGTTGGAAGAAACTCGCCGACTTCTGATCGGAAAGCCTCTCGCTCAAGACGGTCAGTTTCGAGCATCTTGTCGATGGTCTCCTGTGCTTTGCGCCAAGTCACTTGCACTTTATCCTCGACGTTTCGGCGACGCGCAACCTCCATCAGCAAGCCGTGATAGGCGCTCGCATATCCCTCGTAAAACTCCGTCATCTGCGTCATCTCCTCAAGCTTGGTAAACACGACGTCCTTTTCCATCTCCCATCGAGTTCGAAAGTCTTCCTCGGCGGCCAGGTAGTCGGCAAGGCGATCACCAACCTCTCCCAGCTCAGCATATGCATCAAGCATGCCCAGGTGCGCCTTTCTAGTCTGTTCTGTGTGCTCTCCCAGTTCACTATACTTGCGCTCCACCTCGGCGAGATGCTCCTGGATATCGTGCACGACGCCTTCGACCAACTGCGCATCATGTATGACCACTCGTAGCATTTCGGCTCTATCTTCTGCTGTTTGTGGCTCGAGGTCGGATCGGTTGGACTCTTGCTCGGCAATGACTCCCGATAGTGAGACGCTCTCGCCATCTTGGGACTGGGTGACCTCGGCTGCCTTTCTGCGGGCCAAGGCTGCAGCTCCCTCCGTCGTTCGTATAGCCGTAACGCACATGTCGAAATGCTGCGTCAGAGAGGCTAGAGATTCAGCCATGGTGGCTGAGTGATCGAACAAGTCGAACAGTAGTTTCGATGCAGGCTCTTGAGATTCGGGCATTTCCACATTCTCAATGATTTTCTTGATGTTTCGAATATCGGTTTCGAGCCGGAGTAGATCGCCATCGAATGAAATTTGGATCGCCTACAGCGTCACCCGTCAAGGTCAGCGAACAAACAACGGGCCTGGTGCTATACGGAAACACGTACCTGCAGCTCCTCTATGCATTGCTTCATGGCATTTCGCATCCCGTGGACGCTCCCCTCGTCCACAAAATCCAGCAAACTCTTCCTGGGCTCCCCTCTGGGTCGTAGCGTCGTATCAACAGGTGTCGTCGTTAGCATGTCCATCGTAGCCTTGAGCTGTCCGTCGACTTCATCCATCCGCCTGACGAGCTTCATAAAGTCCTTCTTGCCCCATTCGCACGTCGCCTGCAGGCTCTTGCCCACGCGGCCCAGAATCAGCACCTGGTCGGCAATGGCATTTCGCAGAAACCCCGTCTGGGCCGCCAGCATGACCGTGTCTTCGTGAGACTGCCGCGCCGCCGTCACGATCTCGTCGGCTCGCAGCACGAGCGTCATCGACGATAGCGATCGCTTCGATACCAGCAGATGGTTGACGAGAGTGTCGACCGAGATGGCCATGTGGTCGCTGGATGGCCTCAGCGAGCCGGCCGATGACGAGCCCGGACTGCGCCGAGTCGAAGCCGCAGGCGAAACAGCAGCCATGGTGAGTTGTGTCGTGTATCGTAGATTCCGGTGTCGTCTCAATGGAAGGATGCCTCAGGCTACATGATGAGCCGAGACGGAGATGGATCGAGGTTGACGAAGAGACGAAACAGAGAGAACGTGACTCTCCGGGACATGGAGCTTCGAACTTCTGGGGAGGCTGATAAGACGCTGATAAGCCCAGGCGTCATGCCGGTGTCAACCTGCTGGACTTTACTGCTTTTAGCGCTCAATGGCCCCCTGCAGCGGCATACAGTGCAGTGTAAAGCGCCGCACACTGCAGGTACAGATACTCGCCGTTACACCGCAACTGTAGGTGAGCAGCTGGGCACTGGTACATCCTGGCCCCTGACAGGTGCGCTAGCTTCACTAACGGGTTAGCACACTTGGCGCTGGGCGAATCCCCCGAATCGGTGTGACGCAATGATTGGAACTGGAATGCGGAAATGCTAATGCAGCCTCCATTTGTGTGTGAGCTTGGCTGCCGCTGGTGCTTTATTAGATGGAAGTTCTTTTTGGAGGGTTGAATACATGTATAGAGTACAAAGATGTTCAGTCATCCAACTCCTTGTCGTAGTCGTATTCGTATGTGAATCAACTGTGCTCGGCATTCGATAGATGTACCTGTCCATATCCATCTACAGGCAAAAAGACACTCGCCAACTACATGGACTCTTTTAAACAACCAAGGAGACCATCTCTTGTGCCAGCTCTTTCTTCATGCTTGATTTTCATTCGCAATTCCATCTCCATCAATTTAGTAATTTCTACCTGATCATTCCAACATTCCAACAATCTACTTCGTCTTTGTCCTTCCGTCCCTAATCCGTGCGTCCCCATCATTCACCACCTCCTCCAAAGCAAGACTCCTCGGATAGAACAAACGACGCTTGCACATCTTGATCCAATCCGGCCGTTATATTAAATCCTCCTGTCTCATTACCGTCATAGTGAATATATCGACTTTCCGCAACGATGTATATAGCATGCTTTTCGTCTTCTTATAATACGACGTCGGAGATTTGGACAAACGGAAAACTCCAACACATATGAAGCGTGATACTCATTCACACAATAGCCAACTCACAATTCTACCATCTATCAATTATCAAATGCCAACGTCCAAAAAGCTCATATGCTGTATTAATTCGGAGATTCTTCAAAGATACACGTTTCTATCGAAACAATTCTAACAAGCAGAGTCTTGTCTACCAAAAGTCATAAACCGCATCATCTATGCGAAAAAGAAAAATGTCAAATCATCAATGGCTCATGCATACCATACCCAAAATCACTCCACCGAAAGACCAATGTCTCCCCCATTCTCCTCCGTAAGTCCCACGCCACCAGCATTATTCTGCGCATCGTCAAGATCCGCCTGGCCCTTTGTGCCCATCCCATCCAGCTCCCCACCTTCCATCACCGTCAACAGCTCCAGCTCAGAGTCCTTGGAGTAGACGCGGATGCCCACGATGCACACGGCGTTCCACGGCGCCGGCATCTTCTCCTCTTCCGTATCGTAGTCGTCCCGCGCTGCGGGGCTGGGATACGGGAACGATCTGGGCTTGCGCGTGTAGTCGTCGCTGCTATACAGCTCTTCCCAGTCCTCGACGGGGGAGTCGGACGAGTCTCCATCTGATTCTTCTTGGGCAGGTGCAGCATCTTCAGCTGGCGTTGTCTTCTCCTCAGCGTCAGCGGCCGGCTTGGACTCATCAGCTGCGTCTTCCGAGGCAGGGGGGGCTCCGCTGATCGGCGGCACGTCTTCCTTCTCTTCTGAAGGCGAAGGGAAGACGATGGCTTCCTCCGACTTTGGAGTGTCCGTAGGTGAACCGCTAGAATCAGAATCCGAGCCGTCGTTGATGTCATTGAGCGAAAGTTTGCCAACATCGATGGCGTCAATGGATGCAGCGAGGGAATCCTTCTCTTCCGCATCTTCAGACTTTTCCTTGATCTCGACGGTGGGCTCAACAACATCCGGTCGCTTCTTCTCCTCGGCTTCCTTCTTCTTGAGCTCTTTCTTCCGCTCCTTCTTCTCACCATTCTTCTGCTTCTGCTTCTTGGTGATCTCACGGCTGATGTGACGCCTCTCCCACTGCCTGCGACGCTCCTGCTGGCGGCACGAGGAAGCCTTTTGTTGGTCTCGCTGCTTGCGGATCTTGGCGACCTTGTCCATGTGCTCCCACGCCTTGCTGTGTGCCAGGTCGTAGGCATATCCAACTTGCGCCAGCTTTTCGTTTTCAACGCGGCCTTGGCTTTCTCTCTTGACCACCTCCTCCACGGATGGCTGCTCCTGGTCACGCTGGCCAGTTACCTTGAGATAAACGGTATAGTTTCCAGCGGGAAGATCTGGGAGCTCCACTGAGACGGATCGCTTCATGAAGTAGTTGCCGTGAGATCGCACAATGTAATCTTCCGCATCAGGTCGGTCTTCGTAGTGGAGGCGGAAGTGGAGGCGGAAGCTATACTGGCCCTGGAGACCCTTAAAGTATCGGCCATCCAATTGAGACAAAACGAGAATCAGGGGAGAGTCCTTGGTCAGCTTGATGCGGAACTTTTCATGATACTCGGCCTTCCAGGGAACGTCGACGCCGATCCAGCGCTGGCAGCACCGCCAGTCGGGGTCTCTGAACAGGCGAGTCCGGTCAAAGTGAGTGTATTTGCGGACCAAGTCTTCAAAGGAAATCCAAAAGACCGAGTCGCTGCCAAACTTGTGTCCCAGCTCCTCTTGAACTTCGGCGGTCCACTCCTTGGAGCCGTCGCTCCATGGACCCTCCCAAAGGCCCTTGCGGATTTCTCCCCAGGGGTTGCGGAGCTTTACCAGGCGTTGGCCTGACTTAAGAGTACGGGCATCGGTGACGACATAAGCGTGGGCCTCACTAATGCCATCACGCTGTCCGTAGCCATAATCCAAGAGGCCCGTCGAGCAGCCAAACATAAACTCCTTGTTGACCTTGGACATTTCATTGTCCCAGAATTCATCGAGGTCGAGAATGTCAGACGTAAGCAGCTCAGTGGTGACTCCGCCGGAAAGATCCTCCAAACCCTCTCCGATCCAGCCACCCGAAAGCGAGGCATAGTCTCCATGAGCTTTCGCGTAGGCCTTTTCGAGGAGCGGCACCCAGGTCTCGTTTTGGTCCTTGCACTGGGCAAAGAAGAGTGCCTTGGAGCCCGTCTGATATGTCTTTCTATAGACAGATTCAACGTCTTCGCGGTCGATCTGCTGGAGAAGGTCACGCTGCATGCTCGGTGAGTCCCAGCAGGGAGACTTGAGATACAGCTTGTCGTCGACGATTGAGTAGACCCACTCTCCATCTCTGTAGAAGAGAAATCCGTAAATGCCGATTTCTGTTGATAAAAAAGTCAGCATCGCTGCCACGTACAATATCATCAGTGGTGCCTCTATCTTACTGGTATCATAAGCGACGCAACAGCGCTTCACGCCATCTTCGACGCTAGCCAATGCAGTCAAGCTGGACATGAGCCAGCAGTCGCCGAGGCCTCCTTGCTTCACATCGCTTCCGTCGACAGGGTCCATGAATTTGGGCTTGTCGAAAATCTCATGAACTCTCTTGACGGCTTTTGGGACAACAGATTTGGAGCCCAGCAGAGTAGATCTGCTAACCTCAAACTTGTTGGTGCCAATGTAGTTGAGCGTGTTACCCTTTTCGTACTTTAAATCCCAGTCCTAGTGATAACGGTCAGCCAACCCATGCAAATAGAGCAATGCTCCAAGTGGTCACTCACAAGATCCCAGCCAGGGTCACGGTATCTCATATTGACTCTCTTGCACTCCTTGACAATCTTTTGGACTTTGCGCCGGCATTCTTCAGCAGCCCGCTCGTATCCTTCCGAGATCAACTCGTTCGGCCGATCCAACCCCGACCGGGGTGCGACAACGGGGTCAAAGGGAAGCACTGAAAGCGCCTTGTGAAACTTGCGGTTCGAAAACTTCTTCCATACTTTGTTGATGGACTGCTGGGGCGGCAGTCTCTTCTTCCGCTTCTTCTTCTGGTCCTGGTTGTTGCCTGACGAGGCCGGTTGCGAGCGCGGACGACGAGGGTCGTCCGACTCTTCGGATGAGCTGTAACCGTGCATCTTGTGTCTATATTCTATCGCAAGAAACCAAAACAGCAAAACAAATGTACCCTAAAGAGTGGTAGGAGAAACGGTGAAAGGAATGTAGCATGCAATGAAATGGAGGAAAGGCTCAGGAGAAGATCCGGTGTTCGGGGGGGGGGGGAGGCCATAAATACTCCTACACAGATTTTCTTCTAGCCTCAAACTCTCCTCGACTATCTACGGAAACTGCCTAACTTTCCGGACAGAGGGCGAGGCAAATTTGGTGTGGCTTTGCGACTTTCACCGACATCTAGAGATGAACGCCCATTTGCCATATCAGACAAAGAGGCCTCTGACCCATGCTAGGCCCAACCTCTAGCTGGAGCCGCCGGCTTTGAGATCTATACATACGCTTGTGGGGTGCGCTATCGGTCGGGGCTAGGATGGGGGGCCGCCGTGGACATGCCTTGTTTGGTACTGTATGGAGTATGCATGCCTACAGTAGGTAGGACAAAGAAGACGCTGACGGGCCAGCGTCGAGTGTAAGATGAAGCCAGCTTCAGGCGGCAACGAGGTCCTACTCGAGTTGAGCCGCGAAAGGCGGCAGCTGGTAATTGGACCAGCACTGCTGTCGAAGGATCTCTCCGCATGAGCCCTTTGTTACACCAAATTGCTCCTGTGATACTCTCCTCGGCTGTCCAACCGGCGGAAGCGGTGCTGAAAAACTGCCCAGAAGATGGTGGGCAAGCGCATTGACGCCCAAACGAGGTGCGTTGCGTGTGTATAAGAGTGAAGGAATACTGTGTCTTGTCACCGCGGGTGGCGTGGGAACCATGTATGTAATCACGCCGTTTCTTCCCAAGACAAAGCCTCTTTGGCTGATAAATCCGCAGAACGATGTGCAATGGCTCTTATCCGCAACGACCCTTTGGACCCTTTGCTTTGAAGGGGTCTTACAGCAAGCGTGTATCCACTGAATCGTTGTTTGAATCCGTGGGGTCCGACGTTCCCCCTGACCGCAGGGTCCCACACGACCACAGCCGCCAACTGTCTAGCGGGATGAGACGGACGGCTCAATGGGATTGTCGTTTTTCAGGGTCCAAACACCATCACGACGGCTCAGCTGGTTGCCTGGACCAGGACATGGTTAAAACGCCGCTGTTTCTGGAGAGAATCGCATTGGGCAGTAGATCAAAGGTGAGGAGGTTAGTAGCGGATGTCGAGAGGAAGATATTGGCCTATCACTGCCGTGATCACGTCTTATGCTGACCACCAAGACGAGCCCCAAACGGCGCAGTGCATACGGAGTCAGGGAAGAGTAGTCTGGCTCCTTGCATATCGCGGCTCGTTTTACAGGCTGATCCGACAAAAGAGGGATAATGTGACTGGGAGTTGCGGACGCTTGGCTGTTGCCAGAGCCCGCATAAGATCAACATTTGCCACTCTTCCGACGCCGGGGGTGCTAAAACATCGCTTGGACTGTCCGAGTACGTGCGAGCAAGCGAACAACGGACTCCCTCCCTCACAAGCGCCAGAGTTGCTGTGCTCCCCTCCCTTCCTATTCCATTCAGTCTTTCCTCTCTCGTATACAGTATGGGAGGGTGCCAAGGGTGCCCGGAAGACGGGGACCTTGTCCTTCTGAGTGAGTGATCGACGGCTTCACAATTCACGCTCTCCGAAACGCTGTCCGATACCGAATGCCCGAAAGGAAGTGTGTCTGCATCAACTGAGGGCGCTTAATCGCAATCGCAACCACAACCCATCCCGTTTGATACCCGAAACTCGGGCTTTTTGGGTTGGCATTCACAAGAGTCAATAGTGCCCGATAGGAACCTCAGCACAACCGAGACGCCACCACTCAGAAGCTGCGAGAATGTCTGGCTTGACCGCCAAGGAGGGAGAAATCGCAACATGGCGGCCACACCGACAGCCTCGAGGCGCAAAACGAGAACAAGCGGTGCTTGTCAGAGGCCACACCAGGTAGCCCCCAAGTAGTCGGTACCCGGGCTCTGGAGCGCAACTGGAGCACATCTTCTCAGCAATCGAGAGCCGACCAGCGTCGCTTCAACCTCTGGGGAACGGCTGGAGGACCCTGACAGCCGCCACACGCAACGATTCCCCACCATCCAGTGCCGGCGAGACAGTGTGCGGGCTGCAGAAACACGTGGCAGCAATCGCCATTGCCGAATATCTCCTCAGCCGGACATCGAGGCGGGTGAATCGAATCACCTGCTGGGTTGGCTTGATCGTATCCAGAAATAGGGCCCAGGCAGCCAAGTCTGGGGGAGGCTGAATCCGAGATGCGCGTCAGAGGGCGAGGCTGAATCGAAGTTGCTGGGACGGGGATGAAGAAGCGAAGCCAGCATCGTAAAGGGTAGGTCTGGTGAAATTGGAGCTGTAGGGCGCAGGCAGGCAGAATTTAGCGACTGGACCCCTAATGCGGTGCTGGAATTACCCGTAGCGCATCACTGGAGCCAATTACTAAGGCGGGCGGTGGCGCGTTACAGTGGCCATTCTTAGGGCCTTCCAGAACCCCTGCATGGCGATAAGGTTTCAATTGTCCTATCAGGTTGCCTCCGAAGACGGGACCGACCTCACTGAATGATTCATTTTTCCCATCCAATGGCAGTTTGATGACAGATTGGCGGCTGAACTGCACGGTGTTGTGATTAATTGCACGGTCTTGATTATTGCGACATATTTGGATCAAATGCTACCTGCACGCTCATGTGGCTTGCTGCCTAGAGGTTGCTTCATCGTGAGGCTTTAGTGCCAGGCGTCTTATTGGCGCTGACAAGCACAGTACGGGCATGGCGTCTAGGACTCGGTGTTGTGGGCTGCTGAAGTCGTGAGAGCTACCATACGGGTGAGTCAATGCCGTATATATGGGGTAGACGTCGTATAAGGAACTATTTTTCGAACTCGTAAATTGGCAAACAACTGACTAAAAGAGCCTCAATGATAGGTAGCAGAGACATTCCACCATTCTACAGGTGGCTCAAACCATTGCACATGTATGTGAGCCATCACAGACACATATAGGAATATATGCCTCGGAATATACAGCATATGCACATCCGATACTCAGATCTGATATTAGCAGTTTCCCATGGGAAGCTGAGAAATAGCTCCTTCTTTCACCAAAATGTACTTTCATGACGAGCCGAGAGGCTCATCTCTTAATCAATGACTCTTGTAAGCCATCAAAAACGAATACACGTATGCAAGCCCCAAACATACGCTTCAATTCCGATATTCACATCTTAAAAATAGCAGCGTAGCTTTCATTATCCCTAACAATCCGCAACTCGTGTACTCGTACTCGCCGTCTTTGGATCCGGAGCCTGCTCCTCCAACGCCCTCGGCAACGCATCCTCCCTCTCATCTTCAACATCATCCTCATCCGCTCCCACAACAAACACCTCCCGATTCCTCCTCTCCACCCGCCTCCTCCACGGCCCGTAGACCAAAACAGATCCGATCCCAACAATGACAAAAAGCCCGCATATGCTCCCGCCAATAATGTCAAAATGATCTCCAACAGCCGAGACGCCGTCCCAGAAGCGGCCCGTCGGGTTTGCCACGTTTTGTGCCAGCGACAGGACCTGGATGATGCCGATAAAAGCAGAAACCACAACGGTGATGCCAGTCAGGACGATGGAGTAATACAGAATGGCAACGACGTCTCGTGAAAAGGCCTTGGACGTGTAGAGCGCCATCATCAGCGCCCCGTCAGTGCTGTCTACCAGGCACATGCCAGCTAAAAGAAGCACATTTCAGAATTCAAAAGCACACACTACTCTCGTCAAGCAAAACTCACATGTAAACAGAATAGGGAAAATGAGAATCAGCCAGATGCTCGTCCCCTGCACGGCCTGGACGCTCGCAATCCCCAAAACAGCAATCTCTGAGCTCGTATCAAACCCGAGCCCAAAAACCACGCCTAGCGGATACATCTTCCACGGCCGATCAATCGTCTTGAGGAACACTTTCAAAAGCCGTGTCATGAACCCGCCTCCCGTGAGCTGAAGCTGGTTGTTCGCCTGTGCCGCAGCAGCGTCTTCCTCGTCCAAAGCATCGCCATCGCCGATCCTCCGCTGCGCAAGAACTTCTTTCAGCCTCTTGACCAGCTTATAAAGCACCCATCCGTTGCCCAAGCACAAGATGATGAGAACGGCCGCGCTGACGCTCGTGCCAATGATGTTTCCCACTCGTTGAAACCCGTCAAAGCGTTCTCTTAATGCGCCGCTCGTCGCCGCCACGACGATACACGTAATGATAACAATTGTGCTGTGGCCGAGCGAGAAAAACGTCCCTACAGTGGCTGGGCGCTGCCCTGAAGCAATGAGCCGCCTCGTCATGAGGTCAATGGCCGCGATGTGGTCTGCGTCGAGAGCATGACGAAGACCCAGGGCATATGAAAGCGCAGCGGACGAGATGAGAGCCGGATGGAAATGCAGGACGATGGCGACGACGATCCATACCAATATATTGACGGTGATGAGAATGGCAATTATGCGGATGCTGTTGGAGGGGATGCCATGAAGAAACTTTGGTTTGGGAGGCAGTCTGACGGAGGGGAACTGGAGGGGCATTGCTGATGAGGCGGGATTATCGCCTTGCGACCTCTCGAACCAGCGATTATCATGAGAGAGAATATGTATTAGCAGCTGTTTGTTCTGGCCCTTTGATTTTATCCGCAGAAGCAGCCCCTCTCCTCCATCTTAGGGCTGCGTTGATTAATACCCGCGATTACTGCACACGGCACGACATCGACTTTTGATATCAGCGTTGCATCACCAAACCAAGACTAACAAGCGTGTGCCCCGCCGACGATTTGCTGATAAGGACGGTGAGAATTGGAGCTAAGATCGCGATGTAAGTTAGCTTGGAGATAGCTGGACGGCGTTGTGTAATACCGCTTGTAGCGCTTACACATCGTATCTAGGTGACCAATGTATGGAGATGGTCTTGAGTAACGTGGGAAGATTAGTGGTTTTATATACATCTCGGCTTCATCATCTATCTACAGGCAGACTCAATGATACTACCTGGACTTGTTAGGTTAGTAGTTAACAAGAAAGAGAGAAGAAGAAAAGCGATAAATGCGGGGAAGACGGCTGCTCGAGTCATTTCTCTGTACATGCAATCCATATATCTTGCATGAGGCACCACTTCACGATACACGTATACTTACATGTATACTAACAAATCCAACTATTCCACATCATTCAATACAATCTCATATTACCTTTGAAACAAATCAATAAAAAGAACTCCCAGCTTCACTTTCACATCCCATCACTCTACAGCCAGCCCCTCAGCCCCAACCTTGCTCGCCTCCTCGTTCAACGCATCAATCTCAGCCCTCACCAACGGAATCCCCGTCCTCTCCCTCTCCCTCTGCGTCAACTGCTCAATCTCCCCCGGGAAATAAATCCTCTCCACCCCCGCCGCCTTCTGCGATCCCACCACCCGTCCATACAAGTACTCCATCCTGCCCCGGAACTCGTCCAAGTCCATAAACAGGTCCGGCTTCACAGCAACGAGAAAGTGTCCCACGTCCGCCGGCTTCGAAGGGTCATACGGACCCGTCACTTGTCCCGCAAACGCGGAACCCGACAAGACTCCCGAAAACACATCCATCATGATGGCCAGCGCCGACCCCTTCGGTCCGCCCATCGGCAGCATCACGCCGCCCAGCGCCGCCTCCGGGTCGTCCGTCGGCCTGCCCTCCGCATCCAACGCCCAATCCAACGGAATCTTCTCGCCCCTCCTCTTCGCCTTGTAAATCTTGCCCCGTGCCGCCACCGACGGCGCCATGTCCAAGATGAAATTCTCCATGTCTCCCTTTCCTGGCGCGCCGCACGCAATCGGCGACACGCCCATGAGCTTCTCCCGTCCGCCCCACGCAGGCAGCGCGGGGCTCGAGTTTGTAAAGACGAGGCTCATCATGTCGGCGTCCAACGCCTGCTGCACCGCCCACGCACTCATGCCAAAGTGGTTCGAGTGCTTGATGCTAGCCATGCCAATGCCGTAGACTTTGGCCGCCTCAATGGCCGCCGCCATGCCCATGTGAGCGGCTACGAAGCCAAAGCCGTTGCGTCCATCGACTTGGGCCACGACGGGCGTCACTTGCTTCAGTTCCGGTTGTGCTGTGGCATCCAGGACGCCCTGTCGAATTCGTTCCATGTATGAAGGTATACGGTTCATGCCGTGCGTATCAACGCCTCGTAGATCAGCAGCAATGAGACAACGTGCTACTATCGCCGCATTGTCGGGGGACACGCCGTTGCCTTGAAGAATGTCTTTGACGAGACGCCGGGCCTCTTCAGCTGCGACATGGATTTTCGGTGCACTTTGTGCTTCAGCCATGTTGTATATGATTTGATTGAAACTGAGTGTCAATGGTATACTGAGACTCAAAGAGATATGTGGTGAATAAATAGACGTTCAATTCGTTTCATTGCAAGTGGACTTGATGTTAGTCAAGACGGCGGGGCTCCGAAAGCGATCTCGGGCTCCGCGCGGAGATGAAGGTTCCCAACAACAAACAAACACACAGACAGGCAGTGACGAATGGATTCACTTTGACATGCGTAATTTCGAAAAAGATGAATTATTTCCATCAATAAGAACATCAAGAACTCGCCTCGGCAATTTTTGAAGCAACGATGTATCTTTGCAAGCTCCCACTTCACCCCGCAATCCGCTCTATAAACGGAGCACTCCGTGGGTGCGGAGCGCTCCGTGTAGATACGGCAAATATCCGCATCAGCAAGTGGTGCTCAACAGATGACCACATCGCAGCAAAAAGAGATAATAACAGAGATACAGAGAAAAAGTGAGAAGAAATCTTGATGTTGATCGTTTCTGTCGAAGTTTAGAGCAAAAATAAATAGCAAAAAATAAATTTGACTCGGCGAAGAACCAATGCGTCATCCGGAACTCGAATCCGGGCCTCAACTTTTCGTGTTAATGGAAGAGTTGAATCCTAACCCCTAGACCAATGACGCTTTGTTGTTGGATAATGGCAGACTTTCTCAACTCATATAACACTTGCACTGTTCCAACCAAACATTTCCAACACAGTCTCATAATCTCCTAGTGCAATGATTCACTCAACATCCAATAAGTTGAAATGCCTTTCATTCATACAGGTGTCACCCACCGGATGCAAAACATCAATACTTGTGTGAATCCAGAGTCATTGCTCGCTGTTGAAAAGTGCGCCCAGCCCGTCAATCGGACGAGATTGTGTACACTCATAGCCATAGCGTGGGGTTAGAATATCGACTGGTGTTTTGCATAAAACGTCTAGATATAATTTGGACGAATTATTAGAGAACAAGAATCTCACTCTTTCGTCATTAATATTCCTGACGAGCCATGTTCGATCAGGTTTGGTCTGTTTCAAATATGAGTTACATGGCAGAAGCGATAAGGGCTTAAATTCTGATAACCCCGTATGTTCTGTGCAGCTCAACCTTTGATTTCATACGACAATCAGTCACCATTGTGTCCTTGAATATGAAGTACCTCCACTGAGTTCCATCATTTCCCATCAAGGTGCCATCGCAGTCAATGTAGCCACTGATACTGTTCACACCTTCAACTTCCGGTTTCCATCTCCTCTGATAGACAGTTCCCTTTCGCGATAATCAATAGATCAAAACCGAATGAGGCTGCCTATACAAACCGTGTCGGATGTCAAAATGTCGTGCAAAGACTGCAACGCAAATCGTTCCAGAATCTCTGCTCACTCCTTCGAACTAAATGCCTCCACACATAGCATCAACAGAATGGCAACTTCAACCCCTTGTATAAAACCACACAGGTTCTGAAGACTCGAGTCCTTACGCCGTAAAGAGATGAAGATGAAGATCCATGCCTAGTTATATCCTCCTCATCTCATAACCCATCTCACATAATTTCGCAATGCAGCTTCCACCAAAATACAATCTCCATCAAACCCACCACTCCCAACCCAATCTCACACCATCCCCTCAACACATACACTCTCATCAACAAAAACACAAAACCATGCCATACAAACCACAAATCACCAAAACCCCTAATTCATCGTATACTCATCCGGCTCCAACCCCCCCTCACAGCCCCCCCAAATCCCCGTCACAGGATTACACCTCGCCCCCCTCCCCCCAGGCATCCTCACAGCATAATCGCATCCCCACCGCGAACTCAGCTCATAGCCCGCAAAGTCCGTCGACACAATGTGCGCCCCCGACCGAAGCGCCGCGTCGCGCCGAGACACATTGCACTTTTCCTCGAACACCGTCCTGAGGGGCTCGTCGGCGCGGGTGCGGACCCAGTAGTTTGCGCGGACTTGGGCTTGGATGAAGTCGACGTCTGCATCGGTTAAGGGATCGTTAAGCTACACAGCATTGTCAGCTTCCACGTGCTTCACTCAACAGAGCATCACCGTCAGACTCACCCTTTGGAATGCACAGTCGCCTTGTCCAGGCGCGCTATTCGTAAACAGCACTCTCCCCTCCAGATTCGGCCGCCCCTCGATATACGCATCCCGCACATCATGAACCGGCCCATTGTCCATCAGGAAAAAGATTCTCCCCCTTGCGCTGTCCAAATCCGGCCATCCGTGCTTCAAGACGGATTCCTCCAGCGTCAGGCCGTCTCTGCGCACATCATCCGGAGTAATGAGCTGCGACTTGTCGAAAACAGACCGAATCTCCTCATCGACGACGTTCAAAAGATCAGTGTCCCACGGCACCACCTTGGCACCACCAAGCCTTTCTCCCAGCTCCTCGGCCGTCTTGAACTCCATCATGATGGGCAGCGGCACGCTATCCGGGTGCGCATCCATCCACGTCTTGATGACGCGCAGACAAGACACCAGCGTCGAGCAAGTAGTGTGGTAGTCCACATCCGGTATATGCAACACCTTTGTCCCCTTCTTCTTGAGCTTCGCATCATCCAGCGGGCCCAGCCTAGCAAACCTTCTAAGCAGCGGATCACTATACATGCCGCCCTCAGGATCCGCAAGCAAATCCAGCCTATAGCCCGTTAACAATCCTCTCTCTTCTTCTCATAATCATCACGTTCAAGGAGAGCGAGAGCCTCACTCTAAATTCCTCACGTGGAGATACTCCAACTGCGCATCCAGCGCAGCATGCGAATACTGCAGATCCGTCGCCGCAGACGTAAACGCAGTCTGAAGATCGCGCTCCGCCTTGGGTGCCTCGACGTGATAGCTGTTGTGCGACCCGACGACCTGCATGTGATTCATCCGCACCGCGCCCCTTGTCCAGACGAGCCCGTTGACGCCGCAATCCCACAGAAGCCCATCCTGAGAGCAGTCGCCCACGAGGACCTTCTGAGACGTCGGGGGAGCCGCCACAGCACCGAGGGCGACTAAAGACGCATGAACATCAGCTCTCGAATCCCGAAAATAAATTGTAATAAAGCAATGAATTCATCGAAAAGTTGAGCATCCACTCCACTTACAGAAAACACAAATCAACCGTCGCGATATCATCGTCGCAATACCGTCACCTGCACTCTCCTCTCTCAAAAGCGTCGGAATGTCCGGGGGGCAACAAAACGAAAACGAAAACGTCAATCAATCCTCAATACAGCACATCAATGAGAGAAAAAAAAAAATGGGCTATATATAAATCCCAATGAGCGCTCCGTAATGGCAGAGAAAAGAAAGAAGGAAAGAAAAGATGGAAATAAATGCACGTGTAGTTGAAAACGGGAGGCAAATGCAAATCAAAAAAAAATGGCGGATGACACAACATATTGGTAGTGAGACCAACCAAGCCACAGGGGACTATTACCGCCCATTTAGCAGCCCAACTTTGCGTCAACTTTCGAGGTATGGAGCCTCTCTTTTGGTTGATCCTTGCTCTGTGACTGGTCGTGAACAAACCTCCAAAGGGACGATCATCGGGGGCCACATGATTGCCTCGCCCGTGCCCCTCAACCTTGTGTCAACCTCCAACTGCCGTTCCAGCGTATCATGACTATTGCTTCTCCCTGGGCATGTCCGCCGCCATGCTGTCTCGGGCCCATTGGGGCAGGTCTCACTTACACAGTAAAAAGTGGCGTCTAGCATTCACGATTCATGATTTTACAATAACAATACAACTGCAAGAGAGTAATACTAACCTATTCATCCAATAAAATGGCAGTGGACGCATCCACGGTAATTATCATCTAGACTACCTAGTACCTACTATGCTTGACTTGTTCCCTCGCTGCGCCTGATCAATCCGTAGCTAACGCGCCTGTCCCTTCCCACCCATCCACCCATCACCTAGCAATAGAAAGAAGCATAAAGCAAGGGAAGCAAGACGAAAAAGGTCTGCTGCCCTGCCTCGTCCGTGGTATAACGTTACAATTCATACAAAAATACATCATTCCTCAGTGAGCCTGCTGCTCACCCGCCTCGCGCGGCCACTCCTTCGAACTCCCGAGTCTTCGTCTTTCCGACTTGTATTACCTGCTCTGTTGGGCCCTCTCTTGGTCGCCCTGCCCCGATCGTCATCCAGCTCCTGTGTATCGTCTCTGCTCTCGCTCAAAAGTTTTCGACCTCTTGCCCTCCGCTCGTCGTTGGAATCGAGGAACCGGTGAATCATCCTGTGATCGAGGATGCGCTCTTCTTTGTCTGATGGCCCCGTCTTGTCCGTCTTGGGCCATGCGTAGCCGTATATCTTTGAGTGCCGCTCGCACCTGGGGCAAGAAGACCGGGTAAAGTAAGCGTTCTGCTGAACAAAGTAGTCGCTGCAGTTTGTGCACTGAATCCATGCCATGTCGGGCTCCGACAGGAGTAACGGCGTGAGCACATAGTCGCCGGGTTTGCGTACTCGAGCGGGAGGTGGTGTCGATTGTTTGGGAATTGGAGCTTGTCGTTTGCGGCGCTTCGGTTTGTCCGCACTCGTTGTCGCTGCCTCTATTGTTGATTCGGCCTCGGCCTCTGCTTCAATTTCCACGTCTAGGTGCGTCTTGACGTGAATTTCTGCCTCGATTTTGATTTCTGGTTGCTCCTGTTCCGGCTGCTCATCTTCTGGCTCGGGAATGAGCTCAAACTTTGACTCGACCACGGGCTGGCCAGTCACTCGTACATTCGCCACAAAAGGGTAGTATGCTTCGGGAGAATCGTCGGTGGATGATGGATCGTTGAGGATGGAAGAAATCGACATGGTTATCAGCTGCCGTGGCCTTGGGATCGACTGAACGGGAGCCTCTACCGGTACCATGTCTGGAGATGCACGGCTTCCCATGCTCCGAGGAGAAACGGGCTCCACCGTGATGCTGGTGACGTCTTTATAGCCGTGTCGCTGCTCATTCTTGGATGTGTCCAAACGCTCTGCTGAGAATCTTGGCGACGTCTGCGCCTCTGGCTGCGGGCTCTCCTTTTCGGGCGACGCGGTATCCGTCTCGCGGGCATCCGCATGGCTGGGGGTCACGCTCCTGGTGCTCGACGAGTCGTCAACGCTCGAGGCCGCGCTGGGGAGAGAGAGTAGATTTGACGAAGCGGTGGATGATTCGGACAAGAGCTTGAGCCTCTTGGCCGGTGTGATTGGCGGAGTCGCCATTGCGTCCATGGTTCGTTTCCGCCCTCGCGGCGTTGCTTCGGGCGCGGGGGTCGGAATCGCAGATGTTTCCTGAGCATCCTGCCTCTTCACCTTTGGCTTCGTCTTGTAGATGCGTGGCCGCATGTCGGGCGTCACCGAGGAAGTGCGCGAGGAGCCGCCAATGCTGTCGTCCCTCCGCCGTCTCCGCAGAGAGTACGTCTCTTTCCGTTCATCGTTTTCGACGCTGATTTTCACGTTGACCGCTTCGCCTTCAGGTGCCCATCCATTCCTCAGCTCTTTTTCGCATGTTCGGCACAAACACTCGCAGTTGTCTTCCCCAAAATAGCAATCGCTGTACGTGACTGTAATCTCCTCGCCGACTTCAATGGGCCGAGAGGCCACAATCTCAATGGTGGACTGACTGGTGGTCATGAGCTTGGCGTTTGCGCGGCAATCGTGGTTGGCGAATCGCGCCGGTCCCATGAACAAGCTGGTGCACTTCTTCCTGGAGCTGACCACGATGCTAAAGTCCTTTTTGCGGACCGTGATTTCCGTTTCCTCCTCGGGGGTGATGTTGATTTGTATGCCGGAGAGGTACTTGATCGTCTCATTGCGCTTAATGTATCGCCTGGCAATGACGCATGCTTCGTGGGTGACGATGGTGTATCGGTTGGTGGTGCTGACCTCCCAAGGGCAGTCGGGCATGTAGATGCGAAGATATCGTCGCAGATGCTGCACAAAATCGGCCTTTTCCTTGTCCAGCCTCAGGCCATTGACATACCTCTTGAGGCCGTCCACAGACGTCAGCAGCCGCTTCTCGGCGGCCTCGAGGTCCTTGTTCACGACGACATCCTCCTGGATGATCTTGGCCACCTCACCCTCTCGGATCCCCCGTGATGGGTGGTAAGACGAGCGATTCTTGGGAACCGTGGCCCAATAAAAAGCCTGGCGCAAGTCAAAATTAGATGCCCGTCCTTCACCTGCATTGCGCACTCGTACTCACATGGTCGACGAGCGCATCCGTTAGAATGTCGTCGTAAGCGGCCAGCTGGGAGAGGGTCAAGCGCTGCTTCTTGGCCGTTGCCCCGGCAGCCTTTGGCGGCGGCATTGTCTAGACGGTGATTATTTGTCTGCAGAGAAAATATCTCCGGATGCAAACCCGTGAATCGACACGAGCAAGAATCGCACAGGGCGAGAGAGAGAAAGAGGATGAGGGGTTTTTTTTTTTTGCTGGCGCCAACAAAATGTTGCTGTTTTTTTCAAGGAGCGGACAGAGAGAGCTCAAGATTCCCTCATAACTCTAATTTCCACCCGTCAGCAGCTGCGCCGGCTTCCGTCACGGATGAAACACGCAGCAAGGCTCCGTGAGCGTCGCAAATCTCGCAGGCCGCGGTCGCTCCGGCGATGAGAATCACAGACCGAGGCGCAACAGGAAGTTGAGTTGCGGCGTCGAGAAGAAGAAAAAGAAGAGAAGCTCTGCTCTTGTCACCTGGAGCGTCTCGACGTCATCACTCCCAAGCTACCCTATCCAGCCCTGTAATAGCGAGATTCAAAGTTTAAAAAGAAAAGGGGAATGAAAGCAGCTAGAAAAGGACGGCAAGGTTGATGGAAGCAAACGAAAGCGCAAAATCCGTAAGGCAAGGGAAAAGCAAACAAGAAGAAGAAAGTGAGGCTGTCGACAGTGCCTCGGAAAAGTCTCAAGCCATCAAATGCAAGCAGAAAAAAAAAACAAATTGAAAGCGAGAAAAGAGGTGAAAGTGAAAGGGGCCGCCTTGCAGGAAACCGCAGCTGCCAATGCAATGCAACGGGCTGGTCACCGCACTATACAGGATATTCTTAGCCCCAACTAAGCTCTAGCAGGGAAAACAAGGCGCCGGGCCAAAGCCAGCCAACGAGCAGCAAAGAATTTGGCTGTCCGGGCGACGGATGGAGAAAAAAGCCCTTGTTGAAGCTCCAGTTTTTCCCGTTTTTGCCCTTTTCAGCGAGCTTGGAGAAAAACGGACAGGGATCGGGTCAAGTTGGTTGTTGATCCAGATTCAGGCACCCCCGGGTGATGAGAGCCGAGGATTAGCCAGCCATTGGGGGATGGTGGACGGGAGTTGCAAGCTAAAAAGTCACCGATGGGCTGGTTCTGGGAAGCGGCACGTGACATCGAAAAGTCTCAACGCCAGAGGTGGGTTTTTGGCGATGCCTTCAGTTGGGATGAAGATACAGACGATTGATTGGATGAGCCTTGCATAAGTTGCTGCTGCTGCTGCTGCTGCTGTTTATCACAATGATTCAATTAAAGGTGAGCAGCATCATTGACAGCTCCTCCTCTTCCTCTCTTTTCTTACTACAACAGCTGTGCTAATCACTCGTTCTCCTTCTCCATTCAACAGACGATGCTCAACTGCATCGACAACTCGGGCGCCGCCCTCGTCGAATGCGCCCTCGTCGTCGGCCAAAAACGACACGCCAGAATAGGTACCATCACCACCACACAACGCCTACGACAATCCCCAATCCCTCGAGTACACCCCAATGCTAACCAACCTCGACTCAAAACCACAGGTGACCGCATCGTCGTCGTCGTCCAAGAACAGCGCGGCTCCTCCTCCTCCGGCATGGCCGGCATCTCCGCCGCCGCAAAGGTCAAGCGCGGCGACATCCGCCACGCCGTCGTCGTCCGCACGCGGTACCCGACCCAGCGCCGCGACGGCACCGTCGTGCGCTTCGACGACAACGCCTGCGTCCTGCTCAACAAGTCGGGCGACCCCGTCGGCACCCGCATCAACGGCGCCGTGGGCGCCGAGCTGAAGCGCAAGAAGTGGAGCAAGATTCTGTCCATGGCGCCCATGCAGGCATAAGGAATGGAATAGAGGACGTGTGTGTGTGTGTGTGAGAGAGAGAGAGAGAGAGAGAGAGAGAGAGAGAGAGAGAGAGAAGGGGGGAATAGAGGCAGCTGGATGGATAGATGTCACAAAAATGCAGGAGGGGGCAACAAGGTGTCGTCTCCATGTACGAGTTGGGATGGATCATGTACGATTACGAAAAAATACTCTCTGGTGGCATTTACTTTTACATGGCGTTTACGAAATGAGACATTTGATCAACAAGACACACGATTCTTTGCCTACACCGAATTTGATTTGCAAGACTATCTACTAAGGTATAAAAGTGCCTCTGACATGACAATCTGTATGACATGAATAATGCACAGAGGCTTTGAAATCATGACAATCTGTATGATTTGAATAGTACACAGAGACTTGAAAACAACACAAAACAACAACAAGTCACTCTTTGGAAATGAAGTGACTGGATTCATGCTCGGTGTGGTAATACAACACCGGCCTAACAAACAAACAAAAAACTCCCTCTAAATATGCTCCCCCCAACGCCGTCATCCGTCTTTTCCAGGTTTCGGTGGTACGCAATTATGGTAGACTCTAGATGTGCCACTTTCGGTAGCATTTTCCGTCCCCGACGCCAACTGTAACAAGACAGGGAAAAAAAGAGAAACAAGAGCAAAGCTCTAACTAGGTCTGACGCTGGAATGCTTTGGCAATTCTTCGTTGTTCATAGTCAAACTCTGTGAGTAAAGCATGAACACGACCAATCGTAAAGGCGATGCGTTTAATCGAAGATGTGACCACACTCGCAACAAACGTAAAACAGTTTCTGCATCGCGGCAAGCCGGGTTAACCAAGAATTCAAAACCCAGAACAAAACCCCCCGGGGACAGGCGCTCACCATGCCAGTATCAGCACTGCGTTCTTGTGACTGAAAGAAGACGGCTTCTTGATGACTGCATCTCGGGCACGCCTTGTTGGATCGTGGGAGCTGTAGTTTGGAAAAAGCAAAAAGAAACGCACAGTCAGCCAGCTGCCATGTCAGATATGCAAACACATATAAAGGAAGCACGACTGAAAATCCACGACAGGACCCCGGCCCATTGTCACAATCTCAGGTCCCCATCGGTACGATAAAAACACCAAGACGGCGGGACAGGGTCAAACACCAGAGCAGTATAATAGTAATACAGGGTATCGATCGTCATCGTAAACATTGGCGGGAGAGACAAAGCTCGCACCGCCGCAAGCCGTCGTAATAAGTCGAGGCGGGCATCCAAAGGGTCAGGGCCACCGTTCAAAGGGTGACGAGGACCGCGCCATCATCGCAATGACCAACTTCGTCTCTGAAGGAGTGGATGGAGTCGGTTTCGGTGGAGCTGTCGGTGCTGCCGAACTCGACGTCTTCCATCATCTCTTCGTCGTATTCCTCAAAGGGGTCGTCGGAAATGAACAGGTTAAACTGAGCCATGCCCATGGTCCCAACGCTACCCGGTCGACAATCGGAATAATCGTCGTCGTCCTCGGACTCGCTCGGGGAGGGCCAAGAGTCGAGATGGCCGTTGGCAGGAACTCCACAGGTGTTGCAGGAGATGACGGTCTCGCAGAAAAGGCACAGGACTGGCACGAAATCACTAGTACTAACCGTGGGATCAGAGCCGACGTCCTGAGTGACACCGGCCGTCTCGCCGGACGAGTTGTTGAGCACGTTGCGGAAGACGCACGTCGACTGGGCGTCCTCGGTGTACTGGCAGGTGCGGCAGGTGAACTGCAGCTTGTGCGCGTCTTCGTCTTCCTTGGGGTAGAGCATGTTGGAGCATTCGGAGCAGAAGCGGAACGTGATTTGCTCGAGCTTCTTGGGGCCGGAGAAATCGTCCGAGGTGGTGGACTGAGGAGTCGCCATTTTGGTGAGTGTGAGAGTGAAACAAGAGGATGGGGGGTGACGATGTGAAGAGAGGAGATGGCGATGCTCCTGGGTTCGAAGTCGACGTCGATGGTTGTCGTTGTCGAAAGTAAAGGGAAAAAAAGGTTTGGAAGAGCAAGGTTGAGAGATCAAGTGCTGAGATGACTTGGGTGCAGCAAATGACGGGGGAAAAAAAAAGTCCAGGGGGTTCAATGATTTGCCGCCTGGTAGTGGGTATGTGGTGGTAGCGTGGCAGCACTAGCAGCGATTGGGTTGGTTGCCTCTGCTGTGCTGTGCTGTGCTGTGTTCAATGTGCTGTACTGAGCTGGCTGTCCAGTGAATTTTGAGTGACAGACAGACAGACAGACAGACAGATAGCGGAGTGCGGACTTGAGCAGCAGAAGAGAGAGAGAGAGTTGCGCGCGGCTTGTCTCGAAGGGATGCTCTGCAAGATGCAAAGTAAGAAAAAGAGGCAAAGATGCTGAGCGAGGCTGCTGAGTAGCTGATGCTCGGCTTGTGAATAGTCTCAAGGTTGTTTTTTTTGTTTTTGGTTTTTTTTTTCTTTCGAGAGTTGTAGGAGAAAGGAAAAAGAAAAAAGATGCAGCGGGAAATACGCGGCTGCGGTGCTGTTTTTGTGTGTGTTGTCTGGGAGAAAGTGGCAGCAAGGCCGGGCGATGATTGGTTTCTGTGCAAAAGTACAAGGTAAGAAGGTTGGAAGGCCGCAGGAGACAACAACGATGGCCTGATCAGACGGGGGGTGCAGTACTATTTACCTGCAGCGCCGGCGAACACGGAATCAGCAGCAGCGTACTCTGTACCGAGTCACTGACAGAGTGATGGAGAGAGCGCGGCAAAGTCTACAAAGTCCACCTGCAGTAGAGTTCCAATCAGATGCCGCCCGCTGGCTGTGCAACCTGAAGCTTCTTGGTCCAGCAGGCTGTACGTGCGTGTACCTTGCAGATCGGGAGAGCCAGGCAGCCACAAAGCGTGAGTCAAGTCTCCAGCCTCGACGGATTTCGTCGTATCAACTTGTTCCGGGTTGGGGTTGACTCTTGTGCTGAGCCTTGTGCAGCTGGGGCCGAGAGATGGATATTATTCGCAGCTTGGATCGATCGATGGCTGGCATGTGATGTCCAGTGCTTTTCTTTGGCTGCACGTGTACATGTAGTCGAGCATCACCCGTCCAGGACACACGCAGCGTTTATAGGATACTTGCCCGTCATATACATCTCTCTCCACCGATCAAATGGATTTCTATTACTACGAGTATTCAGAAGACAACCAGGTCCCTTGCCAGCGGGGTTTCCCTGCAATCCATGTCCTGCATCATGCCGGCAAGTCGGTCAGCCGTTTGAGCTGGGGGCAGTGATGGTCACATACCTAGCTGGTATAAGGCACTTGTTGACGAGGCTTGCCCATAAAGCGCTTGCAGATGTACCCAAGTGTAAACATTCACGATACAATCTTTAGTAAAACAACATCGTTTAAAGCTTCAATCCTCAATCCTCAACCTCAGCATCATATTCGAATCCCCAAAGCTCATCAGCTACCCATCCAGCGTTGTGTCACCAAGACATGTCCCGAACGACCGCCATTCTCCTACCCTCATCTATATGGACACGCCCGATAACCTGCAATCACCATCACACCACCGCCGGGCGACGGCCGCAGCATGCCCGCATCATGTCCGTTGCTTCGTATATGAGACCCGACGTACTCGGCTTCGGGAAGCATCCCAGCTACGAATGACTCCGATGGCCTTCCGCCTTCCGCGCTTTATCAACGCTGGTATTGGAAGCCAGGTTAGGTAGGTGGCAGGAGATGTTCCATGGCCTGGCGCTTGGAGGAGAGAATGGAGACGAGCCATGTAGCTGCAATGTCATCAAATCCTTGCCTGCATCTCACCTACCTACATACATACACGCGAGGAGATACATGTTGCGCACCTTGGCGCCAGGCCCAGGCTGATTCGGTGACATTCGGGTTTCTTCCTCGTTCCGCGGGTGCATGTGCTCGCGTCCGTCTACATTCACATCGGCGCTGCTCGGGCTGCGTCTATCCAACCCAAACAAAATCATGCAGCCCTCCTGTTGTTTGACCAAACGACGGCAAAGTAAAGTACATGCATCGTTTGAACCTGCATTACATCAAATTACTGTGTACATTGTGCCCCGCCCACTGAGCAAAGAACAAGAACGGTTGGAGACGCGGGGGACGGACAAGGTGAAAACCCACAACGGCTTTCGGTGGCCGAGCCCTCCGTCGAATGTCCGTGTAATCATTGCAGCTCAATGTCAGAATTCTAATGCCGTACTCGTGGTAGTCAAGCAACGTCGGGCTGGACTGCGGCTTGACCCGTGGCCTGGCATCTGGTCGCTTATTGCGGATCTCGAGTCGCGCTTGGCATCCATGCTTACTGTATGAGAATGGATGACAATCTGCGATCGAGTATCCCATGACTGCTCCAGGGGAGATGTATGAGTATGTGTCAAGTTGACGATGGTTGTGCTTATACAGTACATACATGATGAATACAGCAACGACTAGCCGTTTGCAAGGGCTCTCTTGCTCACTTCTACAGCTACTGAGACTGAATGAACAGGTACGCAACGACGCATCTACGCACAGCTTCTATATAGACTACTAAGGTACACACGCAACAATGTGACGCCTCCTCCCTCACAAGTCAAATCCCGCATCTCCTTCTCCTGCGCAAGCTTCGATCGCCGTTGCATCGTGACCTTCCCCCCCCTCGTGATCAACTGACGCCCAGCCTCAAAGTGCACAGCTGCAGAAACCCCTGGAAGCCTCAACTCAACTCGGGTCTGCCCCTCATCAACTGACCAGCCCGTCCGTCCATGATTCAAGCACCCCCGAACCGCTAAAACAGCGCCACCCCTAACGTTGTGTCAAATTCCCAATTGACTCGGTGCCCTGCTGGACGGGACACAAAGTGGCAAGGCTTCATACAATCTATCCACGTTCCCACGTTCTGTTGCCAGGCCAATCGCGCCGCCCCTCGACGCCCAACGTCATCAGGGTCACACTAGCCTGGATGCTCGTTTTGGTTACATCAGTGCACCTTAATGTACAGTCAACCAGCTTCCAGGTCATGGAAATTGATTGCTTTTGATGTCATGTCATTACAACCATTCACGTAATTCATCACACGTATATTTTTCTTTTTCTCTTCTTCTAAATCTTCCCACCAACCCACCAACACTTCTTTCTGCAAGGTTCCCGAGAAAGTGAAAAGCTTCCCCCATTTCCACTTCTTGGTCAATCCTTTTAGCCTCTCCCCCGCATCATTCTCATCGCCCACCTGGTATCCTATTGGCTCCCGCGCCCATTGAAAAAGCTCCATCTCCCAGCGTCTCTTGTGTCCCAACTCCACCATCGAAGAGAACAAGAAGAAGACTCTCTCTTTTCACCTATTGCGGCGAATTTACGACATTTTCAAATCAAGCACAACAGACACAATGGTGCGTATCCCTTCATCCAGATAACCAACCCAGCAGCACCAGCAGCACCAGCAGCACCAGCAGCACCAGCATCTACAGCTGCCATGCTGGATGCTCATGCTGGGAGACGAAAAGAACTGCTTGCTAATACCACCACCAGGCTGACACCGGTCTCCCTCCAAACTGGGAGGTTCGCCACTCCAACTCCAAGAACCTGCCCTACTACTTCAACTCGGTCGAGCGAACCTCGCGATGGGAGCCCCCCGCGGGCACCGACAGCGAAAAGCTCAAGCACTACATGGCCGCCCACCACAGCGCCGGCTCGCGGTCGGGCGCCGCGCCTGGCGTCCCCGAGGGCAAGATTCGCGCCGCCCACCTCCTAGTCAAGCACCGCGAGAGCCGCCGGCCGAGCAGTTGGCGCGAGGTATGACAAACGATGATACGATATCTATGTGTTGTGGAGGGGAGAAGGGCCAGAAAGAAGAAGAAGAAGAAGGCTGACAAAGAGCTTGTTATTGCTGTTATAGGCTGAAATCACACGAACCAAGGACGAGGCCATGGAAATCATCAAGGCCCACGAAAAGACGATCCGGTCCGGCGCCGCCTCGCTGGGCGATCTTGCTCCCACCGAGTCGGACTGCTCTTCGGCTCGCAAGCGTGGTGACTTGGGCTACTTTGGCCGCGGCGAGATGCAAAAGGAGTTTGAGGACGTTGCGTTTACGCTCAAGGTGGGCGAGCTGAGCGATGTCGTGTCGACGGCGAGTGGGCTGCACTTGATTGAGAGGTATGTTTTTTTCTTTTTCTGTTTTGCTTTTGCTTTGAAGGAGAGCGGTGTATGTGAGCTTGGACGGATGATGTGACTGACGCGGGATGCTACAGATTGGAGTAGGATGCCGCTGTGAATGGCAGGTTATGCAAACGAGGAAGTGTAATATACCAAAACGAGAACAAACAATGGATGATGAAGACCGCCGGAAAGCGAGAATATTCAATTCTGTCTCACCAAAAAAAGAATCAAGAAAAAAAAAAATAACATGCAAAATAGCAGTGAGCAAACTAGAGTAGGCCGCCGTTCCCCCATCACGAGATACCACGACGGGCAAACATTGCTCTTGATCGTGGAGCTGTAATTGTAACTTGCTGCCCCTATCAAAATCTCCTGCCAACCGAGCACATACGAGTAACTGGCCCCTCAAAATGCCATCCCGGAACTAAATCCCCGTTGAATTTATCATTTGGTTTCAAACACTCCCTCCCATATCCACATTCTGACATGTCTCCCATGTTGTCTATCTACATTTCTTTTTTTGTGCAAAGTGCAAAATAGCCATCAATCGCCCATGGTACATGCTTTAAAAAAATATGCCAAACATCTAAAAAAAACCCTCCGTTATTCTCTTCGACATGGTTCAATTTTGTTCTCCTTTCAAGCCTGTGTCTGGTAAAATGGTATCCTGAACAAGGTCTCTCCCCAAAAAGCCAGCGCACCTTGAAAAAAAAGGACCATCGTCCATTGTCACCGACTCGCCAGGCTGACGAGCGTGCTCTTGAATGGCTCCACAGTGGTAAACACCACCGTCATGACGCCAAAGACCATCATGGAGAGGGCTGCGTATGGCGCTGCGCGGCTTCTTGTTTCGTAGAGGTAGGACACGCCCATGGCGGCGCCGTTGACGCCGATAGCAATGCCCGCAGCAACGGTGACGGGGCTATCGGCTGTCGAGATGTTCTGATGCCATGACTTGGGAATTAGGGGAAAAGGAGCTGAGATTGAGCTGGTGTCGGTGCTGGAAGAGATGGGGTCATGGTTGGAAAGTGTTTGGATAGGGGTAGGTTCATCTGTGGCCGATTCTTGAGTGCCTGCTGCGACCACATCGCCGCCGTCCTGTTTGCTTACGCCTAGCTTGTCTAGGATAAAGGGGTATACGAGCTGTCCCAGTATGCCGTTACTCACCACGAGCATTGCATTCACGGGACTGTTCCCCCCAATGGCCTCGGTGGCAGGCTTCGCCAGGGCAAGAGTTGTGCTGCGAGCGGCGAAGCTTAGTGCCTCTGAAGCGCGAAGGCCTAGAGCACGGCTGACGAGAACGGAGAGAAACGTGTTTGCCGCAGCGGCAATGGTGCAGAGTATGATGGCGAGAAGGCCGGCAGTGCTGAAGATCTGGCGACGGCATTCCGAGAGCTTGAAGCCCCAGACGAGAATGCCGCACTCGAGTATGGAGAGAGCAGCATCGCCGGCGCCGTACCAGCCGGAAGGGTTGGTAGGCAGAGGTGTGTTGCTGATGGAAGCTGTCCAAAGCGCATAGAGAGGGCTGCCGCCACTAAACTTTTTCAATGTCCTGGCAAGGCCTCCGGGTCCTAGAATAGAAGCCTTTGCTCGCGTGTAGCCCGTCATGAACAGGGTGGTTAGTAGGACGGGGTTCATCATTGTCGCTAGGCCTCGCTTCAGGGGGGTGGAAAAGGTGCATATATGAGATTGCTTGAAAGCCCGCTGGGACCTGACGGAGGATATCCAGATGAACCACAGTGTGAAGCCGTCGAAGAAGCGCTCCTCGTGCATGGCAATCGTAAGTGGTATGCCGACGAGGAAGACGAGCGTCAGCGACAGGAGGATCGGAAAGTGTCTTGCAAAGAAGCTCCAGGATGAAGATTCGTCATGGTAACATGTTTCAGGCTGCTCATTGTTCGAGTCCCCTTGATCTGGAGCGGAAGCCTGTTTCTCAGTGTCTGAAGTTTTGGGGGTAGACGAGGAGGAACCACCTTGGCTGCGTCTTGTTCTCTTGGTGTCAGCGTCATCGTCAAACTCGGCTGAACTGGTCCCATCATCGGTTGACGACGGGGCGATGCTTTTCTTTGAGCAGATTGAGCCTTTCCTTGAGGGCGACTGCGAGGTTAGTTTCGCAGCTCCACCAACGGCCACCACGGAGAGGAGGAATACTGCCACCCAAGAGACGATGTTGGTTGCAACTAGAGCGTGGGAAAGAAAGAGTCAGCGTTTGTGGTTTCGAGATGAGGCTACCTAGGTATGTAGGCATTGACTTACTAAAGGAGCCAATGACGCGCCCAATCTCGCCGCCGTTGAGCATCTCGTCCTGATCCAGCATAATCATGGGAACAGAGAATCCCGCCCCGAGGTGAGAATTGATAAAGTCGACCTTCCGTGAATCAGAATCAGCATTGGAAAAAACACAAACCCAAGCAAACGCAAACCAGCACGGCGTCACCAACCCTTGTCTTGAGCCACCTCCGATACCAGTCGTCCGTCTTCTTCCACATCACCCAGCTCGCCGTGCTCAGCGCAAAAAGCACCGCCATGCCCACAATGGTCGAGAAGAACTCGAGCCTCGCCGCCGCCAGCGTCCGGCTCAGGCCCCAAATCAGCAGCTCGCTCGCCAGGCAGACGACGGCGACCAGCAGGTATCCAGCCCCCTGAGCAATGGCCCTGTTCCAGCGAAGCCGCCAGATGCTGGAGCCGGCCATGGATGTCTTGAGGAGGATTTTTGTCGCAGTTGCAGTTCTTGTGCGAAGAGGATGCGCACGAAGTTTCCGATAATGGAATTCTTTGTGCCGAGTCGGAGAGAATTGGAACTGGAACTGGAACTGGAACTGAAACTGTTTCGGTCTCTGACTCTCTTTTTTTTTTTCTCCGACCAGCTGTCAGGGTTGGGCAGTGCTTCTTTCAGACAGCTGATGGCAGGCGGTCAAGACGGAGCTACTTCCGGGTTGCCCCTTCATTGACACTTGATACAGGGATACATTGTGCTACACCCGTCAATGACAGACGGAGATGTATCGATTGGTGAATGGGGGATGTCCAGGGATCCGGAAGTACAAGGAGGGTGAAGAAGAGAAGACGGACCGCGTATATCGATGGATGCATCACGGCCAGTCACACCATCATCGCGGCTGGGGAAAGGAGCAGCTGGATGGATGTTTGGACTTGTGCATAACGCATCTCTGCAGAACAGAACAGAACAGAAGACAGCCGGCCACCGTACATGCAGTTACGGCTTCAAGTCACATATCCATCCGAACAGATATCATCGAGGCCCTTGCTCGCTGGTCATGGCTCCAACATGTGCCTTTCCGCAAAGACTACTGCGTTGAGAGACGTCAGATGAACGGCGACGAACCGCGCTGGTTAATCGACAAGAATTCCCGTCCGTTGCCGTCTGATGGAATTCGAGGACCGGGTTCGCTGTGGGCGGCCGAGGATTGAGACATGTGTGCCACGTCCGGAGACTTGGTCCACCCGGATACGGGCCGAGATTTCGACAGATGTGCATTTACGGCTTCACTTGCACTCGTCTCTATATCCTTTATCTGCTTATACAGAGCAGTCATGGATACATTCGACCAGGAACAAATCTTAGTAACGAAGCTTTTGTTCGATACAAGATGTCTGCTCTGTCTGTCTACATGTATACAGCAACGCAGACAGGTAGAAGAAGGACCTCTGGCCCTCAAGGCGGCATCGTCGCTCCCGTTGGAGATGCCGTGCCACATGGCGCAAAACTAGAGCGGCTCGATATGGCATCATGATCGGCCTCTAGTCCAGCAACACAAATACAAATTGGAGGAGACTCGCAAGCTCTATCCATTGCCGCCCGGGGCGATCCGCCGCTCACGGATCCTGTTTTACTCGGCCAAGAGGGTATCCGGGAGACTGATCTTGGAAAGTTGGGATTTGTATGAGTCCATGGCTGATTCGAAGCCGTCGAGAGTCGGCTCATGATGTACAGAGTGGTGCAAAAGCTTCCTGGGCCACAGCATCGGTGCTGCAAGACGTTGGACAAGGAGAACAAGGGCGGCAAGTCTCTCGACATGGATCCATGGAGTCCATCATGTCTATATAATCCATTCGTGCAGTATCTCGATCAGTCGGAGAATATTCCATGGGCTCAGCTGACACTGGAGATGACGCGGAAGGGTTGCATCGTTGCATCGCCCTGGCTGTTTGCCACAGGTACGGCACATGGCTTGTGCGCGTTTGATCAGGGCCAGATAGATTAAGGCACCGGTAGCAATTAATAACAATTAATATCGAAGCCGACTTGATTGCAGCAAGATGCGGCTCGAGACATGGATGGCGGCCCATCACCTGTCAGGCCGGCAGTGGCGCATTGGCGGTGCTGCTTACAAGTTACAGGGGCCTTTGGGCGTGTGGCAGCGTGGCTTTACAGGGGCCGCAATGATCCACGATTATCCCGGATTGAGACCCGACCCAATTGATGCTGGTTGCAACCCAAGACAGCTCAGCTCAGGCACAAACAACACAAGCACTTGGGCAACTGTTGCCCTCTACAGCTACAACTCCATCAATCCTAGAGCACACGATACGCGAATACGAATTGGCCATTCAGTTCCTACATCTCCGTCACTCGCAGCTTCAGGGGTTGTTGCACCGCTTCTCGGCGTCAACAGCAGCAGTCAGTCTGCCCCTCTTGCGGGGGGAGAGAGCATCGAGCCTCGTGAGCTCTTCCACATCACCATCCAGGGGTGGAATCAACAAAAGCAAGGCATCCATCTCTGCGTGTCACCTACGAAATCTGTGAATCGTCAGCAGCACACAAGGGTGGAATAAGGCGTGGAGGCTTTGGGAAACATTGCAGCTTCCAACTTCCCCTCACCACGCACGCAGCTCTTGTACGACCGACTCCCTCGAAATCGGGCTTTCTGGAAACGCCACCTCGCTCAACCACAGGCTCAAAATGGATCTCGAGACCAGGGTGCATGCCGAGGCCCTTTTGCTCAAGGCTGCCCGCACCTACGGCGTCCAGGTCCGCAGGGACGAGGTGCAACAGCATCTCAGGCACGATGACCACGGCGCCGCATTGGCTGAGTGGGCGAGTTTGCATCTCACGACGGACAACCTGCTGAGCCCTGATGAGCTGGCAATGTGAGTATGCAGGCGCCGGTTACACATCAGATTCAGCCGCTGATTGCGGTTGTGTAGATACTCGTTGCTGGACAGGAACGGCCAGGTCGACATTCTGACCAACCTCCATGACCTGTCCGAGGTGCAGAGCGTCACCGAGGACGACATCAAGGTGGCCATTGAGGAGCTCAGGAGATCCACCGAGAGCATCACCAAGCAGAGCGAGACCCTTCGCCACCAGCAGGATGCGTTATCGCGTCTTGTCAGGAAGCGTGCTGAGAATGATGCCCGAAGACGGGACCTTGACCTGGATAGGCAAAGCAAATCCGAGTCGGAACGGCAGCGGGTTGCCGCAGAGGTAACATGGCCAGACGCTATACGAAGGGAGGGGGGGCTGTATGGGAGGTTACAGGCTCGCTGACGTGCATCTTTAGGTGGAGGCAGCCTCCCAGAGCCTTGCTTTCCGCATCTCTGACCTCGAGGAGCAAGGCACCCAGGCCGGATCCAACCTCAAGGGCACCCTGGGCGAGATCTTCCGGGGAGATGACAAGATCCTAGCCAACCTGCAGAAGCTGGGCTGGGAGCTGGAGCAGCCCGACCCGGACGAGACGTCCAAGATTGACAAGCTGCGTGAAATCTGCTCGCGGTTAGCTGCCCTCTCGTCACTATACGTGTAGTAGTAGCCTCTGTTTGCTAACCTCCGAGCTGTATTAATTAGCCTGGTCAAGATTACGGTTGAGACAGTCCGAGCCAAACTGGACACCACCTACATGGAGACGCTTGTGGAGGCTGAGCGCTCGGGGCGTGTCAAACCTACGACGGACGATGAGGTCAAGGCGCTCGAAGCCGAGGTCGAGTCGTTGCACTCGGAAATACTTTCCGTTGCTCAGATCTCTGTGGAGCAGCAGCACCTCGAGCCGGCGCTGCAGACGGTCTCTACGGAAGGCGGCCAAAGTGCGATGCGCACGTCCAGTGCCTTGGCCTACGTGAGTATCAGAGCCAGCCCCCTATTGTTTGGATTGATCTCTAACAAGTTCCAAGATTGACAAATGTCTCGATTATCTAATGGGCCGCCTGGATCGAATCCAAGGACGCATTGAGACCCATCTGTCGCACCAAGCCGCCGCCGCCGCGCTCATCACCACCGCCAAGACGGAGATGGCGGTTGAGATCCTGCCGCCCGTGAAGCAGTCGTCGTCAGCCGCGCCCGTGTCCATCTTCCCGACCTCCCCAAGCAAGTCCGGAACCCCTGCGCGGAAGCGCTCCAACACTGTTGGCTCTCAACACCGCCGCAGGTCGTCTGGCGTCGTCGACGAGCCCCCGCTCGATACGCTCATGTACACCCTGTCGATTCCGTCGTCCGTTTCCGAGGAGGCCGATGTCAGGGCGAAGATGGTGGGCTTGTCCAGGATTCTCGATGAGAGATGGAACAAGTATGACGAGACTGCCCGGAATACCCAGGAGACGTTTGAGATGGGAGCGCTGGCACAGATAAACGACACGAGACTGGCCATTCAGCTGCTGCGGGATAGCGTGTTGGCAGAGAGCCCGTTTAATGACCCCAAGCTGGTCGATCCAGAGATTTCCGGTTCCATCACTGTTTTGGCAGCAGAGGTGGAGGGTGCAAAAGACAGGCTGACAGCTGTCGAGGGCCAGCGAAGAGATCGCAAGAGCGAGAAGAGAGACGAATTTATCGAGCGCTGGGGGTAAGTGCATGTTGTGAGAGGTATTTGTGCCATGAGCGAATTCATTCTTGCATTTACAGCCAAATTTACTCAATATCTGTTGATTAACAAGCTTCTCGGAGGATATCAATCATATCATACATTGGTAGTATTCCTATAGGCTATGTGGTGTGCTTCAGGGGCTAATCTCCCATTACATTCCACCGGCTGCATTTATTCAGCCAACACTATCGAAAGCAAGGCTATACATCATCAGATGATATCAATGTGCATAAATACAATCATCGTGATGTGTAACTCTTAATAATCACACCCAAATGGTTTCATCTCGATGGGTTTTTAGCGGAGCTCAGCGGGTATATCCCGATCGATTCAATATTAACATCAGGCACCAGCTGCATTTCCAATTATTTGCTAAGCTCCAGCTCGCTCCAAATGGCCCAAAGCTATCAGCAAAACCCACACCTGATTTGCCCATGTGATTGCGTAAAGATTCCCCAATCTAGAATTCAGGGGTGGTATACAGTTGCCACGACGGAGTACTATCTCGAAGACGACATGATGGAGCGGAAATAAGGGCCGCGGAGATTTCACTATCCCGTTAGATGGAGCGCGCGCGCCGCTCGAAAATAGTTGACCCGACTTGCATCATGGGATTGTATTGCGAGTGGGTTTTCGCGAAGAAGTATTGATGATATGGATTCTACCCTTGCGGCCTCGGTGTTTGGGATTGTCCTGAGTTGCGCTTAGATGATCAGGAAGAAGACGAAGACGGATTACTGTGAATTACCCAATGGGCGAGGAGCGGAGTTTTGTGTGAAAGAGACGAAGTTGCTCGAGCTTCAAGTCTATGCTGACACATGGAGGAGGCGATTTACCCCTGGCGAGCCGAAATTTCAGCAACATCTAGATTTGGCGAAAATCAGCAGCATCCGATTCGATGGCTCAAAGCAACTTGAGCCACAATTGCCAGTGAAAGCAATAGTCAGGGATCTTGACAATATCCAACTAGGAACCCAATCCCAAAAGATGACAGAGGAAGTCGAGATATATATAAAGGGGGATTCCCCTGTGTTGTCCTGTACTAACAGTTCTCTATCAACCAACGACTTCAACGATCCAATACACCCAATTACTACACCAGTGATAAAGCAAGCTACACTATAGCCCTCACAATCTCTTGCAATCATACCAACAATCATCGTCACCATGCCTTCCGCAACCATCCTCGAATCCCGCCTCAACACCCTCTACTCCCAATACGAATCCCTCCGTCCCTCCTCCTCAGACGCAGACCTCGAGGAATTCGCATCCCTCTTCTCCAACAACTGCACCGTCTTCCTCAGGAGCATGCGAGAAGCCAAAGACCCCGACCTCAACCGCCAGGCCATCGTCTCCACGCTCCGCGAAATGATGAAGGACCAGTACCTCGAGAAGCGAAAGGTCGTTTCCCAGCTCATCAACGAACAAGACTCGCGTGTCTTCATCGAGATGGAGAACCGGTACAACGTGCACAGAAAGGTGCTGGAGGACTTTCCCGAGACGCTCGTTGCCACGTTTGACGACGAGGGGCTCGTGGATAGTTTCAAGCTATACAGCTGCAGGAGCCACTTTGTGATGATGATTCAGGCTGCAACTGGAGAGGGGCCCTACTCGGAGGAAATGATGAAGTAAGTCGAAACCCATCAGAAAAAGATGTCGTATGATACTGACCAGTTTCAGGAACCCTCATTAGCACTAAACATGTCCATAGTCCAATGATCATGTCCTTATTCATAAGCCTCTACGATTCACAACCGCATAGTCACAATGAGAGCGTCCATGTGTAGTTATAATGATAGTGAATATCTATTAAGGTCTAGTCGTACAGTGGAAGAATTAGGTAGATAATGACTATCGATTTTGCCTCCATCCCAGCCACCGCTTGATACCACCGGGTTGTCATAGCTTAAGCACGGAAGCGGCGGGCAATGCGAGAGCGCTCAACACTGCGCTTGGCAGCCGAGAAGCCACAGCCCTGCTTGCCGTTCTGGAACTGAGCGCCAACACCAGAGCAGACGGCGCCGCCGTTGAGAGCAGCACAGCATCCAGAAGCGCAGTCGGCGTTGCTGAGGCAAATCCCGGTAATGAACTGCGCGCCCTGGCCGTTTCCGAGGTTCTTGACACCGGCGGGATCACCAACGGCGGTGTTGAAACCAGCGGGAGCAGCAGACGAAGCAGGGGGAGCAGCAGCGTTGTTGGCATCACCAGCGGGAGCAGCGGGAGCAGCAGAAGAGGAACCGCCGCTGCTGCTGAAGCCGCAGCCTTGCTTGCCGTTCTGGAACTGAGCACCGACGCCAGAGCAGACGGCACCACCGTTGAGAGCAGCACAGCATCCGGAGGCACAGTCGGCGTTGCTCAGACAGGCACCGGTGATGAACTGCTGGCCCGCGCCGTTGCCGAGGTTCTTGGCACCATTAGGATCGCCGACGGAAGCGTCGAAGCCGGCAGGGGCAGCAGCGGCGCCGTTGGAGGCACCGGCATCTCCCGAGGTCGAGTCGCCACCGCTGGGCTGAGAAGGAGGAGCACCACCATCACCAAAACCACAACCTGATTTCCCAGCCTGGAACTGGGCACCGATACCCTTGAATGCAGAGGTTAGTCCCGGACCAGAAGAGGGGAGCGTTGGCAAACTTACAGAGCAAACACCACCGCCGCTTATAAAGGCACAGCAGGTCGAAGCACAGTCCTTGCTGGACAAGCACTCGCCGCCAATCTGGAATCGAAGTCAGTTATATCGAACTTGTGAGAGACTCGGGAGAGGGGAGTTGGAGCGTACAAATTGACCACCGTTACCATTTCCGACGTTCTTAGCACCAGCAGGGTCGCCGAGGGCGTAGACGGAAAGAGTGTCTGGAGAGAGATGTTAGAAGAGAGGGCTCTCAAAGGCAGCAAAGGGAGCTGGTGTCCAACTTACAAGTGAAGAGAGCGGCAACAGACAAGCGAACCATTTTGGCGGTGTTTTATTGATGTTTTTGTGTTTGTTGTGATAAAGTAAAGATTGTGGTGGAAAGTTCCAAAAGAGAGAGAGTTGATTTGAATCGTAAAGGTAAAAACGAAGCAAGCGACACCAGGTCGGGACTCTGAAAAGAAAGGAAGGTTGGGAAAGCGGCACCGGGCCTTGAAAAGTGAAGGTTGAAGGAAAAGGTGAAGGTGGAAGTTGGTGATGGAGAAGAAAAAGAAGGAAAGTCTGTATGAGGCCGGGGCTCACAGCTCCTCTTATACACGATGGATCGCAACAGCAACTCGATTAATTTTTTTTTTTTTTTACTTTTTGTTTCGCGAGACTAAAACTAACAAAGCTCGATTCAGCGTCTCAATCTTCCCTTCCCCCCTGCTCTGGCAAAATCTGGCCGAGGGGCCGGGCGAAGATGTTTTCTCACTGACACGGACGCTTATGTTGACACGGACATCTAACGGTATGGCGGGCGGGTTTGCCTAACAAGGGGGCGGAGGTTCTCGAAACCAGGCAACGTTTGATCAGATTCTGCAGCGTCTATGCGCTTCTCCTGGGGGGACACTTTGTGAGAGACGGAAGTATAGAGTGTGGGGAGAGAAGACATGACACGACATAGGCAGGGGGTGTTTTCGGGAGGCGCTGATTTCTGCGACAATGGGGTTTCGCAAGTTCATGCGCCTAATGTTTTGCGGCGATCGGCTGGTGGGGATGGTTTCTGGAATAGTGGCATTTTTTTGTTCTTCACATGTTAGTGATGGAGATTTTGGAGATGTATGTACGGAGTAAGAAGGGGGGGAAACAGACGTTGTGAATGTTTCAATCGACATGTCGCGAGAGTTGTGGAAAACAAAGAGGTTTCGAGTGATTCGGTATACTCGAGATACTGTACAAACAGACTGCGATTGAGTGCGTCCGTGTAGATCGACCGGATGAATTTGAGCATCAAAATTGCCAATTTGGGATGTGTCAATGCGCCCGAGTTCCGGGTCACAAGCACGAGCAATTTGTCAAATAATCATAATAATTACTATTATTGAACATTCATTCATTCCTGTTACTCCATTACAACGCTGATTTGTTCCCTTTCCCCCAGCACTGCCGCCCGTTTCTACTCTTCATCAGCTCATGATTGGGGAGCATCACACGCGCCCAGCACAGCACAGACGGTGACATTTTTTCAAAGCCCTCGGAACGAGTTTCACGCTGAAATCGCCCCTGTTTGACGATCGGGTTTCTGTTTCTTTGGGGCTTCCATCGTTTCAAGCAGTCGCGGGAGAGGAACAAGTATTGCCCGAGCCGCTTACATCGAAATGGCTCCGTGTTTTGGAGCTCCAAACGCGCCATTGCTTCAGGTTTCGGATTGTTGGTGCGCTTTGGACATGGGTGTCAATTGGCGCTCAGCCTCCGCCTCAGCATCGCCATGATCCATATCATATCGTATCGTGTTGACGCAATTAATACTGATCGATTTTAATCTGCAGGGAGTTCGTTCGCTGGCTGCTGATGCTGATGCTGAGCCGGGCCACGATCCCCCCGCGCATCTGCTCTCCTTCTATATTGGGCCGTTTTGCGTCGATGCATTCAAGCTTACTTGGGGGCCTGGGAAGAGGAAACAAGCATCTCCTAAGCTTATTCTGGCCGTTCTCGGCTCGTGGCCTTCCGGTTCCAAGCGGTGGAGAAGCGTCAGCTGCATTTATTAATGTCTATGTTTTCGTCATGGCTAATGTCTCTGTCTTTTCTTCGTGGGGAACGCTTGTTCTTGACGATAGGATAAAATATTTTGCGACATTTTGCCTCATCTTTTATCTACTGAGATGAATTACAAGATTGAGTTTCCCATGAATATGTAAATGTCATGTATTGAAGAATGACTATGAGTGAGTTGTATAGATCGAAAACTACATGGGTGATATAGATATGTATGTGTACAAGTAGGTGCTCAAATCTCAACGACCCTTGTCTCGTGCACCAATTTCTCTACCAGGGCAGTTCCTGACTGCTCCATCTTTTCTCTCGCGGCATCCCTCACAGCCTGTCTTGTGATCGGAATACCAACACTCCGGGCACTGAAGCATCTGCCCATACTGCCAATGCTTAACAACCAGCGCCCAGTGTCTCCCGATTGCTACCTTTCCAGGACATGGTGCGCCCTTACCCGCCCACCAGCTAGGTTCCGTCGACCGATAGCAAAGGCAATCTTGGCAGAATTTAACCGATTGTGACCGTCTCAGTCTCTCATCAAGGGGGTGGATGAGGAAGGAGAACATAATCACTGCTCTTCGTGAGAGGTGCTCCGGATGACCGGGATGAAGAATTGCACCCTCGTAATCCGAAAAGGGAATCCGGTTCTCTGGAGGCAGGGTTGGCCGCTGGAGATTGGCGAGTGTTGAAGCCACGAGAAGGCTCTTGCAAGTGAGAGCCAGACAGATGCCGCTGTCCTGGCTCGCGTGGGAAAAGATTTGTAGTACAAGCTCTAGGGGAAGATTTAGGATGCCGGCTTTTGAGATTGTGACGGGACTTGGTTTGTCAAAAACCTATTTAGAATATATTAGTATAGGGTAATAATGGCCGTGTCTTAGATGGATGGCCACCTTACATCCTGTGGGACAACAAATTTCTTCAAGACGATATCTGTCTTTTCTGGCCAGTTATCCGGGCGTTCCCTCCGATGGAGCCCAGGGATCAATGAAAGATCTAATCTGACGTAGTCGGGATCACGCATTTTGGGACAATGTGATATTTTGCTCGTGGGTATGTGTATAAGTTGGCCTTGAAGATATAAGAGCGAGGTACCGTCCGTTGCTAACAGCTTAGGGTTCATGAGTCTTTCTTGCAAAATGAAAATGGAAAGGCCAATGTTGAGCGTTTACAAAAGAGCTGCGGGCATGGAATGGGCCCGTCGCTGTTGATATAGAGGACCAGATAAGAAACATCAACAAAGCAAACCTTGAACACTAGCAAAGAGGCGTAAATCTTGTCTCGTATATTAAGTTGGTTACCGTGAGAACTGAATTATAAGTTCAAAGTGGCGGATCGTGACAAATGCGGGCCAACTCTAATAAACACTACTAGAAAGGAGCAACAGGTACAACAGGTGCGCTGATATCAGAGCATCTGTCGCAAAGATGGAGAAACCCAATGACAGTATCATGTTGCTCCCCCCAATCTCAGTAAATACCAGGCAGAATCCTCCATCTCACAGTCTTCTTGTACTTTTCCCAGTCCTCGCCATACTTTTCCGCACACGCCGCGTCATCCCGCCTCTCGCGATGTATCAACAGCGTAGCAAAGTACACGACGTACAAGTACGTGTAAACCATGCCCCAGCCTCTTGCCGCACCCTGAACTACCTCCCGACCATCCAGCATCGTAGCAACGCCAGCACCCGCAGTAGTAACGGCTCCGGCAGGGAGAATCAAGTATCCCGCCACGCCGGTAGGAAGACTGAAGGGCGATGCTTGAAGCCAGTCTCCAAAGTAGTTGATGTGGCGCGATACTCCCCACCAGCCATCTGCGAGAAGTCTTGTGCCTCGCTTGGTTTGGATATACGACATGCCCTTGACGCTGGGGTGATCCGGCTGCGTACGAAAGATGCGTTTCTGCGAGTTGGAGGCGCGGAATATGTACACTCCCACGATAAATACGGCAGACACGGCGGCAATGCCCGCCCAGCCTAGCTGCAAGGGAAAGACGGAGAGGTAACGGGTCTGGGTAGAGTACAAGAACGGGACCCAAACAATGTCTCCAAAGGTGAGCATGTATCCCAGACCATCCGTGATGGTGTCCATCATGCCGAGAACTCCCGATTCGGCATACTGGCCTTCGAGGACGTAGTAACTCTGCACCGCGGCAATGAAGAGGATGCTGTCGGACACGTATCCATAAGTGCGATACTGTTTCGCAACAAAGGCAAGGTCGAGAAGAATCCAACCAGTCAAGCCAGGCCGCATCTCAAGCCAGACTTTGAGATCAATCTCGCCGAAAAGGGGAAGCGTGATGCGAGGGTTCAGCTCGCGGCCAATGAAGAAGTCGTACATGATATTGCCAGTGTGGCCTCCTTGGGCGAGCTCCCTCAATTGAGGGTTGCCTGGCTTGACGCTGAAGCTTCGTACATACACAAACACGGAGATTGCGAATGCGAGGACGAGATTGGCTGTGTAAATCTGCAGGTAGTTTTCGTCGATGAACGTCCAGACGGCGAAATCAGCGCCGTACAGACCAGTTCCTACAGCGCATGCGGCTAGCTGGACGAGAGTAGAGGGAAACGCTATCGATTGTTAGCAATGTATCTCTTCTCCGACGTCCATTCCTTTCCCATCCGCCTTGCGTACCGTTCAGCTTGTACTTGAGCGGCCGGCCCGATTCTCTCAGCTTCGTGCCGTAAATCTCCTGTCCAGGAAGCAGTCGATAGAGCACCAGGCTGAGCAGGTAGTAAGCTGCGACCCAGCCGCTGACCTTCCAGCTGGCAAACCCCCAGATGCCATCCTCAGGCCATGGTATCTGGCTTGTCAGCTCTGCTAACGTGAGGGAGCGAGGCTCCAGGAGGGCTGGCGCGGGACAGCCGGCAACATCGTTGCAAGTGAAGTAGAAGAAGTAGAGCAGCACGGGGAGGCCAAAGACAATAGCGGAAGTGCCTAGCCTAGATGACGCGTTAGAAAGGCGGCTTCTACGCTCTCGATTCTGTCATTGAACTCACGGTCCGCCAAAGTCATAACTGGGCTTTGTCCCAGTCATGTTTGCTTGTGCGTCGATTGAGAAGCCGGTTTCATGGACCGAGATGCCGTGACGCCACTCTCGTTGAGAATCAGGTGAGTTTTCTCTGTTTAAATGCTCATCAAAATGGTGCGATGAAAGTTTGTATGAGACATCTTCAATTCTCGCGTGGTGTTTGTTTGTTCAATTGTATGGAGTCGGGCCACGGCATTCCGATTACGAATACGGCGGGCCAAGAAGCGCGCCATCTGAGCTGATCCGGATAGATCGCGTCCGGGCAATTTTTAAGCTCAATCTCACCTATATTAGAAATTAGATGGACGGCATCTTGAGTTTTTTTTGTCCGCGGCGGCCGAGACCGAGCACTTGTGAAACTTGTGTTGAGGCATGTCTCACTTTAAGTCATTTTCCGCTGGAATTTGTAGTTTGTTGCCATGATGGATCTGGATCTCTTCCAAGTCAATGCGGGGTGAGACAACATTGAAGTTTCCATAACAGCTGTCGAGTTTAGTGGACTTGGTTGAATCTACTAGTTATTGGCAACAACCCAAGAGGAAACGTCTTCAAAACGAGAAACTAGCACATTCCAGTAGCAGATTTATCGCCTCAACTTTGTTCAGGCAGAACGGTTTAACCCCAAAATTGTCTGAATGCTGGCAATTAGCATGAATAAAGAAAACAGGCATAAATATTCCCTCAATGACTAGAATAGAGTATTGACTTCAATTATTCACCTAATCTCATGCTTTTATATTCCAATCAAGCCCATTCACTAGGGTGATTGTGTGTTTACTCGCCAATCATCGCCAAGAGACTCTCATTGTAAAGATCAGGCACTTTACTAATCTTCCAACACCCCTTGACATTCATCTCACATGGATGGCGTTATCGATAATGTGAGCTGACCCTGTTCACAGCCATCATACCGCACACAGCATCAAGTCATCCGGTCGTTTGTTTTTTTCTCCAGAAGAGAAAATTTACCCTCGGATCGGTTCATTGATCATGGAGAAAGCAAAGAAGCGAGGCAGTGATTGATGCCCGTATCTCTCCCCATATCATTTTACGGCCAATTCCCGACGATGCTACCATCGGCTTCTGCGTGAGGCTTTATTGACATCCTTGATGTAATTTGTCATTTGCTGCATGCACGCATGGTTCGATTCACGGGCGTCATTAGAGCCAACAACAGCCAAGGAAACAATTTCTTCAACGTTTGACGACCAACAGCACACCAACGGTGGACTGACGGGTCCAGTCATACCCAGTGTTGCAATCTACAGAGTTGCAGTATCACAAATACTCACCCTTTCTACCAGAATATAATTTCTTCCCCCGTGGTTCTCCTGAATATGAGCAGCTCCGCCCGCACTGGAACCAACGTCTGAAAATTTGCGCCCAACCAGCAGGTATGTTGGCGAATCGCCACGATGCCGTGACACTCTGGATTTTACCACGGCCAACAGAACGACGGTGCAGCGGCAGAGATTTTTATACCAAAGTGTCGGTGAGCTTGGTGCAAAACGTGTCGACATAACAAGTATGGAGTGCGAAGTACGTGGTGCCTGAACTGCCTTTTTGTCCATTAGCTGGCAGACTTGTAAGCGGCATTTCAGCGCCACTCTTTGTACTCCAGGGCTATTGTTACTTGGAGAAAATGCACCAATTACTGCTCCGTACTAGTAAACGGCTGTATTGAACAACTGAGCCCCCTGATGTCAGCTAAGCCCTTGCGTAGCGCAAGTTAGCTCGGCCGCACGAACAAGATGACCTGCTATAAACGGGTTCAGGCGACGTAAGGGAGGCTCAGTTTAACTTTAAACTTGTACTCCAAATTTATCACACGCCGGAACGTTTCAAGCAAGGTAGAAAGTAAAACAACTGGTCTTCTGCACATGGTCCTGTTTCTGTACCCCAATGCTCATGCTAGACAAGTCAAAGAGCCGAGGGGCATAGGGCTGAAGAGCACTACCACAAGTTACAGAGATGCAAAGGTTTGTGACTCGAGGTGCCTTCTGTGACCAGCAGGTTGTTCTGAAATAAGTGCCGTGTCAGCACCCGATCTAGAGATGCGTTTTCCGAACTTGAGAGTATAGCTGACACTGAACTCCGCATTACAAAAAGAGAGCGGCATTTGTCCGCATCCCTAAAGTAGCTCACGTTAGGGCCACAGCCCAATGAGCAGCGTAATACGGAAGCTGGCAATGAGGAGTAAAATCATCAAAACGCAAATCCAAATCCACTTGCATGCCCGTCTTCTTTCCGCTATTACCTGGGAAGTAACCCAGAGCCACCCATGTAGTCAATTGATGTGATGCTATTTACAGTAGATCAGCATTACGGTTACCCTTTCTTCAACATCTTGAAACAATGGCACTACCGTAATTAACTTCACATTAGCTTTGCTAACGCAACGTTAAGCTTACTCAGACCTGATCGACAATGCATGGCCGTCTTTCGAACCTTGTATAGCAATTGAGGCAATCGAGTGTTGATCTCGTTGCTATATATATCAAGGTAATTTGGCAAGCAAAAAGAAGTATAAAACAGCTGGGCCCAAGCTACAGTTCCAAACAGCAATTCATCTCACTACTCTTGCTTTCAAGACAACACATTACCAATACCAATACTCTCCATCAATCTCAACATGCAGTTCAAAATCAACCTCATTGCCGCAGCAATTCTGCTTGCGCCTACAGCCCTTGCAATTGGCCCCGGAAAATGCTTCTTTGGCGGTGCCTTTGGTGCCGGAAGCTGCCACTCACTTGATTTCAATGGAAACCCAACTGATACCTTTTCAAACTGTCCTGTAAGCAAATCCTTTGTTCAAATCTGATAAAAGATTTATTCTCTTGCTGATAATGTATCATTAGACATCAAGCCCATGCACAAACAATCTGAATGATTGCAATCAAGATGCTCTCAACGGTGTAACTACATGCTCATAATGTTACAAACCAACTTACAGACTCGGTCTGAGCACATCATACATGTATTGAATTGAAGGGCCAATCATATCGCAGTCAAGGGAAGCTAGCTTTCTGAGCTGCTCAGAAACTTGCGCCGGATATGTAAGGCCGCTTCGATTATGAGATAGCCTAGACAGCCAGTGAATATAACCTTATTAGAATATCAACTTCCCATTAGCTGCCGAGTCTCACTTATATCCGAAGCAAGGCTACCGGCCATGCAAGATATCCCAAACGCCGAATGCAGTCCAGGGGAAAGCAACAACATAGTGATAATGCGATGCAATCTCTCAAAGCTTCCCACTTTTAGAGCAAGCCAAAGGGCCATTGGTTTTGGCTTCACGTAATTGGATGTATAAACAAAGTTCTAATCGTTCCGTTCTCTCTGCCACCTCTCTCTTCATGTTCATCATTGGCTTCCACTTCTCTTCAATGACCACACCGGGCTACAGATGAGGTAATCCGCCCATAAATGCGATATACAATATACGGGACTGTCCTTCCCACGTCATCTTTAGCAGCAGTAGTTTACAAATAGCTGGCTTATAACAACATCGTTTTCTGTATAATCATGCTTATATCGTGTTGAAAAAGCTTGTTCTTTTACTCAGGAAACCACTCTCTCAATTGCAGCAGTAGCCTTCTGTAAAGCATTTTCCGTACTTGGTGTTTTGCCCTGCTCCAACTGACAAATACCCTGGATTTGCCACGGCCAACAACAGTTGGAGAAAGTGGGCATGATAGGACTTTTAACCAAAAGTGTCGGTGAGCTAGGCAAAAGATGGGATGACATACGCGGTGGGTAAACTCCATTTGGGTACATTAATACATATAGCCGGCGGACTGGTAAGGGCCGCTGTGGCAACTTTTGCTTGCAGGCTCCATGTCAGTTGTCACAACACTTGTTACCAAATTCTGGTACTTTGGATAAAACGACCCCCTTCAACGTGGCAGTTCCCACATGATGTTCTCCTATCTACTGTTCTCGGAGCTACCAGGCACGAATAACGTGCTTCTCGGGCTTTGACCGCTTCGTTAAGCGATACAATAGCTGCGCCCAGTCTGTTGGGAATTCCAAGCCGAGCAACTCTAGAAGCAAAAAGGTATTTGTGGAGTCTGTCAACTGAAAATTGGCATCCAATGGTGTCTTCTCATATGGAGCATATGATGATGGCAGAGACCCCGCCTGATGCCAAATATTGGCTTGTATGGGTAATGAGTTACACGGGGTATTAGATAAGAAATTACAAAGGATATGTTTGTATTACAATATTACTAAATTGGAATGTTTACAATACAGCTGCGATACAATTCACGTTGAATCATGTCTAGCAATACCCCTACAACTCAAGGCAGGTCTTTAGTACTACTGTTAATTGAAGTGACGAGTAATGTTTCTCGCAATCATGACGAAAATTTGAACGGTAGACTTATTACCGGATTGTTGGAGTAGCATTCCGGAAGAACTTTATACAGGGTAAGCCGCAATGCCAAAAACGTAAGGTATCATCGTCTTGCTGCAACTCATCAACCAACGGCATTTCTGGCTGCAGGAGATGCAACGCTTCCGGCACGTTGGTTCTGAGTGTTGCCACTCAAAAAGATGTATTAACAAAACTGTCTTCTTCATTTATTTTGTTGCATGTTCCAATTGATCTATAATAATGTTGTCATACTAGGTCCCCAGTCCGGACAAAAGGGAGCATCTCATTTCTGCAAAGTGTAGCTGCACAAGCTCTCCAAGATGGGAAAATGAGCCGCGCATGTAACTGTGCGGACGTCGAATTACACGAGAATAAAAAGCCAAAAAAAGAAAAGAAAAGAAAAAACAAAAACAAAGACATGAAAAAGAAAGAAAAAGAAACCAAATCTAAAGACAAGAATACCCAAATAACAAAAACAATTTATCGTGCTGAACCAAGAAGGAAATAAGGAAAAATCTTTATGGGGTATCCTCATTGCGTATAAGTCAACCTTTGGGTATCCTGTCATGCCCTTCACACCAAAACCCGCGAAATGCCAACTGTGTGAATGAACCGCTTTGACGCCGCCGCTCCCGTCACAACAAATATCACTGTAATTATTCCCAACGTGTGTGTGTGTGTGTGGCACTGTGGGCTATTCATTAGAACGTGTAGAAGAAGTAGCTCTGCTCTTGCCCGTCTCTTTGAGAATGCGGGCCTCCTCGAGGGCCTCTCTCTTGGCAAACTCGTCCAAGAGCTTGTGGGCCGTCTCCAGGGGTAGTTCAGCAATCATGGCGCTCAGTTCCTGCAGCAACACGTTAGCGTTCATGTGTGGTGTGAGTCGAGACTCAAGAAGAGATTCGAAGACACTATACCTTTTCAAACACCTCTGACGGGTGGTATTTGAACTCCTCCATCATCCGATTGAGACGGAGTACTTGCTTCCATGGCACGATGACGTCGCCAATGAGGAACGTGGGAAAGCGGGCGAGGGCGATTTCCTCAAGGATCCAGCGCCGCTGAAAGTACTGGCGCGTCATGAAGTCGTTGCATCCAACCCAGTGAGGCATCAGGAAGGGAATCTCGCCTCCCGGGCCCGGAGACCAGATGTGAGTGATGGGTCGAGCCCAACGATGGGTTGGGGAGTAATCCTCGGGATGCTTTTCACGGTCACCTGGGTCTCCCCAGTGAGCCGGCATGGCGTCTTCGATCTCGGCCAGCGTCATCATGGCCACGTCGGTGTGCTCCGTCTTGTCACCCAGCCAGCCGATGACGAGCTCGGCCGCCTTGTAGATCATGCGCATGTCGAGCGTCTGGCGATGACGCTCCTCCTCATCATTCTGGTTGATACATACGAGGTCGACCCAGACGCGAAGGGAGCGAGCCTCAAGCTCTCCACGCTGGGTCGAGTTTGCGCCAAAGAGCTGGCGAAACCATCTCGGGGCGCCGTGCGGGCGTCGGGCCGGAGTTCGTTGGAACCTCCGCGAGATGGTGGGATAGAAGACGGCGCGGATGTTCTTGATGGCTGACGCCAGGTGGGAGGTGATGGTCACTGGCAGCCCCGAGATGTAGATGCGCTCCGTCTCTCTGGCATCGCCATAGAGGGACGAGAGCGCGATAAACTCGAGGTCGTCCGTCACGCGGACCGTGACGAGTTTACACTCGATTGGGTCATTGAGGTTGCGAGCGGACTGGATCTCCAGCAAGCGGATTTCGCGCTTTGAGGGGTCGAGGCGCCTGTACGCAATGCTCATCTTGGTGGAAACAATAATATATCAGAATAGGGAAGTAGGCAGTAGGTGTGTGTTCAAGCAAAAGGGAACAGTCGTATGACCGAAACAGGATCCGGGGCCGTGACGAGCAAAGTCCGCGAGGCACCACTTTCAACTCGTCGAGTTTCTTTTTGGCCTTCTGGGCACCTTATGGGCAGGGGGGTACAGGTACAGGTTCAGAAACCGCAGGATGCATCAGCTCGCACCCAACGCAGACAGCAGGACGCCCGGCGTTTATACCAAGAGTGACCGAAAATGAGGCCAAGCGGGCTTCGCGCTGTCGGCTGTCACATTTCAAAAGCCGCCTTTTGGGCGGCGACAGGGGAACGACCGCGCGAGGCATGGAGAGGCCCGTCCGGGACTTGTCACACGTGTCGACAATCTTACCTCGAGCCCGTTAATACTAACAGGCAAGGGACGGACCGCTCATCCAAATCTTTTTTTTTTTTTTTGTTTTCCCTTTCTCTGGGAATCCCGCCGCCTCAAACATGAGTCCACCTAGTGGAAAGGGGGAGGAGAGTCTTTGCCTTTGTGCCACATTCTACCGACGGTTGGTATAACTAGGTACGGAGCACACGCACACACAATCACTACAGTAGGTAGGTATTGGCAATTGCTGGTCTGTTCAGACCAAAGAAGCCATTGGATAGCATAGGAATACGCTTGTGGCGGCAGTGGCAGTTGAACTACGCGTATGCATATGCAAGGGGTAATTAGTTCTTTCTTACGTACTCCGTAGCCTACTCCGTCCTGGACATTATCAAATCACATGTAAGTACGGGGTAATCATACCGTATATTCGTAGCCACATCAGTATAATGGTGTCCATGTACGAGCACAGTAGGTAGGTGGGTTGACCCCAGGACAACAACTGGTATGAGTATAGTATGAGGGGGACAATTGCACGGAGCTCCCTCCGGGCTTGCCAATGTTTGGTAGCTTTGCCTATCCTTGCCAGCTGAAGTATTTGCCGTGACCCCAACTCCCCAAACAGCAAGTATCAATAGCCAGGAATGCATGTCGTTTGACGCACCCCTGTATTCTCGTCCGTACAAGTGCAGCAGACGAAGCACGGGTGCAAGCAACTCGCCTAGTGACGACTAGGTAGTGTGCGTCCTTCATACTAGCAGGCCGTACGAGAACGAGACGAGAGATGACCCGGGCGGCGAGTCTGCCTCTAATTATTCCTCTTCCCTTTCTTCTTCTCATCCTCGCTCTTTACGTGGTTTCTCTTCTCGCTATCGCCAGACTGGCTAGTTTCCGCGACGACGTGACCCCAGTTGCTACACATCACTTATCGGGCGACGCGAAAGCCCTCACTTTTGAGGCCCTCCACTTCGGCCGATCAGCTAGCTTCCTGTTTTTACGGAGCGGCTTTTGCGCCTCAGCCGTCGCCTGCCGGCACGCCTTTTTATGCTACTGTACGAGCGAGTGTGGATAAATCGACCTCTTTGGAAGCCTGCAAGACAGCTTCATATTGTACAGTAGGGGGACCGTACGAGTACATACGAGTACAGTCCCAGGTGGATTTGATTGCACGCACCCCTGGTCAAACAGGGCGAAACAATGAGAAGACGCAGCCAACAGCACAAACGAAGTGGGAGTACGAGTACAGTACCTGTACCTACTTGGGTCCTTTTACAGGTACGAGTACATGCCTGTATGATCCCTGAGAGCTCCTTTCTAGAGGCATCCATCCTGCACGCCTCCAGGGGGTGTCCTCAAGGGCATATCCAGTCCAGCTGGAGCATTTCCGAGTTTTCGTCCCATCTTCACCGTACAACACCCGCACCTGTCTGTGTATGCAAGTGAGAGGAGTCTGCCGTGGGCATGACCCAATCCTCTCGCAGCGGCATATACCAGCCCCTTGGCCCTGCCAGAGTGTCACGAGCGTGTCATTTCTTTTACAGGCCATGACCCTTGCCAGCGGAACCCCGGATAGACCCCATTGCCAGACGCGAGCTTGGCGCGCTTGGTGTAACGGCCCTTTGACCCACCAGCGTCAATTGACAGGTCAAGCCGTCTTGGAAGCTACAGTACTGTAGTTATTGGTCTCGACGTCGAGGGGAGGCTCTGTTGGACAACTTGAGGACTGCACGTCGTTTCCCAAGACGGCACAAGCTTCTTCAACCAAGGCAACACAAGAAAAGAGTCAAAGTCGACAGGTCTGTACTTGTATGACTATGACTAACAAAGAAGAGGAAATGACTTGAAGGACAAGAGCCGCTAAGTGAAAGCACGTGCTAATGCAAGATAATGTGCTCCGTCGCATCTACAGACACGGGTGGCGGCCAACGACATTGCTACTCGTACGTATTCATGGTACGAGTAAGTAGATGTACTGGACATTGGTGGCATGACTCTCGAGGCCGTGTTAGCCATGGATGACGTATTTTGATATGATACATGCCTTCCCTGCTTCATAGATCCGATTCGAACGCACGCAGGACGGGCCAGCTCCATCACTGGCTGTATTCCGCATGCCAGATAAATGGACGGATGGCCGTCATCATGTACAGGTAGTAAGAACTAAGATCGTGAAGAGGGGAACCAGTTCGTCCCACAATACGAATTATGGAGAGGCAATGAACAGGTGCTCTGGGGGTTTGAAGATCTTCTTTTTGACGAGGTTAGCTCTCTACCGCGCTCTCCAGCGTCAAGTGACATGATAGCAAGTCCGGCGTTAACAATGCGAAGCTACTGCACGAGGGCTGAAGAATCCTTGGCCAATAAAGAACTAAATGGATAGACGACGGCCGTACGGTGCAAGGGCGACAGGTGTTCTTGGGCAAGGGTTGAGGCTATTCATGGCTCCAGGGCTGCTCAGAGGAAAACCACCCCTTCCCCTCTCCTTTCATGTGTGAGCAACAACGACCAACGACGGTACTTGTACAAGAGCGGTAGGAGAAGGGAATTGTTGCCCTCATGGCGCCCTGGTCTACCAGGTTTATCCCCACACTCGCCTCGATTGGAAGCATGGCCGAAGTGAAAGTGGAAGAAGAGAGGGCATGTAAATGAGCAGGCTGACCAACAGCCAAATGATATGCAAAGCGGTTACACTGATGCGACTTCGTCTCCATTCTCTCGGTGACAATGGGCTGCCGTCCGGTACATTCCGGGAAACGCTCGCGGTGAGGGCTTTACACTTTCTCTTCATCCAGGTCAACGAGGAGGAGATGCAGATGGCGACTCAGCCGACTGAACTAGCTCCTGGAAACGTCAATCCTCTTCTCCCAGATAGGCTTGACACGATCCAATAGAGCAGTCTAAGCTGTTGATACATCACTATCATGCTTGCCGCACCCTACCCACCGCCACGCACTAAGTGGGCGGAGTGGGCAGAGGTTCCCGGTCACGTTTTAACATTAACATTACTGATAGAATCGGACGGTTCCACGGCTCTGCTGCTGGTCTTTGGGGAACCACCGGAGATCAGATACGACTGTACAATCTCACAGTTAGTCATATTCCCCTCGTTCCAATTTACAGCAAGACTACCATGCAAACTAACGACCAACAGCATAAGCTAGGCTCACCCACAATATACGCGAGCGAGCCATATTCCTTGACCTCGTTGATTCTTTCCTGCTCGACCACGGCCACGATGCTCAATTGGGAAAACTGCCTGCTCGATTCAACTCGAGCCCAAACAGGGAATGCCTTTGTAATATATCAGCCCTCCCGAGCTGGCCGCCAGGATGAGGGCACACGCTATGAATAAAGATCCAAGGTTTCCCCCGTCTGGTGCGTTTCACCTCAACTCTAGTCTCAAGTCTATCCTCATAGAAGCTTAAGAGTATACTTGCTTTTTCCACTCCCATACTTGTTATACTCTCCAATTCTTTTTGTTTGCTTTTTACTACTATCAAGCCACACCGGCCTTAGATCTTCTCGAATATCAGTTTTCCCACATTTTATCCTCTGGTTGGTTGCTATCCAACAACTTATACCAAAATGGTCATTGCACGGAAGTCTGGCTACCACACCACGGCCGCTTCCATGTACCGCCGGGTCTTCACGGCATTGAAGCAGTTCCTCCCAAGAAACGACAGCCCAGTGGACGGCTCTTTGGCCACAGAGCCAAAGAAGCTGGCTGCTCAAGTGGCACCCATCTGTTCCGACATGCTCGCTCAGCTCAACTATCCCGGAGCACCCAAGCTCAAGGCCGAGGCCGTCGAAGGTCTGCTTGCCTACATGCATAAGCGAGCCATTGAGTTCGATGTGCCGCTCAATACCAAGATTTCTGCAAAGGGATTCCGTCTAGGCTACGCAGAAGGATTGGTGCGTTTCTCTCTCTCTTGTTTCTAAGTGGTTGGATTGGCGCGCCATGGGTTGCACAAAGTGTTTGGCTAACAAAAAAGGTACAATAGCTCGCCCACCCCAACCATCCCGTGCAAGTCCAGGGGTATGTCGGTCTGTTCACTTGGCTCGTTGTCCAGTACGACGACATTGTCGGCCAGAGCAACCAGATGGTCCAGGAGGCCCTGCAATTCCACCAACGCTTCTTCCGAGGCGAGCGGCAGCCAAACAACCTGCTCGAGGCCATTGCCATCCTGCTCCGCGAGGCGGATGACCACTTCGACACTGTCCTCGCCAACATGCTGCAGATCTCCGTGCTCAAGTTCCTCACTAGCAACCTGTTGGAGCGCCACGACGGCTTCCAGCACATGGCAGTTACGCGTGCCGGCAACAAATTTCCGGATTTCTACAGGGATATGTCGGGAATGAACGTGGCCTATGCCGTCTTCTGCTACCCCAAGGCCCAGTATCCTGACGTCGCGGCCTTCCTCGAGGCGATCCCCGACATGGCCCGTTTCATTGACATCTCCAATGATGTGCTCTCGTGAGTTAAACGCCCACACAACAATACCATGACGGGGGGGGGGGCTCCATAGCTAATCTCCCACCTAGATTCTACAAAGAGGAGGTCGGTGGAGACACAAGAAACTACCTTCACAACCGTGTCGATACCAGCGGCAAGCCCATGCTGGCGGTCCTCCAAGACGTAAGCAACGAGTCGATAGAGGCCGCAAAGCGAGTTGACGAGATCCTCAAAGGCAGGGGTGTCTATGAGCAGTCCTGGAAGGAGAGTGTCCAGGGCTACATGGCCATGCACACAACTAATCCCCGATACAAGCTTTCGGACCTAGGCCTGGCCGAGGAACATCCCCTTGCTCCTTTTGAGCATAAGATTGGAGAGTTCTTTGACCGGGTCAACAACAGCTCATGAAAGGACAGGATGGGAGGAAATCATTGCATCCATGGCGCATTGCGTTGTTTTTTATGGAGAGAAGGGGGCGGGGGAAGGGGGGAGGGTTATTTGCCGCGCATTTATGGCTGCGTTTCAGTTGCCTATTCTTTCTTTTGTTTTTATCATGCCATTCGGCAAGGCGTTAAGGCCTGTATGACGATGAACGATGCTCACGATATGATACTCTTTGACATAGGTAGAAATAATAACACCTTTTTTTTCTTCGAAATCTATTCCGAAACGTTGGTGCTTGTTGCGACAATACAAACGTAATACGTTATTGAATTCTCACTTCTTCTTACTGCTTGTTTCGTATATCAGAAGACGATGTAACACTACATCTCACTCCAATCTTCTCGACGACGTTAGCTTAGCTTATAATGCAATTCGTGCAGATTTTCGCCGCCGTCGTAGAGAGTCTAGAACAGAGCGGCGGCGTTTAAGTCAACTAAAATAAAAAATAAAGTCGCCGATAGTAGGCAGTCAAAATCGATTATCCTCGCATTATTAGTTTTAGATTGTTTCAGATCGAACGTCGTAAGCGCTGGTGATCGACCTGGTATTGATTTTCCAAGGTCGGAGTTGCATGGACGTAGGGGAGGAGACACTCGTTTTGTTAATCTTTCCGACTCTTGAATCATTTTAGACACAACTTTGAGGCAAAATACGAGAAAACACTGAGTAGAGTGTTGAAAACCCTGCCGAGAGTCTCGGCTAACAAGTACATGTATGCAGTGGAATCTTGCACGATGGACTGACCGCATGCCATTCCGTAGTGGAAACTTCATGGCTGTAGTAAAATGCGCAGATGAGACCAGAATATACAGCCTCATGTCTTGAGAAGCCCAGGAATGCTACGTTAGATTGCTTGTTCCCGCCAAGGTACACGGAAGGCTTCTGAATCGCTTGCCCGCTTGCAGGGATGTAGCGGCCAAGGCATTTTTTTCCAAGGCGGTGGTGGATTTGACATGGTTCATGGCGGCAGGGCTCCTTGGAAAAAAAGAGAGGAAAAAGAACAACCCCCTGTCCCCCCCTGCAGAAAACATGGCTTGTATGTAGGTCCGGCAATGTACGAGTACAAACATGTATGAAATGTGTACCCTGAGAGTAGCATCAAGTACCAGGCATGGTGCCCCCCATCAGTGGAGGCGTTCTGTCTTTTCGCTCCTGTTTAGATAGGGGCTGGGCCTTGCAAATGGAGTACGATTATGTACGACTACGGAGTATAATAAATACTATCCCCCTCCCCCATCTCGTACGTGGCTGTTGCCGAGGCGTCTGTGTGTCATCTCCACATGCTGCGGTCGCTAACATGGAAACCATGAGTATATACGAGCACGTACGATAAGTCCGGAGAGAAGTGAATGAGATGGACTGTTTGCAAAGTCCAACGGCGAGCCCGGATCGGCAGACAGGCAGGCCTGTGCAGCGTCTCGAAGGGCAGGCTGGGCTGGGCAATTCCTAGCGAATGCTCGAGTGTTTTAAGCTCCCGCCAGCTGTGTGAGGAGAAAGCCAAGGGTAGGTAAGGTAGGAAAGGGGCTGGCAGGCATGGGCATTTTTTGTTTCCTTTTTTTCTTCTTCGGCACTCGTCGTTTTTTAAGCTCTTACTTTTTGTTTCGACGTCGCTTCCTGTATCCATGTAACTTCTAGGTGCGGGTTTAGTGTGAGAGATGTACTCGTAGGACTTCTAGAAGGAGTCGCATTGACGCTTGACATCTTGTTTCGCATTAATTCGCTAGGAGCGGGAAGATTCTCGCCGGCGTAATGATTGACGTCTATGCGATGAAAGCGTGAGCGATTTCAAACCGCTAAATCGCGGAACTGCCGCTCCGGGGCGAGCCAGATAATCATTACAGCGTTACATGTGTGGGGAAATATGGGCTGATTCTTGCAGGACGGGGGGCTTTTTGGGGGTGAAAAGAAAGAGAAAAGGCGGGATTCAATTTCTTTCACTACGACGTGGAGTACGAGTACTGGGCATGTCCTTCTAACGGTCGACTTTCTATTGTTATGAATCATTTTGTGATCAGTTCGAGTCTCTCTCGCTCTCTCGCCTACTCCTGCGGTCTGCAACATCTACCAGGTGCGTATGCACTGGCCTGCGGGATGTGGGAACCTGGATCTCATCGCATGAAGCGGCTCCTCAATCTGACATGTATTTGGTGGCAGATTTGCCATGCGCCTTGAAACTCTGTCAGCCTATTTCGGGCATGCCCAATTACGACGTTTATGCATCTCATTTTCCTTCCACTAATAACTACTGGGCTGGATCAAAATCGACATGGAATAGAATATTCATTGCGGAGGAGATATTTTCCGTTGCAAAATTCAACGGTCCGATGTGGCTCAAGAAGGCAGGTAAAGATCAGCTTGCCTTTGGATCGAAGATGAGCGGTAGCAATATAATGCAAGACACTACATACTGTACCGGGTCTCACATCTGACATCTGTGTACGGAGTACACGTAAGTTATACAGTATGAGACCTAGCAAGGAGGTCGTCTGCCCTGGGGTGTAATTTGCCAAATTCATGCAAAGTTTGCGAGAACCTGCTTGGGGTCTTTGCAACACATGCCCTGTTTTATCCTGTCTTTTGCAGGGTTAATTCGATTTCTAGAAAACCTGCAACGTTACATGAAAGCACGATGTTATCGATTATTCCTTACAGTCCTGGCCGAGTGGCTATGATACCTCCCTCATATGATGACACATTACGCACCACCGGGTAGACGATAGATATACATCACATAGTGACAAGTAGTGACGTCGAAATTAAGCTCAAATGCATATAGTTTAATATATTTTACATCTAGCTGCAATTTCTACTTGCATTGTCTCAACTATGTTGACGTCGCTATTGGATTATTGTGCTTATGAAATAACCATCACCAGATCCATGAGTTGTTTTGACTACATGTAGTCACGATTACATTGAGGCATATCATATAAATGTACCGTGCACGTGAGCTGTGTGACCGACGATTTTTCTAATTATATTGAAGTTACAATGCTTTTTTCTTTTCATCCGAACAATAATTTTTCGCACTTTTAACATCTATATATGTATGCTTATCAATGCTGTTTCTTGACTGATTGTATCTGATTGTATTTAATGAATCAATCACTTTTTTTTCTCTTTCAAAAAGCACTAAGGTGAATTTTTTTTTAAATGTGTCCTCCATCTATGTTTTCTTTGGGCGATTCTCTTCGATATATGCTGCAATGTTTGGTCGTGCCTCAAAGGCCTCTCGGAACTTTTGAATTGCTTCAGGGAGTTTGGACTATACGTCATGAGTCAGCACCATGAACCAGGCAAATAATTTGTCTGAAAGTATGGACCTACTGGAAGAGTCCCGATCCGTTCATCGTTATCAATTGACTGATAGACGGCAAAGTCGGCGTATGATATTCTGTCTCCGAGGAGATAAGGGCCGTTGTTTGCAGAGTAGAACTCTGCAATAACGTTGTAGTATTCTGGTACAATGTTGTTTCTGTAGTCATCTGTGACTCCCTGTAGGCTTGCTACCCATTGAGTCTATATCTCATTCGTTAGTACATGTAATGGACTGTTGTTATTCCTTTGTGGAAATGACTTACCCTCCAATCATTGTAAACATCTGAAACAGCATCAAGCTGAAATTTCTCATGATTAGTTTCGCCTTCATAGCGGCCGATGTCTCGAGCGAGATATCGCAAAATAGGGATATGCTATATGCGGGACAAATATGTCAGCGTATTTCCTAAGCTTTGAAAAGATGTCATTGATTGAGTAACTAACTTGATTGATAATGATACCATTGATCAAGAGCGCAGGAACCTTGCCGGTTCGGGTAATGCCTTCTTGCTTGAGTCTCTCGCTCGTAGCCGGCCATGTGTCATCATAAGGATGCCGGATATCGTTGAATTCAATCTCCGCGTCTCTCATAAACAGGCTAATTGGTGTGTCAGTACGGGCTACAAGAGGTCTCAATTTCAAGGTTGGTTGTGGAAGAGTTGCTGAGTGGCGCACGACTTACCGTACGACTTCGCCACGGCCCATTCTACCAATGTCCAGATAGTGGAGGGTGGGAATAGTTTTAGCAGCCATTTTATATGTTTGTGATTGTGTCGCTGTAACTGAAGGGATGATGATGCGAGCTGGTCTATGTTGGAGCGGTTGTCCAGAGACTTGGAGAGTTCCTGGAGCTACTCGGGGTATAATCGCTTTTAATACGGGCCGACAGCTCACTCCTATGGATGGAATGAACATGGCTTTGTAATAGTGACCAATCTCCTTGGCAAACTAATAGCGTGTTGTTCGCATTCTCTTTCCAACTAGCAGGATACGGAAACTACTATGTACTTTGTCTTTGCGCTCTTTGTGCGCTCCGAGTTGAGTCCGAGGCCAAAGAGAGCTGAAAACATTGAACCGACTCTCACGGGCTGACTCATCCGGAATAATGTGGGATGCGGCGTCGCTCGATTTCGCAAAAACTAGCCGCGCGGTGTGCCGTGCCCACGAACCGGCGGTCCGGATTTGGGCAGTGGATGCCGCAACGGACGTCGTCAGGTAGAGATTTAGATTCTTGCAATTGACTACTGGGGCTCATTATGTCATTGAAGCTTATTATAAACACTTGTACGTGCATCGGGCGTGCTGACGTAGGAGCAACTCAAGGGTTGTTGCTTTCAGTCATGTTGTGCTAGTGGCTTGTAAGGGGAGATGATGAAAACTACAAATAGCGAGGCTGTGACGCGGCAGTGAAGCAGCTGTTTTGTCACTCTTCTAGTACGCTATTTCTCCACGTATGGTGAAAATTCCATGCGTGGCGCAGTTCTTGGTATTCCACGCATAGGCAAATGCGTCTAAGTGCTGACGGGCGCTTGTTTCGCCCTATGCTGTAATCTTCTAGGCGATGACAAATCTTTCTCGACTCTGCGGTAAGATGACGACTATTGGCAAGATGATCTCCTGAAAGGCACTGGAATCTGGCCTATCTGCTTTAATTTCCCGTATTACCACATCATTGCTAATGTTGGAGGTAAATAGGGCCCCGTCCCACGACGGCGGCACTCCGCTTTCCTGGAGGTTTCCTTAGACGCGATTTCGCGTTATTTGCCTTCGTCATTATCTGGAAAGCGACATAGTAAACGCGTAAACAGGTCATTTTGCCGCCATGAATTCAACGGCCTCTATGGCTGACCGAAAGGCTGCAGCATCTGATTATATGCCACCTCCTACGTTCAACATGCCGGCTCGTCGCGAAGTCCATGTGCATCCGCCATCAGATCCAGTAGCGGAGCGAAGAGTGCGACAGGCCATTGAAGACTCGGCATCGAGAAACGCGCAGCTCCTCGGCGAGCTTGAAGCTACAGCTCATGCACCCGGGCTCTTCAACAATAACCAGGTCAAGATTGAACATGTTGACAAACGACTGGCTGATCTCGAGCCCGAGGTCGAAAAGGCCATTGCCGCCGCCAACCTGCAGCTCAAGAACCACAAGAGCTACAGGGACTCGGTGGCCAAGAAATTCGTCTACACCGTGCTGAAGAAGAAGAGCGCCTTTGAGGACAGGGCCATGCGGGAGGAGAAGGCCTACCACGAAGTGCTTGAGAAGCGTCACAAGGCTGAGGCAAAGTTGAAGGATCTCCAGGCAGATAAGGCAGCACTGGCTGTCGAGATGAAGGACCTGCAAGAACTGGTGGGACGACACGGCACCGCACACAAGGAAATTGACGATCTGTACTCGCGTATTTTTGACGGTCCTACGGCGGGATTCGCAGATGAGGATGAACAGGAAGAGACACATAAACTTGCCAAGTTGGCACTGCAGGAGAGGACAGAAGCACTCAAGGCGGCTGTTCGAGGCATCAAAGCCGCTCAAGCTGTCAAGGTAGCCATCGAACGCGCCTCGTTTGAGAAGCAGCGTGCAGCCTTTGAGAACCATTCCGATATCTTTTCTCAGCGTGGCGTCCACACGGTTCTGAAACGCTGCGTCGCTTATATCGATCGCGGACTTGAACTCAGCGACGAAGCTGTCGAAGCTATAAAGGCTACGCCTGGACCGGACTTGGTACAGGCCAAAGACAATCTTGACCAGCTTTTCCGCACCGCCAGGGCGGCAGCATCAGAGCGCTACACCAGCAAGTCGCAAAACTCCGACCTTTTAGAAAGACTAGGATCTACACTGGCGCAAGCGTTGTTTGCTCAAAAACAGTATGTTGAGGCCATGAAGAAAGTCACAGAGTCCCGGAGAGAATCGATCCGGAGGACAGCAAGAGCCCTGGAAGACGAGCGACGTGCCCTGCAGCAGCTCCGACAGAGCGCATTCGAGGCTACCGTTGGCTTCGGTGCTGCGGCTCCTGCGTATCACGAATGCTGCGACCGAGCTCCTGGGTTTGAGCAGGATTCCCATCAGCAAACGGCATCTATCGCTGAGCCGGTTGTTCTGGAGCTTCCCGAAGAAACCGAGGCTCCTCCTGATTATGTGTACGACCATGATGGACAAGCACCCCCGGCAGCGGAGGGAGAACCTGGATCAGGCTCTCATAACCATGGCACTCCTCTTCGTGGAGAGGTTACTCTCTTCAACCCAAGAGGTCTGCAGGAGGTTACTTAACAGGATACGGAACGTCGAGGTGTTGATTATGGCAGTCTTGCCTACATTTTCTGTCTTTTCCTCTACTCATGAGCGTTTTGATTTATTCTACTAGATTGCTGATTCGTGTTTGGAATGGGTGATTGGTTGCTGCTATGTTTGTAATGGCGAGGATGACTACTTTGAATACCACGGGGCTATATGGAGTTACTTTTCTTGTTTGACTATATTAGGTGTGGCAGCGTCTTTATTGGGCAACACATATTGAGACTTATACACCACCCTAGCTCAGCATTCTTTTAGCCGTGAGACCAGCAATGGGTTAGCTTTGATATTAATACTTCTATTTTTACTCATCGACGTCACTGGTGTTTACTTTTGTACCTCATTTCCTTTGCTTATGACATTCCACCCACCTATTGCACTTGATGATATCTCACTTTATTTCTTCTCCCGTATCTTGATTGGCCTGCTCCCTCTAGGTCATTGAAGAGGGCGACCCTTTCGTTACCATAGGTGTATGACTGTGTAGTATAGACGCTTCCTTGCAGAATGTCTTACTTACTCTGTAATATGGCTCTTGAGTCATGAATGTAGCTCTGAGTCGGACTGTCGGCTAATATAGTCTGCATTCTTGCGCCCTTGAATCAACAACTCGTGCGTATTGAGCGATATTCTTTGACATGTAGTGCCTAATCGAGTTTTCGATGTCCCAATTTGGCTATATCTTAAATAATATGTCAGCATCGCGCACTGTTGAGCAACCAGCTTATACGCCAAGACCGAGATAGGCAAATGCTCAATGTTAGCTACATTCTTATATCTCTGTTGGAACATGTGCAATGCAAAAGGAAAGTTGCTCTTGAACTTTCGAAAAGAGTCCGTCGTAATATATAAATATGAGAACGAAACCCACGCTTGGCTGTAGACTCAATCTTAGTAATGAACAGCAAACAACGAAAGCATAGAGCCAAAATGCCGTCTATAGCAGGTCACAGAGTCCTCATCCTTGGAGCGTCTTCAGGAATAGGCTTTGCCGTTGCAAAACTAACTCTCTCAGAGAACATTGCGCATCTTGCCGTTGCATCCTCCAATAGGACGAAGCTAGACAATGCCGTCAAGGCACTTGTGAAAGCAGTTCCTGGGTCAGAAGATCGGATAACCAGCTTTTTAGTCGATCTAGGTGGCGAGGACACGGAAACACAACTCGAACAAGTTCTCGCGGACGCTGCTGCCGCTGCTGGAGGACCTCTCGATCACATCGTTCACAGCGTGAGCAATAGGCGAGGCCCGCTTGTTCCCTTCTCAGCGACTGACTACAAAACCATCCAGGGGCTGTTTGTCCCGAGGTTTGCTCAGTTGGCGCTTCTCGGAAAGTTGGGCCCAAAATACATGAACAGTAAAGGCACCTCGTCAATCATTCTCACTTCTGGCCATGTCGAAGACGTGCCAATGCCAGGCCTGGGCGTTCTCTCTAGTGTTGGCGCTGCCATCACAGGTATGGCCATAGGGCTAGCGGTCGATATTAGCCCGATACGTGTAAATGCGGTTGCGCCCGGCATCACCGAGACTCCCATGGTGATTGAGGAGACGGGCGAAACAATGGCGTCTGTAATATATGAGCTTGCTTCTAGACAGTCACTGGTCGGGAGACCCGGAACAGCAGATGAGGCTGCCGAAGCTTTTGTGTATTTGATGAAGGACACAAATGCCACCGGTGCCTCAGTCAAGTCATCGGGAGGATCTATTATTCGCTCGGCTTAACGCGGTGGCTGGCTCTTATGTGCGGCTCTCTTGTCTCAAAATGCATAACCTGGCCGAACCGGGACCGAATCCCCATATGGGAAAGGCAAGCTTGATGTAGTGCACGTATCAACTCCCGCATTGTTATTGCAGTGGCCCTGTAGCTAGAATACTCTGAATCCTACGTGCTTGTTTATTCGGTTTTAGCTATGCTTGTTACGCTTGTGTGACATGAATCTCCGACTGTGTAATCTCAATAAGAGTGGTGAGTATGTGACTGCCAAAATGTTTAAGAAGCGGAGAGAATTTAGGACGAGAACGTAACATTATAGTCTATGTCTATTAGGAGCGCCCTATACACAGTTAATTACAAGTTATAATACAACAGCTTTTGTCTAGTCCAAAATCCATCTTTGCATGCCTTCTTCATGGCTCCTCAATTCTGACATCCTCAGTCCAGCTTCCCTTGGGCTGGTTGTACAGAGTCCATGCCTCCTGGGCAATGTTCTTGGCATTTAGCCTCTGGTTTTGGTCCAATACATATCCTGCAACACTCAAAAGGGCAACGTGAACTCCTTTAGGCTCAAATTCCAGGCGAAGAGATCGAGTGAAGTTCTTCTGGGCAGCCTTGGACATGGAAAGCGAGACAAGATTGGTCTCGGGCGTCTCGGGGAGATGAGAGCTAGTGACGATGAGTGTGGGTTGGGCAGAGGAATCTTCTGTCGCCAGCACGGTAAGTTGCGGGAAAGCCCATTTGGAGAGGTTGTTCAGGGCAATGGTGGAGATCATGAAATCACGGATGAGCTCCTCGTCGGTGACCTCGATATGTCTGGACTGTGCGACAATGGCGGCGTTGTAGAGGACAACTTCCACGGTTCCGAGATCTTGGCTGATTTGCTTGAGTGTCGCCGTGAACTTGACAGGGTCGATGACGTCGGTTGAATAAGTCTTTACAGTGGCATTGCCATTGGCAGCACTTGTAACTGTGGCTGCATCTTTGTCAAGCTGAGCGGGATTCCTGGCAACGAGAGCGATATTGTTGAACTTGTTGGCGGCGAAAACAGCGGCCGTGTTGGTTCCAATTCCAGGGCCGGAGCCGACGACTACGACCACGTTATCAGATCGGGAAGACATTTTGTAGTATATAAGTTTTCTGGTTGTTGTAAACTTGAAGAAGCTTGAGATGTAACGTGTTTTAGAGTTGTGAGAGGGTGGTTTATTGTTGGAGATGAGAGGTGGTTGGAGTTGTTGTATTGCTTTCTATGCTTTCTTGTACTTGTCTGCTGAAACAAGTCTCTTCTTCAGAGCAGCGCCCCATTCCTTCTATTTATCTGAAATTCCTTCAGCTTCACTTTCTAAACTCCTTGATAAACTTTAATAGGTATTCTCTGCCATGCAAGCCACGGAGTGACATTATTCAGCCTGGATGCACCAATGACGATATGTTGTTCCCTTGGACCCTGCGCCGTGAAACATCTCCGCGGGATCTTAGCAATCAATCGTGCGATCGGTGCTGCCCGAAAAAAGTGACGGGAGTTCTAACCTCGGCCCCTAATGCCGAAAAAGGGTTTTCATAAGGCTGATGCCCATTGCTCTCTTTTCCCAATTGTTGAATTCTCAAAACAGAAAAGAAACCCGCCAGTGAGTTCTACTTCGTTCTTTGCCGTTTCCTTTCCCCGCCAGAACCAAAATATGTCATACAGGATCTGTGGCTTCCGCAGAGTTCTTACAAAGCAGCGCTAAGATGCCCTGCAAGTCTTTCGGCTGGACGGCGGAAATGACGATAGCCGGCAATGGCGATGCCTTAACTTTCAATGGTGCTGGCTGTTTGTATAACAACTCCGGCGGGCCAAAACCTCATCTCCAGGGCATTGCGTGTACTGACTAGTGCTGGACAGGCCGCTCATGCATGCTTGCATAGACCAAGACTAAGCCGAGAGTCAACAACTATTCCGCTCGATAACGTTTATCATCTTTCCAAAAACTGATTGACCATGGCTGCCCAAAGAACTGCGGAATTGAGACGTCTGCTTGCTCGTTCTTACCCATGGGTCAAAAAGTCCTTCATTGTCGGGGCGCCGATGCGCATCATGGCCGGCCCAAACTTGGCCGTTGCCGTGTCTGCTGCTGGCGGCTTGGGATTTCTAGGGCCACAGGCCAAGCCAGATGGAGTATTGGCTGATCTCGACAAGGCCAGGGAACTGGTTGCAGCATCTAGCTTACGCCACCCCCTGCTCCCCATTGGCGTGGGCTTTCAGGTCTGGAATGGCGATCTGAAGATTGCAACATCTGCGGTTGGGAAACACAAGCCGTGTGCTGTCTGGCTATTTGCTCCGAGAAATGGCCAGAAAGACTTGGATGAGTGGACGGTGTCTCTTCGTGGTGCCTCTCGTGATACCCAGGTGTGGATTCAGGTCGGCACGCTGAGTGACGCGATTGCCGCTGTTAACAGCTCAACCCCTCCAGACGTTCTGGTTGTTCAAGGCTCTGAAGCAGGCGGCCATGGCATGGTGAAAGAGAGCACCGGAACTATTGTTCTATTCCCCGAAGTGGCAGATGCTGTGAAGGAATCTGGAATCCCCGTCGTCGCAGCGGGAGGAATCATCGATGGGCGAGGCGTGGCTGCTGCCTTGTCATTGGGAGCTGCTGGTGTCGCCATGGGTACTCGATTCCTTGCTTCTTCAGAGGCACGCATCGCAAAGGGATACCAGGACGAAGTAGTTCGGGCATCTGACGGCGCGAAAAACACTCTACGCACTCAACTATACAACCATCTGCGTGGCACTTTTGGCTGGCCCGAGCAGTTCTCACCTCGGACTCTCATCAACCGTAGCTGGATCGATCATGAAGCAGGCGTTCCGTTTGAGAAGCTCCAGGCGCTGCATGATGAGGCGGCTAAGGGTGGTGATCCTGGCTGGGGCCCAGAGGGACGACTTGCAACGTACGTTGGATCCGGCGTAGGTCTTGTGAGGAGCGTGCAAGACGCAGGATCGATTGTAGAGAGTGTGAGAAACGAGGCGAGGGATATTCTGAAGGCGTTGAGCAATGATATTCAAGAGCATTAGCATGCACTGTACCCTTGAACAGCGGGCTACTTGAGTTCGCTTCGGTAGTTTAACGAGTCGCATCACCTCTGTGTCCTACTCATAGTTCATGATACGCATGGAAGAAATAATGAGATCACATTGTTAACTTGGTTTATTTTCGCCGTTGATGGAGTTTGGTTCGCGGCAATTAAACTGCGTTTTATCGCCGTATGCAAGCCGTTTTCTATCTGGTAGCGTACTGCTTGTTGTATTCACCATCATCCGCAAGCCATGCCGATATAGTTCAGCTAGTGAGTTGGTCTTATATTCTCTGAAATTGGATGTAAAGTGATTGAACTTGTAGATAGATTAGTGCTGACCCATTTTATCACCTTGAAAAGTACGATTGTATTTGAGAAATACGAGATTCAAAACAATAAACGCAGTCTCTACTAACATTTGAGAGACTATCATAGGCAGCAGAAATAAAATACTACTTTAAAATTGTTAATTATAAAGAAACTATATTCTGACTTTTCTTTGAAGATGCAATTTGGTAAATAATCTGCGTTTTTGATCTAGCCGTTAGTTCTTCACTTCCACATTTGTCACGAAGGATTGGAGCCAACGGGTACCCCTCGCGATAGTGACTCAATCGCCGGTGGACTTGCGGACTTTGGCATTGCGCTCTTTGTGGATGAACAAGATCCTCACTTATAAAAGACTTCATGTTTCTGCTTCACCTTGACCGGCAACACAGTAATCCACGACACAGATTCTTGGAACCTCCAAATTAAACTCGACAGTGCGCCACATCGTTCATCATGAGCCAATCACCGCCTCGCCAGCGTATTCGCCAGCTTATACCTCAACTTCGACTGGGAAAATGGCCTACTGGTCTCCTCAACTCCATAACCGATGTCCCTGGTGTCCTCACTCATATCGAGTCCATTCATAACCCTCCCGGCAGCGAAGAGAAATCTCCTAACATCAATACCGGTGTCACGGTTATTTTGCCCCGGCCTGACTGGCACAAGTATTCTAGCTTTGCCGGCTTCTTTAGCTTCAACGGCTGCGGAGAGTTAACGTCGTCCCACTGGCTCAATGAAACAGGGCTGTTGGCCTCACCAATCGTCCTGACCACTACGTCCTCTGTTGGTGACGCGTACCGTGGAATCCTGGAGTATGCTGTTCAGTACCACTCCAATGCAGACAAAGAAGTTGATCTGTTTCTGTTCCCAACCGTTGCGGAGACTTTTGATGGTTACCTGAACGACCAAAGCAGATTCGCCGTCACACCGCAGCATATCATCAAAGGCATTCGAAACGCGACCGCTGAGGCTGTGAGGGAGGGTAACACTGGTGGCGGAACAGGCATGATCTGCCACCGGTTCAAGGGTGGCACTGGGTCAAGCAGCCGGATCGTCAAAGGCTTTGACATTGATGGAAACGTAAAGTCCTACACAGTTGGAGTACTTGTTCAAGCCAACTATGGTTCTCTGGACAACCTCCGCATAGGAGGCGTCCCAGTAGGCCAAATTCTCTGGGAACAAGAGCAGCCAGCAGCAGAACAACTCAAGCCCAGAGAAAGAGAGCCTCGCAAAGATGGCAGCATTATCGTCATCGTTGGCACTGACGCTCCGCTTCTTCCAGTCCAGCTGCAGCGTTTAGCCAAGCGTGCTACCGTGGGCCTGGCCAAAGTTGGCGGCTATGGAAGTAACACATCGGGGGACATCTTCCTGGCCTTTTCCAACGCCAACGACATTCCAGTTCAAAAACTTTCTATGTCTGGCCCTCGCCCTGCTCACCCCTATGTTCCACAACTACTGGGTGTGAAAATGGCAACCAATGAAACCATTGATGGGCTGTTCGAGGCTGTTGCTGACACAACAGAGGAGGCCATTTACAACGCGCTTTGTATGGCTGAGACGACGGTAGGCTTCAAAGGGAGAAAGGTTGAGGCTATGGATTTGGTTAAGGTGAAGGATATTGTTGAGAAGAGATTGTAATGAGACCATATGATGGAAGGTTGGTTTTGTGGCCAAATAACGTCACTCGACTATTCACAGTTGAAGAGGAAATCTGTCTGTTGATAATCATATCCCATATTTATTTCTTTGTCCTGTTTTCTCAACGAGACGAGTCTTACAAGTGAACCGGTCACAGAAGAGGATAAGTCACATGAGACTGCCATACGACTCTTTTCATCTGTCCTTTCTGGCCGCTGTTCCTGGCCTCGTATCCGGAGAAAAGGAGGCGAAGGAGGCAGATTAACAAGGTGGGACAAGAACTAGGGCTCAACGGCCTTTGTCGCTTGTGATACCCATTGGCAGCCACTCCTCGACCACCTTGTCAAGGATCCCTGCTCTAGCAGTTCCTTCACCACTGGGAGACACCGAAAAAACTTACGCCCTTTACTGTGGACTGCAGAGTAGTTTGTTTGTTATCGCTATACTATTTTATACCTAGAACATGTATCAAGATATCTCCGCTTCTGAGGAGATTAACACATGTAAACACCCTCAGATATTGATCTTTGGTAACCCTTTAAGCCCCAGGGCCTCCGTCAGTCGACTATATGCGGCCAGCCATCTACAGCCAAGCCATGTGACTATCAGATGCGAGTTGGCTCTTCTGTCATCGGGCCTTTAGCGTCTCGTTTGATGGAACAGTGGCAAATTAGGGGCTGATAACTTAAGGGGGTATCTATGCATTCACGCCTAAACCGTGGTTAAAAATGCCCTGTGAGGCGTTCTATATTTCCTCGCAATGCTGTCCCAAATTGAAGCAAGAGCTCTATGCAGCCACAGATACCCAACGTCTTTGGCATCAGGCGGGCCTACAGGAACGCAGTATCTAGATGATCTCGATTAGTCTACTCCCCGCCGCCCTGTGTAACAGGGTCTGCCCAATCGGATTCAAATCGCTACTCTTTGACGCCGCTTCCGGGGACCGCGGTGACGTTAGCAGTAGACTTCCCCTCGAGGCAGCAGCGTCAAGGGGTGGGGTGGCTTTGGATATTCACTACTGTACGTTGATATCGTCAAGTATCAGGCATCCTTATGGCTTCGTAGTAAAAGAACACAGCCCTAGTAGTTCTTTGAGTTGATGAGCTGGCAATGGTAAGGCGTCAGAATGTCCGTTTGTTTGCTACGGCGTGCATAGCTTGGCACCCTATCAGGATCTCTGACGATGTAGGCATCTTCTGGCTACCAACAACGGTGGCTGAATCATCCGACATCTGCCAAGTTTAAACTGAGGCAAACGCGTAGACTTTCGAAAAGGTTCTATGTTCTTTGTTGAAAGTGCTTCCTGTACAGATATAAGAGGCCTCATTTACGATGGACGAGTCGAAACCCAAACTTTACCATTACCACTATTACGATTTCTATCAAAATAAGATAAATAAACATCTTTGGCTCTATTACAATTGGAAAGTCACCACTGCAACTCCAGCTTCTTAATCCGTCCACATCCGGCACACCAGAAACTACCTCTACCTACCTCTATCATCAGATCCAACAATGGTTCCAGCAGCCCCCTACACCATCAATGTAGCTTTGAACATCAACCTCACCATCAACGTACCAACCGATTTGATGACCATTGTCAATGGCCTCTACACTCTTCTCTTGTGGCAATTTCCAGTGCTTCGTATTATAACGGCGCCATTTGCGGATGTCGTTACAATTACGGCCTCAATGGATGTAGATGGGTCCGAGTAACCACGGCCAAGAAAGCTTTGCTTTTGGTAAGTTCAGCCTCTTCCCCAGATATCTCGGCCTGTATATTCCAATACTGACTTTCACTGGTGGTTGGTAACGAGGGCGAAGAACACTGTTGCGAAGCCACCGACCGAATCCTACGAGGGTATGCATCCCTGACCATTCGGTCCTTTAACGTAACAGACATCACATTCGAGAGACATTTGTAGCTAATCGGGATACGGCGCTTAGATGGCAGATGTCACGAAGTTTGTTCGATACGTATCAAGATTGGAAAGATGCCGTTTTTTTTTTTTGCTTGCTGAGAGACGTGGGAGATTGTGAACCGGAGGATTGGTTAGTGCCTTTTTGTAAGTTGCTTTTCGATAATACGATTCGTATGGGTGTTATTAGGAGGCTTTAATTAGGGTTTTCTGGTAATTCAATTTGGGATGATACGATTAGGATAGCTGCTATTTATACAATTCGAATTCTGTGTCCCCGTTTTAAACCAAGAAACTCGTCGCACACTGCACCAATTCCGTCAACAACCTTGTCCCAAATGGGCGGCCATTCATAATCCCATGTTGCAATACGTCCCAACCCAGAACGAGTGTAGCACCCTGGCTGATCTTTTGCTAGAGATACAATAAGATAGACAAAAACAACCTGATCAGTCCCCTCTGCGTGATCATGCCCAGAATGATACGAATACAGTGACAGGATAAAGAGCGACCCCTCTTCGGATCCTGGTTCGTCAAAAGATATCTCAATCTCTAAGCGTTCCTCACCAACAAACACTTCCAAGTCGGGATTTATGGTTATTCGGTTGAGAGGTCCTTCGATGGTAAGAACTCCAGACGAGGCGGGCCCCGTCAAATCAGATGTAGCAGGCGTGATTTGCGCATCTATAATTTCTGCTTTCGTTTCCACGTAGACGAAACAACCATCTTCATGGCTATCGCTTGTGCTTTTGAACGGCTCGAATTTCACTGTGTTGTCAGTGGAGGCCCAAGACCACGAAGGTGCTCGATAGTCTGTGGGTCGATATAAACTTGGTTCACATTCCCAGGCCAAGTTCACAACAGGTTTCTCCTGTGTCTTCCAGATTCCAGCAAGATAAGTAGCTCTGGATAATTCCTGTAGATACTTTGCGATGCCAGACAATGCAGGCAGTAAATCCGATTGAAATGTTAGACTTGCATTGGTATAGCGCTCAAGAACATCTCCCCAAATCTCCACTAACTCCCCTGCGGGTAAGGGTTTGTGAGAATCGGCCATGAGCCTCTTTGGTACGTAATAATAAGACCAAAAATTAGGAAGGCCGTTAGGGAAATTCTCGGACGCTGTGAGCTCGTTGCACTCCCAGATGAGCTGCCGACCCGTAAAATGGATGATTCTTGGAGAGAGTAATCGTTCTTGTAGCACCCAACCTCTCTTAACGTTTTCTGTCAGAGATGCCAAAACTTAAGAGTTGAACCCGTGTGCACTTACCTTTGTAATCGCAGCGAACTCGATGTCGCCCACTACCTCAAGTTCTTCTCGGATCAGAAGCAACTCCTCAGGTTCCTCAGGGTAACTGAGAGAGATGCCGGTTAACATATCCTCTCTGTCGTAGTAAAGACCACCAGTGGAATCTGAAGAGGCTGTCGCGGATATGTTGCACATGGCATTTCGGTATACATCGGCCATTAGACTGGCCTCTCTCTCCCAGTCGGCTTTGTCATCTTGAATAATGCAAATGCAGTCAATCCAAATGTATCGGGCTCCAAGCTCTTTTGTTGTGCTGATTGCCTCTTCAAAGGTTTTGGCAAGAGGTGGCAACTCCTTCAACAAACTCTGCAAATTTGCCCTCTCAAGCTTGAACACAGTGGCAGCATTTCCCCAGCAATGACTTAACGTCACGTATGAACCATGTGGGAAACTGTTTTCAGTCTCAATTAGCTTGACGCTATTTCTATCCGACTCTGGAGTTCCAACATCTATCAGTCTTGTGGGATACCACTGTGGTGAGTCCAACTGTGAAGCATTTATTTTGCCACACAAATCATGATCTTTGATGCACGTCTTCAGAGCATTAATCACGAAGGCTTTAATATTTGAGTTTGTTTTGCCAGCTGGAAGATATTTGACAGAGACCGTTGGAGAAGGGCCTAAATTTTAGTCAAGATTAGCAATAGCCTCAACATAATTGAGATTGGGGTGTAAAGAACCCAAGCCTTGCAAAACAAAATTTCGTTCAACTTTATCAGCTTGCCCTTTCAGCTGAGAGGGCATTAGGATTGCAAAATTAAGCCGGCATGCGAATTCAGGGCTTTTCATATAAGTCAAATCGAAAGAAGAGACTTTGTTGCCTGTTGAAATGGGGACTGTATTTCGAATTTCCGAAACCACATCCTCTGACATATCTTCAAATAGCGTTTTGCAGACGAAGCATCCTCTATCGACAGCGGCCAAGAAGCTTTCGTAATTTGGGTGACCGTATTTCCAGCGACGCTCTAGCGCAGAGGCCTGTCGCAAACCATCCGCGTATCTATTGCTGCCAAGCCATTCAGGATATTCGACGCCGCATGATCGGACACAATTTTGGCAATGTTGGCAAAGGTAAGTGCCTAGTTGAGTTGTTATGGTGAGGCCTGGCTCTTCCATATTAATCTCGCTAGATATTTGGACAGAGAGAAGATGAACAGGCGAAGAGATGAGGGAATTATAGTTATGTTTTGTGAAAATCAGGCAGCACCCAGTTCTGTGTCTGCGGAGTAAGGTGCACAGATTCAGTGATTCGTGCAACAGTCGTCTCGTATTTCTACCTTGTTAGACGCCAGCAGCCGTTCACATGCGGCGGGTGTGGTAGCGTTTGTCTCAGCCGCAATTAGTGCTCAACCTGATGTGTACTAGTAGACATGAGCGAGGTGGTAGTCTAGCTGGAAGCAATGTCAGCCAGTGGCTCATCCAAATATACAGACCTGCTTGGATCCTTTCATGGCGGTTCAGCTCCGACGTGCCGTGAAACCACTAACAATTTTATCACCAAATATGATGTGGCTTTCAACAATCCGGTTTGCGCAGTGGCTCTTATATCGACAGGGGTACTCCTTCAGCTTGGGAGCGAGAGAAAGAGGGTCTTGTTCCATTCCTGACTATAGCTCGTGTCTATCATGACAGGTTTAACCCCAATTATTTGACCTCTACAAGGGAATTTGTTTTCAAGTAAAACACAAAACCTCTTGCATTAGCGGCCAGTTCCTTTCGGATGTAAGGGGATTCTCTGATAAACTTCAATTCGGCTCGAACGCTATTCTCGAGACTAGAATATTTCCTCCGTTAGTGTCTGAGAATTACATCCTAATACTTGCATATAATGTAAAGCAACTCACTTCTGTCCGTCATGCATGTAAAATTTGATCTTGTCAATTTCGCTGTCAAGATTTGAGGTTTGGGCCTTGATATTGTTTTTGATTATCTCCTCTGATATTCGGGTTGTCCCACAGTCTGGTTCGATTAGATAATGCCTGTAATGTTATGGAAACGCCACGTACCTTCGTGGTGAATAACAATAATATCCCGTAGCTCGTTGTTAAGAAGAGCCTCCAGGTAGAGCAAATCGTTAAGATGCGGTCGCACATTGCCTCCAACTGTTCGTATCACAAAAGCTTCTATGAAAGAGTCAGTTGAAACCATTACCATTTCTTCATTCGTCTTGCCCTACCTCCTTTCCGCAATTGAAAGTATTCCTCAGGACTAAAACGAAAATCACAACACGCAACTGTCCATCAGCACAGTTGGTTAGAAGTATCTCAATATCGGGGGTATTATCAGCATACATATAGCAACGGTGGGTTTTACAAAGTTTTGGGGAGCTTCTGACACGAATGGAAGAGGATCCACTGCCTTGGCATATTCCCTGTATCTAGGATTAGCTTGGGATTTTCTGTTGAAGGTAATATACTAAAGCATACAAGCTACGAAGATACAAATCTTCGAATGTCACTTCCTCGGTGGGAAACGTGAACGGCGTCATATTGGTTTGTGGAAATTTGAGGACGAATTGGTCTTTTGAAGAAGAATTGTGTCTTTGTGGGAGTTCCGCTCGCCCAAAACACCAAAAACAGAAAATGAATAATCAGGGACTGATACCTAATATCTGACGTCTAGTAAATTCTTGGCTATGGTAAATTCGACTTCTTCCAAGGACAATTGGAGATTTTATAGAACCGAAATGTAAAGGTCGTTCTCTCTTCGCCGCACAATACCCAACTTGAGACATCTGACAACTGTAAACACACTCTGGCAAATTGATAACGTCTGGATGCCCACCGACTGCGACTAAGGACTAGCAATGCCCATTCTTGGCTGGTAGTCGGCACATCTGACACGTCTGCTGGATTCTTTACGTTTCCCTCGCTACGAAGTACACGGCAATAATTTGGATCACAGCATGAGGGCCTCCAGAACTGCAGGGGCCCAGTTGTCAGCACATCGGTATAGCGCAAGAATGGCGGACTAGTGCAACCCAAAGCAGTATATGCTTTTCAAACCCTCGTTGTCAAACAAAAGCTGATCGCCCGTGCGGAAGCTTCGCGGAAGACGACTTAATGACATCAATAGTCTATATGGGTTAGCTATCATGGGTTTATCAAATATTGTCGAACCTAAATCCGCCCAAGTCCGCTCATGATGCGAAACAAGGACTCATAGGCTAGCTTCAATAAGGGCGGATTTGGAAGTTGCTACGCTTGAGCCCGTCAAAATGATCATGCAAAGTTGGGTTCCCATTTGCTAAACAGAATTACAACCTCTTCCCATCGGCTAAAATTGGCGTTTTAGACCGACGAACCCGGTATCTTCAACCTGTGATCATGTAGCTTGGTAATCGGTTACGTATAGGTTAAACTAGTTCATTGTTTTGGGCCGAAGAGGTGCATCCTTGATGTACTATTTAACCCATCACATATCCCCAGCTTCAATACAGACATCAATCACTTTAACCCCAAGCTACTTTACCACCTACCCAACGTACGACAAAACCCGCTGCGCATCGAAAATTTGTGTCACAGACTGCACTATGGCAACCGATGAAGAGACCGTGTTGAAGTACGGCGTCCTCGTCTACCCTGGCTTCCAGCTCATAGATGTGACTGGGCCGGTCGATATCATAAACGTCACCAGCAGCCATATACCCGGCGTTACCCTCGATATAATTGCTAAGACTCTGGATCCAGTACCTACAAAGCCATCTTCAAAGCCTCCTGCTGGATTACCGGTCTTCAGTACTTGGCAAACTCTTGTTCCTACGCACACATTCGCCAACGCCCCCCTTGATTTGGACGTCTTGATTGTACCAGGAGGGGTAGCCAACTTCAACCCTGAGGATGTGACGAAGCCAAACTTGGAGCTCATGCGCCCAATGCTGGATTTCATCAAGGAGCGCTATCCACGACTTAAACATCTGATCACGATCTGCACGGGCTCGGGAATTGTGAGTCAGACGGGTTTGCTCGACGGGAAGAAGGCCACCATGTTCAAAGGAGCGTGGCCAATTATTTCGAAGTGGAGAGAGGAGGTTAACTGGGTATCGAAGGCTCGATGGACAAGGGATGGTAATATCTGGACAAGTTCAGGCGTCACTTCAGGCATGGATTTGACGTTTGACTTTGTCGCGAAGATTTATGGCGAAGAGGTGGCTCAACAGGTTGCAGCAGAGATGGAGTATCAGCGACACGTTGATCCTAGCATTGACCCCTATGGCATTGACGTTGAGTAAAAGCTCTATGACTTGATAGATCGCGTCTGGTATATGCAAATAGAGAGAATGACACATGTAGTGTACACATTTCGCACACGTAGACGACTTTGACATTATAGATCCAAACGCACTTGTGCTCGGTGAAGTAGTCCAACTTTTGCCGATAATGCATGATATCCGGTGTTCATGCTTGTTCGTTCGACTTCCACTACCTACCAGAATCGTTATCCAGGTTCGAAACACTGAGATAGAAACCTTGAGGCGGCAGCGTCATTGGCGGGTTATCGAGCTCTATTGCCGTCAAATACTTGGCTATTGAGATATATCTGATTAGTTTCCATGTGAAGTCGATGAATGGAGCCTCTCCTGACCTGCGGTGTGCCATCTTCTACTCATGTACGTCAATATCTGAATAATTGACTCAGCGTTTGCCTGGAAGGCGATGTTTTGGCTTTTCCGATATAAATTCAACTGTATCGCAGCGGTCTGGTACAAAGCGTACGGGATAAAGTGCGACATCATTGCGAGATTAGATTCATTTTCGGCGCTTTTCAGAAGGTGCTGTGAAAGCGCCGCCATCTGTGTAGAAACAATTTCTAAATTTTGGAGGTCCCAGCCATTGTCAAGATCCTGATGAACAATTGGGGGGATGTATAATGCATAGAGCGAACTAGACATGGTGAGCGAACAAAGGCAGAGTCATTGAGGGCAATGCAAATATGGATACCTAATACACATTCCCAGAGCTCCGCAGTAGGTGCTGAATTCGAGTTCTTCGTCAATCAGGATTGGTAGAAATGCCTTTAATGTGCGCTCAAGTTGAGCACGCTCGCCAGAGCGGAAGTCGACATCAGTAACAGGGTGATAAACGTGCTGAATAACGCGACCTATCAAGTGCGCTACTTGACACTCTCTCGCAAATGGTCCCACGTGAAATGGAGCTGGAGTAGAGATTGTCGCTGTACCCGTTTCTGAAGTAGCCTGTGTTTGACTATTTAGAGATCGTCCAATCGAAATTGCCGGCTTCCATAGCCAACGGGACACTCACTGTGGACAACACCTGTTCATCGTTTGAAGGCAGATGAGTTTCTGTTGTGGCATATTCGGAAGCAAATATTGCGTCACCCCCACATAGAGCAGTAAATCTAAAATAGATAACGTGAGTTAGTTTCAAGGTAACGTGGATTTCTGGATGCAACATGGGGGAAATCGTACCTATCAAGGTTGTGCACAGCCCACCATGTCCGTTTCCTTTCTTCCACATCAGCATCTTGTAAACGCCAGGAATCTCGGCTTAGGCCAATATTTCGAGCCAGTCTTGCACAGCTACCAATAGAAACGGATGCCGCTGGATAGATTCCATGCCCAATCTCATATAGGCCTAGAAGAAGTCTGGACTGAATGGCGTCTAGAGTATCAAAGCCCGCCGCTTCCAGAAAGCCAATACTGCTTTTGGCAACAAGATATTGTGGTGATGTAATATCCCTTGTTCTATCATTTTGCTGAACAGGATTTTGTTGGATGAGCTTCATGCACAAACAAAGCGTAGTGAAGTCTATTCCCGAAGGAAGGAATAATCGTGACAAGTTCTCATGGAACCTCGACTGCGATATGATGGGCAGCCTGTGATGAACGGAACTAAAGTATGTATTTGCAGTTTGGCGCACCTCATCCGGCGTGCCGAGGATGCTACGAGCTTCTTTCTGCAGCGCTGTTCCAAACGTGGCATTGAGGATCTACCAGTCGTCAGCAGGGCCGCGAGTTTACAAGACCCAAAGAGAGCGTGACACACTGTTAAGCTGCAGCGACTAGGGCCGGGCGTCTCCGGAACGAGGCTATTCTGTCTCGCATTACCTTCATACACGCAAAGGCGGCCGAAACTATCGAAACTATTAGCTTCTGATATCATGGTTTATGGCGTGCCGGAAGAGTCTGCGTCTCGTATCCTTACCGAAGACAGGTGGAACAAATAGGCAAAACGCGGTTGCATTTTCTTTTACTGTTTCTACATGCTTTGCACGCATTTACAGGGGATGCCATGGAGCCGGATGATGTTGTCTCAATCTGATATCGATCGTCCGAGTAGTGAATGAACAAATCAAGGTGTCTTTGGCTCTGTTAGAGCGGATCGTAAGGCATAAGACAAGAAGATGACTAATATATGAATCTCTAGGGTAAGTGGCGGCAGAGACGGCTCTATTCCCGTGTCAGTCTGGAAAATGGAGTAAGGTTTAGTTAGCTAGGCGGCTTATCTGAGTTCTCTATGAAGCTATTTGTCAAGATCGATTTGGCCTTGGGGCTCATCAGGACGCTATCAGGCTGGTAGAGCATAAGTTCATTTGTGCGATTATGTGGTTGATATGCGTGAGCTTGACGGGTTGACAACGTCTGATTCAGGATAGAACATAATATGGGAAGCAAAAGATTATTGCACCAGAATGATAGATTTTATTGCCAAGTTTCATCTCTGTAAATCACTACCTCAAAGGCGACTCATCCATTACTCATTTTCCACTGGCGTACGTCCTATGGGATGCCCACCAAGGTATGGATTTGAAGATACCAGTGCCGCGGCTAGTCTAATTGTTCTCTGGACCCGTGTTTTCGCGATTGCTTGTTCCGGTGAGCTAACATTCTGTGTCTCCAAATCTAGCGGCGTCTCGTCCCATATGTTCTTTGCGTGAATGTCCATTGGATAGGGACTCCAAAGACAGTGGGTTGTTAAGATTTTCTGGAGATCCCCGAAACTCCTCAATACCACGCGGTTCTTAGCAACTATCTCCATGTAAATGTTCCAAAAGATCTCTTGGTAACCAGATATGCCATCCGAGCTTAGAACGATCAATATCCCTACCCAGACATCCAGATTTGCGGCGTGTAAAACAGCCATATTTTCGTGGTAATGATAGAACAATTGCTCATTCAGGCGCTCAAGGACAGATATAGGCCCGCTATATCGAGCAGGACACGTAGAGCGACACAGGAATGCCGTAAATTGCATCAAACAAAGCCCAAGAATAGCATCAATGGACTTCAGACGTCCTTCCTCTTCGGTGGTCAGGTACCAACGAACACACATGCTGATTATCATTGAGTATAGGGTGTTTAGGTCCAGAGTGTCGAATGGACTTGTGTCTGGTGCTTCAAACCAGGCACGAGTATCCTGCAAAAGACATTCCACGGTCCGTATCAGATCTAGCAGCTTGCTGTCTACGCCAATGCGACTGCTCTGTTGCCACATAGGCCCGGGCTCGCCGTAGAATCTAGAGGATTTGGGATAGTTGTGAAACAACTGACTAATTAAGTCCGGCGGCAGCAGCTTGGTTTTTTGAAATGATATAGCAGCTCTTGGTACAGAATGTCTGTAATAATGAGACGAAGTCAGATCAAGAGTGACGGCACAGGTCGAGTTATGACTTACCTGATTAGTAGGTGCTGCAGTGGTTTAAAAGAGCCTAACCCATAGGCTCCTCCCCTGAGACGTATCATCTCTTTTAACCCTTGCATGTGAGCTTGCCTCTGGTTGATATCAGGCTTGAAGAGGCTAGTAGCGGTGAATATGGGCAAGAACATGTTTTCTTCCACACAGAGGAGATTAAACACTGCGGCTATATTTTCATCGGATATAGCATGGGTTGAATCTGCCAGGTTATGCTGCACCGCAACAATGGCTCGTCCTCTATGGTGAAGTGTTAGACTGGAGTAATGATCTCTCCGTTGAGGGTGTACTGCAGCCAACTGGAGCGCTGTAAGCGATAAGATTGCATGCATAAAGGCTGGATGGCTGAACGATGGCTGCAGCCAATCCCGGTGTATTTGATCGACTCGTATTTTGCCCGTAATGGGGGTCATCTCGGAGGATATAGCATCCATGACTAGAGTTTAATCGAACAATTAATGTACTTGAACGAGAATCAAGCCTCTCTCGGCTGAAATGAGGCTTTGATGCAACAAAAAGTGGCTGAAATACACTTACAGAAGGCCAAGAGATCACCGACGCTGGCATCTAATGGGATTGCAAGACTCTCAAATGGATCTATCGGGCAATTTCTGATAGCAGACGTGGGTGGCTCAGAAAAGTCCCGGTTATGACACTTGGTGCATATGCAGTGCTGGCTAGCATAGAATGTGCCACGATCCTTTTGATCCTGCCTATACAAAGCAGAAGGCCCCATGTCCTCATCGGGGCTTGAACCTGCCATGCTGTCTCCGAGAGCTCCGTAATCATGGAGAGCCCACTCATCACAGTTATTCAGACTGAAGGACTGCTCTATGTGCATAGAGTGAAGGTCACTTTCAAGACCAATTGATCCATGAGCATCTTCTTCACGACCCCTTGTATGAGATACTCTGCGCTTCGGCCATTCCTGATTGGCGCGAATATTGCGCATCAAGAAACCCCTTACTTGGCCCAGGTATTTTTGCTCTTCAGACGGATCATTGCTGGTGTTGATGAAAAGATATTCTTTTCCTGAACCCATGGTCACTTAAATTCGGTTGTATCTTCGCCTGACGCCCGAATCTATGCATTTATGGGGACAGGTGACTGTCCTCGCCCGGCCGGATCGGTCCTTGCATCAACAATTGCTCGCCTCGTATGTTCACTACACACCAGATCCTGTGTCAGACGACCTAACTGGAGAAGTGTTTGACTACATACCTGAAGAAGACTCACAGGTTCGCACAGGTTTGGAGGCGAACACCGAGAAGTACGGTGGTCTGTGGAAGAGAGGGGGCGACAGACCAGATAGCGGATAGGGCATGGGGGACTAATATTCTGAATCACCATTGTCTCTATCAAGTACAGCATTCTCCATAAGGGGTATGGTCTTATGGAAGCAACCCCCACATCCAAGGGGGTTCGATTCGATCCGAGGTGTGACTGGAATCTTTCCTCCATGCCAATTATGTATGGAACCGTGTGAGACTTATCGAAAAGCCAACGGCCTTTAACAGAGACGATGGATATCCTCTAGAGTGACATTGTAGAGACTTCTAGGGACAAAGAAAAACCCCTGATACGGTCTGTACCGGTAACTACACGAACCGTTAGTTGGTCATTTTTCGGTTTCAAACGGAACACCTGCTTGCCCTGGAAATGAGAAGGATAGACGAGATTCAAAAGCTGATTTGTCAATATATCACGAGTTTGTTGAATCTGAATCCTGGCACGGCGCGGGATTTGATGACTCGCACGGAGTAGACTTAAATTAGGATGGGCTTTTGACTTTGATGCATAAGCTCTTGGCCTTCTTCTCGTAGAATGGGCTAGTTGTTGTAAGGCTTCAAGCCATTTCGCGCACTCCTTGGACAGTGAAGTAGTATCGGATCTTGCAAGGATCGGACAGTAGCGCAGAATCAGCGGACTAGGGTTCTGCGCGAGTGAGACTGTCGTCAATTGGAGGGGGTCATGTGTATGGCGAGCTAGCCTGGAACCATATAAGTCGACCGGGGCTGGGAATTATTACTCCAGCGAGGATTGTTGTATCTGACACTTACGGTTGGGGTTATAGAAACTAATGAGGATTTGAGAGGCTGTTGTACTCTGCATTATGATAATACCACTTAAACAGCACTATATTCTACAACTAATCTATCTTGCCAATGATTCCACATGCCATTTTACATCCAGCGCTCTCGCTAACATACATGCTCAATGACTCGTGTTCTATGTCTATTACGGCGGAGGCATTCCCTCATGCTGAGCAAGCCCCTCAATAGCAGGGATCCATTTCACCCGCTCTTCAATAAACATCTCAAGGGCCGGGCGAAGATTGTCCAGAGCACTTTTGTCATCTAGAATCCCGGGCTGGATGATTCTCATCCCTTCCTTACCACCAAAACCATCTCCCCATCGATACATTGTGGTTCCTAGTGTTGTTAGCGCTTGTCCGTATCTCTTTGTATGATCAAGGCTGGTATAAAGCATTGAACCATGTATTTGCTCGGCCATGACTCACCACAGTCACCGCAAAAGCAGTTTACGATCTTTTTCCCGCTATCTGCGATTTTCGATATTTCCTTTGGCTCACCAAAAACCTTGAACTGGGTACTCGGGACGACATAATTGTTGCTGAACATGCTGCAGGTGTAGTGGCGGCAATTCGAGCAATGGCATATTGCCTGTTGGTCTTAGTCGACTTTATCCCGCCTTCTCATATAGAGGGTATTCTCCATTGTCATTCTTACCGTGCGCTCAGGTTCACCAGTGTACTCGATCCTGATGTTTCCACAATAACAGCTTCCCGTCGGCATATTGGTGTAAGTGAGTAGAGGGTTGTAGAGGGCTGTGAAGATACGTGACAGAATGTAAGTCTGCGTAACTTAAAGATAACTGCGGAAGCACCGAGCTTATATCATACTCTTTGCGTGACCTATCGATAGCTATGCACAGCGTGATATCATATGTTTGAGCCACGGCTGATAAATCGTAGCCTGGTCATGTCATCTCCCAGCTTCTCATATTCACATGCAAGTTTGCGCTAGTCCACAGCCGTGATCACACTAGTCCACCATTTAGGCACTAACCGACGCCCAGCGGGCCGAATTCAATGTTTGCTGTACGGTATATTGGCTTCTACGGAGATCCATAATGAGCAGACCATGGCAAGAAGCTGGTGAAGGAGCTAGAATGCTGGGAGAAATCGTAGTTACGCTATGTCCGTTGACGACAAGAATGATGCTCGGTACGCTTAGCAATCACCTAATTGAGCGATGTAGTAATACTTTGACCGCAGCTCCCGATTTTTCCGAGACTAAACCTTTATAAATGCTAAGGGTATTGGGGGAGTTATCAGTCCAATGAGGCGATTTCACATACTCTTGAAATTACATCACGTTCAACACAATCTTTGAGATGAATCCTATCAATCGAGGACCTCAGATGGCGACATTTCAGCTTCTACAGCTACCTTTGGAAATCCGGAGACTGGTATACTACCATTATTTCTTTAACGACAACAACATGTGTCAAATATCAACTGTATACCAGATTCCAGCAAGTGTTGTGGCGGAGAAGGATGCTCCTGTGGACCATCATCAGGGGAAAGCATTGTGTCGTACAGCTATAGCGCCGAGTCTGAGATCTACTGTCAACGCGATGCCACTTCTGCTGTGTTGGTCTCAAATGTAAGCTTCCGGTTGAGATAATAAGAGAAACGGGGTTTGGAACAACACTAATAGCTAGTCGTCAATTTTTTTTTAGCTATCATGAAGCAATTGATGTCCTATATAGGGACGCTTCATTTTATTTTGACGATCTGAACGTTTTGCGAGGATTTTTAGAGGTAAGGCGCGATACTGGGAATGAAGATTTGGTTCGGTCCATCTATTTCAACTGGACCAGCTTTGTTTGGCTAAACCATGGCGAACAATGCGCAGTGCAGCAATATCTGAATGAACATTGGTATCCATTGTGTCGGCGATTGACCGAAATGAACAACCTGAGAAGTTTTGTCGTGTCGATCAAGCTTGCCACAAATCAAACAGTAACGCAGAAGTTTGAAAGAAGTGATCTCTCCCAGCTACTGACGTGGCTGAGCAGCCTGAATCTGTCACTAGAGATTATATAGGATAGCCCGGCATTCAACAAGATGAAGAAGCATAACAGCGCATTGTAGGACTGCTTATTTGATTTATTCAGGATTATGATCTAATGTATTAGCGCAGATAGAATTTCTTATTGGCGACAATTTATTTTACAGGGACGTTGTGCAAGAAGCTTAGAACGAGTTGAGCTCTCAATTGTGATAAGGCAATGAGTGGTATGCTGCTGATATGAAGTTATCGTTTGCCATGAATGACCTCCTTTTCATCTTCTTAGCGAACTTCGGAGAACTGGCTATCTTATCGGAGATTGTGTTGATATATTTTCTTGTGTTTGGACTGATGCGAACGATCAATATCATCACACACAACTACACTCTAGGTAACAATTCACTTAAGATACAATTGCAAACATTCATTTAACATCAGCTTACGCCATCACATCTATATTTCTGATCTAGACTTAGTGCGTTTTCGTAAGGTCTTCATATATGAACATTGTCTGCCTTTTTTAGCAGACAAGTGCTTGAGAACCATACAATTCTACTTTCCATGGAAGGCCCTCATAGCGCTCACCCATTTAGCAACATCCTATTAATCTATAACTGTTAATCAACAGACCTGTTGTATGTTTTCTCATCCGCTGCTATTTCGAAGTTTCTCTTATCTTGTCTTCACCCACAGTCTTCTCTTTGAGGTAATATAGGTTGGTACTCACCCACTTCCTTCTCTGTCTTGGAAGGCCCATGTATTGATTACCCCGCTTTAGGTGACGTTTAAGAGCCACCTGACATATATTAGACAAGCAGGCATCGTCGTTAATCCAAATAACCTAACACATTGCTACTAACTCTCTAATCCGCGATTTTACTACAATCGATAAAGTATACAGGGTAAAATAATGACATATTAAGTTCTCCATTACTCATTATATATTAAATACTTAAGCTTAACTTATAATCCAAGGTTATAACAGTGCGGGCAACAAGGGCAAAGTCGTACTAGTTACATACCTTGTATTGTAGGATCCATGATTTTTACAATGTGGAGGCGGCTGACCATTCGTACCTTAATTCGCATATCCTAGCCCATAGCTTCTTTGACTGCGCATGCAATCATAGATACTCTCATCTCGCCCATGATGCCCACGAACTTGTGGATTTTAGAACATGACCGCTTGTTCGTCATCTCCATCGCCATTTTTTGAAAGAGAACCCTTATTCTGGTTATTCCCCACAGTCTTAACAGTCTCATTCCATCCTGTATCCTTTCATTTTCAATGATGAGGCTCACAACGTTAACCTGTTCTACAAACTCTCGTTGACTAAATCAGAGTTGGGGTGTAAATTAAACAATGAGGAGCCTAACTTGGCTCACTTGATAATAAAGTCCCCTGTAAACAAGGCCAATAAGCAGCAAATCTGGATGATACAAACAATGGATTAAGAACATAACAAATTTGTGATGTTGAGCATAAAATATTTCAGCATACGGGATCAGAGAGATGTAGCATGAGACAATTTTAGTAAATTTGCTACAATTTTCGGCTAGTTAATAAGGCATCTATGCAGCATCGGGCTCATACAAACGAGGCTGGGATACTACCTTGTAGTTGTAGCCTGACATCCTATATGCTGCGATAATGCAGTAACTTAGGCTATCATCAACGTGGCGCGTTGGGATTCACCCTAAATATGTATGTACATGTCGTATTTCCACTAAGATTCGTAATTTAACTCTGGACTCTACCCCCTTTTTGTTTATTAGAAGTCCACGTGGCGCATCAAGAGTGGTGCGCTTCTGGTGCAAACATTCTGCCCTTGTCATACTACCTACAAATGTATGTCCGTCTGTGTTATCATCTGCATGACTTGAATGAAGTGAAGCGATTGATTGCTGATGTTGTTCACCGGCATTGGCATGCCAAGACCGTTTGCTGCACCAGACGTGGCACTTAAGGACTACCTTCCATTACGTGTCTGGTCAATTATCTCTGCGTATTCGATTATCAAATGAGACTGAAGGCTACTCTTAGATTGTAATGTCTTTCACTTCTTTGTGTAAAAGAATCTGCTTAGTTGTTATAGGCGAAATTTCATGAATGACACCCACTGAAGCTGGGCAAGTACTACATGTGATGATCATTCAAGAAAACTAGTGAAAAGAAAATTAAAGTCGGAAAGGCGGAATAAATTGTATATTTCAATGTGGTTATAATATTCATAGCCTGATACCCATAGGTATTCCATGGATGGCCATTTACGATTGCCAATAACATATATAGCTTTTCTCGCATAACGAACAATAAGAAAACAGATTCATCCTAGATTAATGGCGTTGTTTGTGCCTGAGATAAACACAACAAGCACAGTAGCGTATCTGTATCCCATTTGTCATTTTAGATCAGCATCTGACCACATCAAAAGCAACTCCATATTCAGATAGCGGGTGATGGTAACATACGTTGCGCCAGCTACGACCCATTCAACGGCTTTCACTTTAGAAATGCAAGCCAAGCCAGCGATGAAAGTGGCTGTTGTAAGGACAACGATGACCACTCTGTATGTCAGATCATTGACATAATTGCAGATGATAACAGGAGTAAGGAGGAGTGCTGCGATGAAAGGCGCCAGGAAGATCCGCACAGCCTTCCTCAATGATATAGCCGAAATCGTCACATTGGGGTTTCTAGAGGCTGGTCGGAAGGTTTTTCTAATCTTTTCTTTCATGCGTGTCGATATCTTCCCCAATTGTCCTTGCCGAGGCCCTTCGAGCATTGTAATCACTGCATGGAGTGCTTTACTTAGCGCCACTGACAGGATAGTTTCTACCCAAGAGATATTTCCTGTAACGCTGAAAAGGTCGTTCCTTTTCAAGTAATTTATTTCGTCGCGTTTGAGGTCGCGGTTCATGTCGAGCCAGTTTTGGAGACTGTCAATCGAAGACTTTGAAGGGTCTTCGAAGCTGAGGGCTCGCTGATGTCTATCTAAGAAATTGTCTGTGCTGCTATTAGTTAATCTGATAAATGTCGTTGAGATAGTGGTGCCTGGCAATACCGTAGTCACTTAAGGCATCGTCGATCTTCTGAAGAATATTCTCTCTGCGTTCATTGTTGTCCAAACGAAAGCTTGCGAGATTCAACTCTTCACCTTCCATATCGTCAACGTCCTCTAGCTCCCGTTCAAGCTGGGAGAGTTTGTCCTGTTTAAGTAGAAGTAGACGTATACGCAAGGTAGAAAACCGGCGGCAGATGTGGAATGACTTCTCAGAGGCAAGCAGTGCTGAGAACTGAGGGTATCCTTCACGATAATCCTCAACTGGAGCAAGAGAGATAATTAGTATGTGCTGTATAGTGTATCAAAGAGAGGATTTAACACGGTCAACTGTACTGTAAACTTTGCTAGACTCCCTTCTGATCATTTGTCGCCAGCTAACGTCGTGATCAGTTTGGTTAACGTGGCAATCAGTAGGGTTAACGTGAGGATCAGTATGGTTAACGTGGGGATCAGTAGGGTTAACGAGGTGATCAGTAGACAAATCATGGAGCTCAAGGGTTGAGGGTGGGTTGGAAGGTGTGCTATTGTCGTTCATCTTGACGGTGCCACCAAGTGAGCATTTGACTTATGTGTTGAATGTTTGGTGCCGGGTTGGAGTTCTACGCATGGGGACGGTTTTAAAGATACCGACAGAGAGTACCTACGTACATATATGTATCCGAATACGTGTACATGAAGGGTGGTGGACACCACGCATCACTGCCACCCAACGCTGATACCCGATGCTGGCCCCCCACGATGATACCCAATAACAGTTATCTACTTAATTGTAACATCGGTCAGCACGTAATATATATGCGTGGCTTTCCCCTCATTTCACCCTGCGTTCCTTTCGCCTTTTCTACTACCATCTTGAAAATCCGTGCAAAAAAAACTCAGGATTAATAACAAAACACAATACCTTCAACATGCAGGTCCCCCTTTCATTGTAATGCAACATAGTCTGATTTTCTAGCAGGGCTAGTATTGATAAAAATAAAATGGTCCCTGCGAGTGTAAGTGTAATTCTTTTGGTTTGTGCACTAATTCTAACTGGCGTCAGCAACCGAAATTTTGGCTCGGCGATGAAGTCGAATATGATAACAGCTCATACATTGTGCTTAAAGTTGATAAGGTGCAAAAGTTGTATCAATTGGCAAAGGTCGCGGACAAGCAAGAGGAGAAAGGTGGAGAGGTGAAAGGCAGAAAGGTGGGAGGTAGACAGGTGAAAGGTGGAGAGGTTGACGGAAAATGGGTTGCTGAAGATAATATCAAACTGAAACGGATTCGTTGAAAGATATTTTTCTCTTTTTATTATCACGATTTTGCTTTCCATCTTATAGTAGACCCTTGTGCGGCAGCAGTTGTTTGGGAACGTCTGCCTAACGTTTTAGGAGGGAATAATACTTAAGTCTACTATTGGGCTATATAATTCGTTGAGCCTCTGTATTTGAGATGGAGAAAGTAGCCTTTTGATTCCACCTTCACGCATCTAACGTTCCATGTCTTGCAGACCGCGTGAGGGGATCTGGCTCTTCTATTCGTTGTCTGTTTGCCTCCCGATGAGCTCTATCAATACGAATATGTAAGCAATTTCAGCAATAACAAATGCTATCTTACTAATGTCAGCTTTCCAAATTGCATCTTGGAAATAGCTATACTTTGGCCTACGGTTTCACCATCCTCTGTAAAACTCACCCAGTTATTATTACATGTTCCTCCACAGCAGGTAAAGGGCTTGGTACCACCGTATCTGCTATCGTGTCATGTTTTCCTCTTATTGTAAAAGGTTCTGGATGTCAGCTGAATGAAGCTGAATATTAACCAACCTATACTGCACGTACTAAATGCCATATAACTAAAGATATCCATGCTTGATTTATGCAGTATTCCAGCAGGCTGAGCCTCATCCGCTTAGTCGTACCTGACGCCACCTACATGTACTCACCCCCAAGACGTCAGCGTAGCATCTTCGAGTCTAATTCGAGAGAAGCCCATCGCATATGCTGCTGCGCTGCGGCGATTGAAGGCATCAGCCAGCCTCAAGCTCATGGCAACCAATCCGTCGGCTAATTCTTGACTCAATCGTTGTGTCGGGGTTTCAACGCAGACGCGGTGCTTCATTAAAGAAATAGCGAGACCGGCTGACCCAGTTACCGTCGTCGTGTGTGACTTTTACAGAGGAGGATTCTTCTGCGTGTATAAGCTTAAGGATGAGTCCCAGCCGCCCTCGAGACAAAAACTGATCCATAGATGCGATAGAGTGAATTATTGAGAATTGTCTTGTCCCAGTATCATGTAGAAGAGAGAGCATGGGTAAGACTCTATAATGGCTAGATGCCGAATGAGATCCAACGCTTAGTGCGCTTCCGTAGCTCAGTTGGTTAGAGCTTCGTACTAATACTTCAGCCTTCAGGCCCAGTGTTGGTAATGCGAAGGTCGCAGGTTCAAGCCCTGCCGGGAGCAAATCTCCAGTGCGCGCTTCTTTATTTCTTTTTTTTCTCTTGAATATCTAGCTAGACACACTAGCAGATGCATCTCTTTTTGTCTATTGGAGATGTAGCCGATCTCCCATTGTCGTCTGAATGTCAATTGTACGGAGGCATCTCTCCACAAAGCCCAACGCGGGCTGACCCAGTTGTGACTACATAGGCTCTTTACATCCGTGTAAGTGTATCCGTGGCCGGCATTCCATCTCTTGAGGGTGAACTAGAAGTCTATTATCTATTATTGAAGTGGTTATTGGCAAGTCACCCAACGCACCAAGAAATACAAAGTCTGTCTCCGAGTGGCAAGATGATGCATTGATTTCTCAGCTACACGAAGCGCTGAGAAGCTGACTAGCTTCTTGGCCAAGTTTGATATCACGTTGGCTGAGTTTGGCCTGCAACATAAGAGGTCAGTTTTCCACTTCTTGGTACTACCATTCTTTAGACCTTATCCGAGATATTATTCTGTCCCCGCCTCATATTACTCGGGGTGTAAGAGCAACTGTTACACACGTAAACATCACTACGACGATTAATACGGCGACTTGGTAAATGACTGGTTATCGTTCTTCATCTGTGAGAAGAAGAATAGAACCACTACGTTGGATAAACTCGATTTTCTCTCTCAGTCTCCATTTCAAGTCTTCTCTTGGTGGCTAAATGGCATCGACCGCTTCTTTTAGGCTCACGTCCCTGTAACGTCGAGTCTTAGTAATGCGTACATCTCAGGTTCAAGCTCTGCAGGAAGGACAAGTTCAGAACAATCGCCAAGAATTTAGCTCTTTTCTCTTCGAGTAATTGAACTACTTAGTGGATGGCATTCTTTTCTGTACCTTGTAAGTGGTAGTACAGTTTCTCGCTTGTTGCCGCATTAAATAGACATATCATCATCCTGTGGTGGGATCGCTCGCTTGTCTAGTATAAGTAATGTGTTATTATTCCTCCGGCTCCCAGAACATGCGCAGTGCAGGGGAAAAGCCTGTTATTATCCAGTATATCTAGGCCTTGGCCCCCACGCTGATATGGGATCTCATGCGGAGGGTTACACTGGGCCCATATCCTTCGTTTCAGCGTAGACAAACTCGGAAATCTCCAGATAACTCGGTCCCGAGTAGAATTTCGACACAGAATAGCATTGACGACGACCAGAGATGGAAGATTGCCTTTAACAAGATGAAATATATAAATATTGGAACTGGGTTGGTGGCAACTCTCAACCTTTGAACAATGTATATGCTCGCATTCTCACGCATAGACTTCCGAAGCGCCATCCAAAATAATGCAGGCTCTGAGTTTCACACTTGCAATCATTTCTTCTGTCCATGTGGCAAGGCCAGCTGAGCTGTAAGAACGCGACTGTCCTGTCAGATTTTAACTACAAACGCTTATTCTTATTAGAAACAAGACGAATAGCCATTATGTGAACTACAATTCTACCAAGTCCAAGTATTAGATCGATTGTTTTACGGCGACTTTTTCATTCTGTCCTATAAATTCCGACATTAGGCTGTTGGCGCAGTCTTGTCTCGGTCACTACAGCACCGGCTTCATGTACATTTTGGGGTATTAAAATTTATTCAAAATTATTGATTACTCTATAAGGAATAATCTATTCATACAAAGTCTTCATCATTATACAATCCTAATTACATCATGTCATACGCCTATTGACGGCGGCGCGCGAAGCTGTCTGGGTCAGACATTGCGGCAGCAGCACGCAGGTTCAGCTTTCTCTTGCCATGATGGCCAGGCGCACCGTTGTGTCCTTTGCTGTGTCCAATAATGGCCCATTCTGCAACGGTGGCTCCAGTGCCGTTCTTTCCTACGACTTCCGCATGCTCGAGCCCTTGGTTGCCAACGATGACCAGCGACGCAAAACGAGAAGCAGCAACGGGATGTGACAGAGTGACGTTGGTTGTGTTGCCGATGGGAATGGCAATGACATTCAAGTCAGTGGTCTTGATGTCGTATGGGTTGGACTGCTTGATGTTGGTCAAAGAAGAGACAACCTTGTAATTCGAGCTGTGCTTCTGTGACTTCAACACCGTAGCAGGGTCGCTGATGGCCTCGTTGTGGAAAATGACAGTGGCGTTGACGGGAGGTGCCTGTGCCCAGTCGAAATGGAAGCCCGAGACCAAGGATCCCACATCTTCTTGATCAAGAGAGACGGTAATAGAACTCAGCTTGTCAGCAGAGGCAGGCTGCCACTTGGTAGAGGTAGCACCATCCACGGCCGCGATGGGGAATTGACCAGGAACATAGTCGTTGGGTGAGCTTGCGGCATGGCATTGCACCAAGTTGCCAGCGTACGTCTGTTGAGAGCCAATCTGCTTGTTAGGAACAACGACTGAGCCCTTGACAGGCAGATGATAGGTCTTTGGGCTTTCCTCAGGCCCAGAGTGAATGGTGATGGTCTTGCCAGCAAAGCGTTGGTCAGCTCCATCAAGCGCGGCAACACCACTAGCACGGCTGATGGTTGTGTGAGTATAGTTGGACCATGCTGAGATGGGCCAGCCACGCCAGTAAAAGGTTCTGCATCTCAGATAAGGAATCTGAGGAGGCAAGTTTGGCTCAATGTGGATGAAGTCGTCGGGCACCAGACGGAGACCCAGATAGCCAAAGAGAACAACCTGGTTGGCGCCACCGTGGCCAGTGAGGAATGGGTAAGCTGGGTGAGTGCCACCGTTGATGCTGGAATCATCAATGATTTGCTCTGAGAGCTGGTAGAAGGGTGCGCGGGCGTATGGCTTGAACGCATATTGAGCATAGGTGTAAGCCGAGCATCCAGAGGGTGAGATTTCGTTGGCCACAATGGAGAAGAAAGCGTAGGTCATGGCAGGTCCATCCGCAGATTGCTTGTTGGCGTACTGTATAAATGTTAGCATTGCGCTCACTCATTGATGGTATTATTTAATCACAAGAGCTCACATAGTCGAGATCATTGAGGGCATTCTCAGTAGTGTAGTTGGTGGTGTAAGACAGAGGGAATGTGACCATAATCACATCAGCTTGCTTAACCACCGCACTGCCGTTCATAGTGGTAAACTCCAGAGTCACTCCGTTTTCCCGAAGAACCAAAGCATTTGATGCCATGTTATTCCAGGTCTTGTTCTGCTCAATGCCAAACTGCTTGCGGAACGTGTTTGCGTTCTGGAGAGTCTCTGCAATAAGAGGCATGGTGTATCCACCGGCGTCGACGTGGTTCGCGTATTCATCCTACTACATGTTAGTCAAAGAAGAATGTTAGAAAAGGACAGGGAGAGTTACAGGATCAGTCATGTTGGTCAATGTCCACGCCGTTCCGTTGGGCTTGAGCAGGTTGCCATAGAACTGAGCAATTGAATCATAGACGGGGAAGAGGTTCTTCTCGAAGTCCTTTGTATCGCCATTCACAACCCACTGGTTGACAAGAGCCAATCCGATGTCTCCATTCAGATGGTACTCGTAATCCCAGCAAGGGCCGGTAGCAGTGCAGTTGCCATAGCGGCCACTGGTCCACGGGAACACGGCGGCTGATGCAGAGAAGAAAGTCTCGTTCTGGGAGCCTGCATAGGAAGTCTTGACGTTTTCCTTGGCTTGGCCATATCTAGCGAGGCGGTAGTTTACGATTCTCTCAGCAGCTTCCGGGTGCGCCGCAAGCAAACCAGGCTGCATCCAGAGGTCAGCATCCCAGAAGACTTGTCCAGCATAAGAGTCGGAAGTCAATCCGCCGACAGAAATGCTGTCAACGTTGACTGGGGCTCCATCGACTGCCTTGCTACCATTCTTGCCCACTGTGTTTTGAAGCAGGTAGTAAGTGTTGGTGACCGCGATAATGGCCGAATCAATGATGTAGTTGTCGTTGGGAAGCTTGCCAGTCTTGGGATCGGCGAAGCTGTCGACGGAGCTCTCAGGCATGACGGCTGCCCATTCTGTGACATGGGAGTTCAGAGACTTGGAGTATCCGTTTTTCAAGGCGGCTGCTGATGCTGACTTGGCGATCTGCTTGGGATTCTTGAAGGCATCAGAGGAAGCACCTCCAACAAACTTGGTCACTCGCACGGCACGTCCCGCTGAAAACTTGACGGGAACAGCCTGTGCGATTGAAGATGCGTTGGCGTGCACGTATGGCTTGCTGTGGACAATCTTGCGGTTCGACAAGTCTACACCCCCAGAGCCGGTGATGTCGGCGTACACGTAGGCGGTGACATTGGCGACGCCATTTGGTCGCACGGCTGAGAAGATGGCGTTTCCGTCTTGGCCTGATTCGACAAAATCGGTGCGTACTGCTGCGAAGCCGTCGAGAACATTGACAATTGATGCCTCCACATTCTTGGATGCGGTGACTTGCAAGTCAACCACAGCCTGGTTCACGTACAGCTTGTTGGCGAAGATGCGATATGAAATGTCAAAGCTCCCCTTGTTACCCTTGGGAGTCCACTTGTATGACCAGCTCAGGACTCCTGCCTTGTAGTCATAGGTTGATCTAAAGTTGGAGATGGTGCGGTTATCAACCGTCGCATCAAGGTAGGTGTTGCCACCAAGATCCAAGATGAGGCCACTCCAGTGTGGAATACCGCTGATGGCAGTGTCGGAGCCGTACTGTGAGATCCAAGGGAAATTGGTTCCGTTCATAACGGGCTGGGAGTCCCAGAAACCGGCGATGGTTGCAAACGACTGTCGCCTGGAAAACAAGGGCCAACCACTGATGACATCTCCATTCTCTTCAGTGTCAAGCTCAAAGAAAGGTCCGACACTGGCAACGTTGATGCCAAGATAGCCGTTGGCAATGGAGCCTCGAGACTCAAACGCTCCCTGCTTCAATTCCGTGGTGCTGAGGAGCCAGTTGTCCTCGTCCCAAGTCACTCCAGCAAAGTCGGTCTTGTAGACGTTCTTGCTAAAGTGCACTCCTGTGCTCGAACCGCCGTTTCTGCCTAGGCATTCCGAGACGCGGTCATTTGATGTCGCGCCATGGGCAGGGTGGACAAGCTGAAGCAGTGGCAACAGCGCCGTCCCCGAAAGAAACTAAAAAGAAAAGACAATTAGCATTCTTCTGTTTGGATGAGGGTGCACAGGATATGTGTAAGAACAGGCAGGGGTACACACTGTTGACCGCATTTTGCAGCCTGTCAACTGCCTTCACGATCAAACGCAATGCCAGTGATACACGTCGCGTCCAAGATGTCCACTACAGAGTGTCGCAATTGCATGCAGACACGAGCTGAGGTTTCATCGAAGCACTGGATATGCGGCATCCTGCCCGGTATTTAAGTCTAACTTGCTCCCAGCTCCAACGTTGGTAATTCTCCGCGCAGATCACCGCTTCTGGCCGGTTTGTTGGCAATGGGGTGTGGAGAGGGGGAAGACATGATCGGGGCAAGGCTGGGGTTGTAATACGGAGAAACCTGATCAACCAGCGGCCCCTGGTTAGGATCATCTTCCCCAATTCGACTTTTCCATCATCGTCTTCTGTTAGCCCGACTTGGCTCCTGGACCCAACCATGTCGTCACTCCGTTTAGCCGTCATCATAAACCTGATCTCCTCCATCTTGAGCATCATTTGTCCCGAATCGAACGAACAAAGCCCTGACGCTAATTACGTACCGTCTCCACGGCCTCATTCAATCTTCACCAGTCGGCCCAGGATTGACAGGCCGCTGGGAATTACCCCACAAGAATCCCCAGACACGGCAACGAGCCGGGAAAAGGGCCGATAATGCCGTAGCACTACCGCTGCTACGCCACAAGGCACCAGGAGAATCAGGCAATGCAGGAGAGCGAACTTGTAATAAGAAGGAGTAGCTAATGCATGGAAAGGCCTAGTTTCGGTGAACAGTGACATGCTATTGTAGCTGGCCGTTGTCAAAGTCTGATCATAAGTGGCTCGCTATCCGTGTTTCTCGTCGGTGAGGCCGCGGCAAAAGTTCCGCACCTGGGGCACGCGCTGACTGAACCGTAGCCCACAGCCATACCGAGATTGCCGGGTTTGGGACACTAGGAACGCAGTGTAGAAGCAGTTGCAACCCATTCTGCAGGCGAAATGCGAGTGTGTACATGGGATTATATGCTCTTAATGTGATCGGCGGTAATGCTTCGAGATCATCCGATGCGGAGCGAAGCAAATGCCTCTGCTGGTAAACGGCGGGGCCAGAAGCATCCCCAAAGTTGTCAATGCACGCTTACTCCATTGCAAAATGCCTGATTGCCAGACATGGGGTGGAGAGAGCCCCAGAAAAATCCGCGGCAGATGGCCGCCGAAGTCTAGAATCCTAACGTCGAAGCAGGCAAGTTTTCGTCTTCTCAAGTTCAGCGCATCAGCCCCTATCCATGCCGGCCCGACTACATCGTCACTTGGCTTTCTTAGTCAATGGAGACACCATTCGAGGCTTACTTCGTTCTATACCCGTACATCCTTCAGTCGGCTGTTCCGAGTTGATGGATCATTCAGCTGAACCTCTTGGCTGCTCGACTAGTATTTTACGAAGTTGATAGATTTGGTTAGTATCTCTGCTTTGCTTATCGACATTGTAAGCCGTAGGGTAATGGAATCGCGTTCAGTAGATAGAAATTGAGGAGTGCGTCTTTAAATCAGCATGAAAACTAGATGCCGCGAGTCATTCGAAAGCTGATCCATCTCTTGGAGACGTTGGCAAATTTTGACTGTTTCTATTTAATAATTGTTGTTTATTTTATTCTCAATGTCCATCAAGAAAGCCACTTACATGTATGGGGCGATAACAGCAGAGTGTAGGAGTACACTTCCATTGCTGTAGCATTAATAAAATCGAGCCATCTGCGAGTGGTTCAAATGTTTACATTGCGATATATAACTCTCGCTTGCCTCTTCTGTGTTTGACTGTCTCAATATTCAAATAATCGGAATCACGAAGCCCCATACTGATTACGGAAGTTGTGACTTATTATATAGACTTATCATGTACTGTGATGTGAGGATAGTACGTCGCCCGCGTGTCCTTTATATATCATTCATATCAGTTGCTTAGCATCAGGTTGTTTGAATTATCATATACTATTGATTAGCATTATGATTGGAGGCATCGAGAGGCCTGAGTAGCAATCATATTGTGAGTTGTTCAAAGTAAAGTGTAGAATATCTTGCCTATACAGATATCGTTAATGCTGCACCGTCAGCCACACGGATTCATTCGCATGCATGAGTTTTCATGCCACCCGAGATAACGGGTAATTTATTAATCTTTCATGATTGAGTTGGATGTGCAGTGACGAGATGAGTTTTTTTCCATGTAGACTGAATCGCGAGATTTTACACACTCACTGCTGTTCAGCATGGCGGTTTGGTGGCTGGATGTTCCACGAAATGAAGATTTTGATAAATGACAGTAAAATGGAACATTTCTTAGACGAATCTCAAGATGCGTAATCTCGTGCGAGCGAACAAAAAGGAAAAGGAAAAGAATCTTCTTATCATTGTCCAGTAGGAATTCAGGTAAGGCACTCTTGGTAGCGCCAAGCAAAGAGTGGTGATGCGCCTCCGTTCTCTCCCGTTGACCCATTTTAAGCATTTGATCTTCATCGTCGCATGAAAGGCCTTGTAGGTGAGATTTCGTATCGCCAAGCCTCGCCCTGCTGACTCGTTAAACTGCCTTGAATCACGGTGGCCTTGGCGGTTGTCATCTTTTGCCCTAAGATGAGTCATATATCATGCTACTAGAGCTTCAGACCACCACAGCCGAATCTGGTAATAAAAGAAACTCTATTCGAAATTGCCTTTTCAGTGCGCAAATCACATCCAGCAAAAAGAAACTCTTCGGAGTGACACATGCGCTACTGAAGTTAATATGAACGCACCTTGTCGCCTGAGTCACTCGGCATCTCCTGCTAAATAACAGCCCTGGGGGCTTGGACCTACCTGGGCAGTTCTACGGGGAAACTGTTATCACGCGCTTAATGTTTATAAAACTTGTGCTGCTCATCCGAATGCTGAACAACGCGATAACCATCAACATCATCATTCCTCTTTAATCGATATATTCGTCTAGCCAGTCAGGCATCGACGCAGAAGAACGCAATGCAGCTCAAAGTAGTCGATTATCAGCAGGTCCTGCAGGATCTGGACAAGGGTGTCCCGGTCAATTTCAACACCAACTTCCATACCGCTGCAGATGCACCAGATCTTCCGATTCCGTCTAATAAACCGTACAGCTATGAAATCTGGCTGCCGTTGGTAATGAAATCTCGGGGAATTTCGATTGCCGACCTTCAAGTCGTCTCGCTCTCCCGCGCGCGAATGAAGATCCTAGTCGAGGCTGCTGCCGCATCTATTCATACGCGCGTGCTCAATCGATCCTACGCTGAGGACCTCGAAGACGATGTCTATCCTGCTTTTCAGGGCCTTAAGTTTCCACCCGAGGGGCTTTGGATGCGTTTTGGAGCCTGCTCTCCCAAGGATGGTGTCCAGCTAAACCCTGGGGAGCGGGCGATCCATTCGGTTGAGGACATTGTACTTCGCATCACCACGTCGCTGAGGACTTGGAGCGCTCTTACAAACATCCTTAACAGCGATGCCGAAGTGGGCTTGGTCTATTTCCTCCCGTTCAACGATGGAATGAAGTCTGCAAGAGAATACCGCGTCTTTTGCGTTCCCCACTCGCTGGACATTTCCGCTGTCAGCCAATACGAGTGGCATAAGCAATGGATCTTCGCTAATGAAGACAAAGATGTGATGACAAGGGCGGCCCAAAGGATTTTTAGGGGCATCCAAAAGGTCCATGCGGAAATCATTGCATTCATGAAAGCTCACGAGGATAAATCGCTGGAGAATTTTATCAAGGATCAGGGTTTTACTTTCGATGTTCTGTACGACGAGGTTCCGGGACAGTGTATGTTGATTGAGCTCAACACTTTTGGTGTGAGGAGTGCATGTGGTTCTTGTCTCTTTCAGTGGCTGAAGGATCGCACTCAGTTATACGGAGAGACAGGTGACGTGGAGTTTCGCGTGGCGATGTGAGATTGACATCTGATGGATGCTGAGAGGAGAATATTCATCTCACAACATAGCACCACTGGCCGTGGTGAGATGATCTTGGCTTGACTGGCCAGTTTACTTTCGTCGACAGCAGGGCTACCCGAATTTGATATGGCGAGGCTCATTGCAACACGACATGGATTTCGCGTGTTAACTTATATACGATACCCTGGGCTTCAACATTGAAACCTTGACTGCTTTTAGCTCAATAAAATATCGATATTCAGATTAGGTGCTTCTCTCTATAAAATTAAGACCGGTATTTTTTCCCGTGAGACTTTAATGGAACTAACAACACTTGAAGACAACTAAAAAGATTGGGTAGTGTAAAAATAGTCAATAGCTTAGGCGTATGCTGAGAGAATGAGCAGTATTGAATCGATGGGATGTTAATTAACGTGCAAAGGCAATAAAGGTTCTTATCTCATATCAGGTAGTATTCGCTCAATAATGCCTTGCCATATCTTGCTCTAGGTCAACATATTCGGGTAACTGCCATTTCGATGTTGTTTCATTCAAGCTCGACATTTTCTAGGTGAAAGTGGAATTCTCTATTACACTGGCTCATAATCCACTTCAATCCCACGACTCAATCGCACTATTGCTGATGTCCTTGTCTTTCAGTTCATTCTCAAATAACATACCATTCTAGCAATGCCAAAGGGGAATACACTGGCTCTGCTTCGGTCTGCATTCCTTCATCTTCAAGATGTTGGCCAGTGACCAGATATTCCGCGAATATCTCGTGCACATGACAAAGCCCCCACGTTTGGCAAAACTCGAACTTCTCCTCCCCGTCGACTCCTGCTTCATTTTCAGTATCTGCTTCATTTTCAGTATCTGCTTCATTTTCAGCATCTGCGTCCAAATCCTCTTCTTCTGTTATGTCATCTTCTTTGTCATCTTCTGCAAACTCAGAATCTTCTCCACTACCTACACCATCCTCATATTCGTCAACCATTCTCAGAACTTCGGATCCGTCATCCACGCTGGACCTTCCCGAGCTCGACTTATTGCATTCAGCAAGTATTACCTGGCGCATTACTGACTCTGCTTCGCTATATTTTTCCTGTGCATTTAAACATCTGTCTAAGTAAGAAAAGTATAGCAGCTCGGCTGTAATCCCTGTTTTCTGGACTTCGCTGGAATTACTCTAGCGGTTTTGGCAAAGCCTTATTTTTGTGTTTGCGCTGTTCTTCATCAACGTGTTGTATGAGCTGCGAGACGCTTGTCGTCTGGCTAACGCAGCTTTGGAACAACTGGTCTCCATTGTTTAGCTGCGCGAAAAGCGATTTGGCATTGGTGATTGCTTTCTGCTCAGGTGTCATTGCTTGCAAATGGTTAGTTGGTGCTATTTTTAGATGTACTCGACGAGAGAGATTGAGCGCAGTTTAATGCGACTTTCGTGAGAATAGTTCATGGAACGTGTGGCACGCCCATCCGTAGCTGCAGCATCAAAGGTTCAACGAAGTGATCTTGCATGCGCGCCAAACATTCCACAAACATCAGAGGATCGCAACTTCTGATGACTCTTGATGGTATTGAGTTTGACCATGCTGGTTACGCGTTTGTCTGGTCTCTACATAGCCTTCAGGCTGCCTTCAACGTGATGGGCCAGCGCCAAGGTTTCATCATCACTCATCGGACTCATTGGAAGGATCGCTTCGCCTCCGCCTTTATCAGCCATTCATTGGAGTTGGGTTCGCAAGGTGTTTTCTGGCAAAGAAGCGGCTTTTGAGTACATGTATAATGTGTCTAGCTATGACAGTGCTAGAGTTGACACAAGAGAGCAAATCACGAGTTTGAAATAGAGCATTTAACATTTGACCGTATCTGCACTGAATGCATGTACGACTTTATTTGATCGCTTAAATACTCTCCACAAGTGCCTTCATTTCGAAGCTGCCATGTGCTGCTTTTGCTGTCTTTCTTGTCTATGACACTCAGTTCCAGAGGAACTTCACTCACAAATGTTTGCTAATTTCTGCTCATAGGTCACCTTGGATGAGCATATATGCACAGTAATAATGAGAACTTGTTAACTAACTTTTAGAGACATAATGTCACTAGGCAACCTTTTTCTCTACAAACTGCCATCCCCTTTCAGCCGCCTCAAATTGGACGTACAATTTATCGGCTTCTGCCGCCATGTCGCTCGTGAATCCAAGGTCTTTATAAGATGCTTCAGGATCCCTAAAAGCAATCCCATGAAACATCAAAGGTAAGATGGATGTTTTGTAGTCCTGGCCGTTAACTTCCAGTGTCGCCCGGGTCATGATTATCGTCCCGATGAAAAACACAATGACTCCAAATGATGCTGTTGCTAGATATGAGATCCACTGCCATTGGATCCGTACGCAAGTCGTGTTTCGGTACGATGTTCCGTTCCAGAAGCTATCTCCTATTCCACCTTCGCTTGAGTCGATGGGATTGCTTCTTGCAAAGGTTGTCAAACCCCTGGTCAATCCGTCAAACGCTCGCTGAACGTCGGCAAATTCCAGTACCCCTCGATTCCATATGGCCTGCCATTGTATTTCTCCGTAGAGAAAATATCCGGCTGGTGTAACCATCGTAGACACGTCTGTGTTTATGAAGGCATCGTTGTAAAACAGTGCGCTCATGGCGCCTAACTGTTGCTCGTCAATCATATAAAGACATTCCGGGCGTACGATTGAATCGTTCACAACTATGTAGGAATTATTTTGTCGGTAGTAAGACACGTTGTAAGCCAGCCATTTAGTATCAGAGCCGATATGAAACCCGGCATCTTGTAAAGCGTTTCGTTCAGTCGTATTGACGCATGACACGTCGACAGAGCCCATATACTTATTGTCGTTCTCATCACCAGAGGACCAGACTTCGGAGGTGTCCATAATCTCCTCTTTGAGGGAGCCTATCTCTACTTGACCAGTGTAGCTGATAACGCAAGGGTTAATTTCGCACACCGCAGCACCGTAGGTCCTGCAACGCCATGGAGTAGTGGAGTTGTCTTTGCATTGTGTGAGCTGTGACGCCATGATTTGTACTGAAGCAACCGGAGAAACTGAAAATATATTCTCGGCCGCCATTTTCAGGACGCCCGAGTTACCGCTGACGTACTGTGAACCCGTATTGACTGAGAGAGTAATGTTTGCGGCCTTCCAATACCAAGTAGATTCGTTGGTTTTCACCACTTGGTCAGAGACGTCTTTACACTTTGAGCAGTAGCCCGAAGAGTGGTATGGCTTTGGATAGGTACAGTTTCCTGTTGGGCAATCGAATGCTACAGGTGGGATCAGACTCTCATTGAGCATTCCTATCATCATTGGGCCCATAGCACCGCCGTTGAGAGTATGCACGTTCGAAGGATCGGGATCCAATAGATTGGCGTGATGCGTTGTCGCAATTGTGCTTCTGACAGAAGGGTCAACTACGGTACAGTCCTCGAGTTGGACCAATGCTTGTCTTATACTTGGTTAGCGCAAGCTATACGAATGTGAAGAACTTTTTTCCTTACCCGAAAGGATCGACCAGAGTAAGAATAATCGTGAGAATTGCTCCTAGGACTGGTATCATTCTTCTGCAAAGCCATGAATCAGCGAGCGTCATAGACGAGACAATTAAACCCTCATACCTTCCATTTCGATGCGTCCACAAGAGGCCTAGTGATCCAACCACTCCTCGCGAGGCACTATCATATTGCTGTAAATCCCAAAGAGGGCGAGCTTTTCTGTACCAAACCCACTTCAACTGGCCAATGCCTATGAGAGTGTCAGCACATCAGCGTTGTCATCAGTGTTGGCATTGGATATTTTATGCAGTCGTACCATTAGACACTATCAATGCCAAAGAGATCTTGATTAGGAGCGTGCATATTGCCACAAAAGTATTGATAGTGATTACAAGGGGCCAAGACGACAGTACTTTTCCTTGATATGGACGCAGCCCCAAGATGAGCCCAAGGAACACGGCAATAGCAAATAGGCAGGATAGTAGCTCAGGCCACCATCTGCTGAACACGGACAAACTGTGTGTTTTGATCGATTTCTTCTTAGGCGCCGCCCGCCCTTTTTCCCACTCTGATTCTGGTTCTGAGTGTCGTGACAAATGGGCCTCCGCTTGCTTTGCGTGTTCTCGGATGAGCGAAGCGGAACTAGACTGCTGATGGGAAATCCGGTCGAAATCGTGCGACGCCATTTTGGGAAATATTTGCCAAACAGCACTTGACGATGTGGTTCGCTTCTCGTCCTAGCATTACTATATGTGTATTCGAAGCTTAAAACGTTGTTAAACATGAACGAGGAAGAAGCTTGGTGTTAAGTTCCGACATCCTTTGGTCAGCTGATGGGTGCGCCCTATTGGTATTTTCCTTGCCTATTAATAGCATTCGGGTCAATTCTATGCAAGTTCCGCTACACAAGTTCTGATCAGCAACAACAATGCGCTAGGTCGATCGCTGACATTAATTGGCATGGAAACACTACAGTAACATCCTTGCGCTCTATGACACAAGGCATGGTTTTTAATAAAGTGTTTTCGGAAGCACTGAAATTGCGAACTGACAGTTTCCTATGTCAATACTCCCAAAGAGTTTATGAACCTCCTGTTTCTGTTGGTTTCTATTGAAATAAGACTTTTCCGGGTAGTTTCGAAAACCAGTCGGGCTGTGTGAATTAATTTGTCGCAACTACCTATAGTTATAATAGGTTTAGCACTCCTGTAAGATTCAAGTTTTAACCCAAGTACTCTGCGGGGGCAGGCAGAAATGCCGATATGCCGAAAGGGTTGCCTGTTACACCATCTCTGAATGGGAGAGGAAATAAGAAACTTGACAATAAACGATGACTCCTGATGTCCAACAGAATTTACATATGATTAAAGTTGCAAAAGAGCGCACTGTGGCTCCCATAGTTTGCTGGGTTGGCCCAATATTATTTAACGCTTAAGAACTATAGAATGTTGTATGAAGCTGCTCTGGATCCTCGTCTGTTCATCAACGTTCAGTGTGATCACTGTGATCCTACCCCGCTCTCACATTACACAGTGACCACTCCATATGGAGTAAAGGATTAGACGTTTACATGCCGACCGTCCTGCCGAAAGATGGCGTGGCTGACATAGACTCCTAGTTCTAAACAAATGTAACAGTAATCGGTGTATGGGTGGTTCTGTAATGCTGCATGCAGAGCCTCACTTGACTTGGAACAGTTGAGACTACGAATTAAATGCGCACTTCTGGACGAATGGATACGATAATTTTAAATAGCTGAATTAAACATTCGTGAGGCAACTAAGCAAAGCCTGATTTGGGCTTTGTGGCTGTTCAAATGTAACTGAGACAAGAGCCAGATATCGTTTATCATGTAAACTATGCATGGGCAGTTTCAAAACACCATGCGGGAACTCAATGCGTCTCTCACTTCTACTGCTTACCAACAGGGATAATGCGAGATAGGCTCTATATTGATTGACGATCGCAAACCGTCTCTACTCCTTCATGCATACGTCTGATTCTTATTTTGTTTGCATTTAGGGTAGGTTGTCACGACGGGGAAGTGGAGCAAAGAGATCGCAATGAGGGTTCTCCAGGGTAACTCTGTTGCCAGGACGGGGTCGATGAAACAGGTGGGATCATGGTTAAGTATCTTAATCTGTTTGTAGTCGTATAGCGAGACAGAAAGTTCAGCTGCTTATGGTTAGTAGCCGTGGTATTGCGAAGAAGCGAGCAACGAACTCAGAGGCACCAGCAAGTAACCCCAATTTCCCAAATGGGCTGAGCTGTTATTAAGACAACGCTATTATAGCTCTACAAACACCTGATGAACCTGAAGACGGAGTTTATCGTCCGCGGAGATGAACCCAAAGTTGCTCCACCTAAAACATGCGTACATCGAGTGGTTTATACTGTTCGATACGTGTGCAAGATATCCACAAAGATGCAGGGCTGTGTATGCGAGGAGTTGCTACTAGCACCACTAGTCTTGGTGTTCGCCACGATCTATTTCCAATGGTTGTGGCGTTCTAAGCTCCTTAGTGCCTTGCTGGTTCAACCTCTACCTATCATGATCTACCTAGATAGTCATAGGAACCATAGTGCAATCTAGGCTGTAAAGAATACAAAACTAACAACACCAGTTGGGCATTAAGGAAAATGCTTGTTGGGTGTAAACAAAGCCATAGATTTCTCAAAGTAGCTGCATATGTACATGGGCCGCAGATGGCCTTTACTAAAGGTTTAACGATTCAAGTCTTAGCTGTCCATATCTGCCTGACGTTTTACCCGTCAACTGAATTCTGTGATTGTTCTTGAATACCTAGTGATTCCATCTCTAGGCCCTGTCGATGCGATTTGTATCCGGGGAGGTAAATCGCCAAGGTCAGCCAAGAGTTATATTATATCGACGTTATACCCGGCACTATAAAGTACCGGTCCGGCTTTAAAAGAAAAGCTCCCGAGATTCCCAATGATTGGCACAAGTTGTCAAGAAAAGATTGCCCCCTGTGGCGCTACCCACATTCTACACCGCACAGACGAACAGAGTCTAGAGTCAATAGCTTCACCTGAAGAAGACGCTAACAAGCTCTTTCAGCTGCTCCAAAAACTCGGCTATTGGCGCAAGCACCGCAATAGTTTGGCGGTCCGTTTCCCAATTCTGGGTGAGGCTGAGCTGGACCTGCATTAATCAGGCAACCTAGATTCAGCAGCCAGGGGTGAACCATGGAGCGGCGGTTAGCATCGTGAAGCTATCTAATGGGGTTGATGAAGAGAGAGAGAGAGAGAGAGAGAGAGGAGGGAGGCAAAAACACAACAATGGCGACTCCTATGGATCTAATAAAACTCGTGGAGCAACTAAATAAATAGTTTTGCGTGTAGACTATCTGACCCTTTCGTTCGTGATCTCCTCTGCAACCCGTCTCAACGTAGCAGCCCTCCATACAGATATCTGCCAAGATGGTAAAGATAAACTCCGTCGTTTCCCTCCTGGCCTTGAGCTCCAATGCTTTTGCATTCGGCCACCAGCCCAACCGCCATCCCATACCCGTCGTCGAGGAGTTTGTCGCTTGTACCACCGAGCTGGGACGCCAAGTCAACCGCCATGTCCCGACGCACTGGAACTACAAGACGAGGACCGTGACTTGGACCGAGAAGTTCACGACCACTCCTCACCCAACCGTGACGCCAACCAAGACCAAGACGAAGACTGTTACTTCCTTTGTCAGGACAGTGACCACGGAGCCCGCCGTTACAGATATCGCCACTATCACGAACACCAGTGAGAATCAGCAGCTCATTGTTTGTAAGGGTCTGGAAATACTAATTGACTGATAAAAAGACACCGCTTACTTCACTACGACAAACACCGTGACCGAGACCGATACCGAGACCGACACGACCACCGTCACCACCACTCCTACCACCACCATCCCTGCTCCCGCAGACTTCACCCCCATCTCCCAGGAGCCCGGCTTCGTCCCCAAGATCAAGGGCCGTTCCGCCAACAACCTCCTCGAGCGCGGCAACACTCTCCAGTGCAAGGGCGGCCGAGGTGGCCCATCATTCTACCCTCCCCTGCACCCTCAGTCCGTCACCTGCACCAAGATCATCGAGCCCATCGTCATCAAGCGTGTCACAGTCACTGCCAAGGCTTGCACCAGGACTGCCCGTCCCATCACCAAGACCGCCACGAGCACCGTCCTGAAGACTTTCACTCACACTGAGTGGCCGTGTGAGGTTACCAGCACGGTTACCGCCACTGCAACCACCACCATCACCTCGTCGGTTGACTCAACTACCACCACCACCACCACTTCTACTAGTAAGCTGATTCTCATCACCCTCTTACACATAACACGAGATCAACCAAAACTAACATCCTCACCAGCCACTGAATCAACCGTTGCTCCCCAGCAGACTCTCCAAGCAGTCTGCGGCCCCGCCAACATCATCAGCACCGCCAACGGCGGCGAGGGCATCTCCAGCGTCAGCACCTCCGCACCAGGCGATTTCCTCCCCGTCAGTGGCGCCACGACCCCATACAGCTGCTGCCTGGCCTGCTTCAACAGCGCCACGCCCTGCCGAGGCTCTATTTCCTTCACCACCGGCTCATGCTTCCTCCTCGTCGGAACGGACAATGTCTGCCACGCAAACCAGTTCAGTGGCATCGATTCGTATGAAACAGCACAGGGAGCCTCTACAGCGAGCGTTAGCAACGGCCCTTGTGGTATGTTGGCTAATGGCGGTAGCGTCAACTAATTGATGGGTGAATGACGTTGGGGATGATGATGGAAAGTATCAGTTGCTACGAGTAGAAAGACAAGACAGGGACTTCTTTCGTATTACATCTATTTCGCTTAGAGAGTACATATTTTAATGACCATATTAGATTTGTATAGCGGTGCATAGTCATGGAGTTTAATGCCCCTTTAAATGAGATATTGAGTTTTCTTATTCTGGAATTCAGACTTGTTTCACTATGAGTGTATGATAGTGATGTCCTATCGACACTAGCCGAGCGAAGTCAAGTTATGCCATCCAATTGGCATCATTAAAACTATGTATATTGAGAAAAGTAATGGTCCATCACGAGTCCAGAGCCTCGAATCAATGAATAGCCTGCTGAACTCTGGGATAGACCCTGACCATCTCTTGATATAGCTCGGGGTGGTCTCTTATCATGACTTGGGGATCCCAACCCGCAGCAACAAATATGGTGTCGATACCACTGCCGAGAGGCGTCGTGAAGATGTGCCCGATCTGGAAGCCAATCAAAAACGCGTAGGCCATAACAACGGCAGTGAAGCCTCCATTGCTATTGTATGGGGGGTCAGTCTCGAGGAGGTACAAATAGGCAAAGAGGGCGCATGCATAGCCGATGAAGATGGCGCCGAAAGAGAGAACTGGGCCGACAAGACAATCCTATTCTCTGTTAGCGATGGCTGATTTGGTGAAATGCGATTGTGTGACTTACATTGACCAGAGCATCAATACCACGATCCTTAATCATTCTCCAGGTATCTTTGGCCGACGCGATGTAGGCTTTACCATAGAGGGCAATGTGGCAAAATGCGTACCGGTTGACGAATTGCACAGCCCATTCGATGATGGCTAATATGCAGCCGAGGATGCAGAAAATAGCATACGCAGCCCAGCCACCAAGACCACCCTCGCTGGCTCCCTGAGACCGAGCAACGCTGCACAATTGCTTCAGAAACTGGATAAAGGCCACAATGAGGCTGCCAAAGCAGATGGAGCCAAAGCTGTAGGTGAGCGCTCTTTTGGCGGCGCCGCGTGTTGCCTTCTTGGGGAAGTTGTGAGGAGAGAAATACCAAGATCCATAGACGCCAGCGATAATGGTGTGAATGGTGTTCTTTAACCACTCAGAGATCCAAAACATGGCGAACGTCACATAGACGACCAGGCCGATCACCTTTCCATGACTACAGTTGTTTCCCGAGACGGAGCATCGTGGGTTGTCGGGCGAGGGCTCGTAAGAGACGTAAATTGCGACGAGCGTAACCGAAAACCAAGCAGCCATTGCTGTTGCGAAGAGACCTCCGATGAGACTGACAAGGTAGACATGGCCGTATTTCTTGCTGACGTCAATACTCGTCTTGAGCATCAGTGCCGAAAAGGGGATCCTGCCAATCCAGGTCCAAAAAGCGAATATGAGGAAGACTGCAAAGATGAGGAACACTATACCCGCAGACCAGTATCCCACAATCAAATAGTATATAGCCGTACCGAGTGCCCATGCAAGGTTGAGGATGCCAGTGACCCAGATGAATGCTTTAGGGAAGAGGCGCGCCAGCCAGACGTAGCCGTACGAGAAGACAAAGGCGATGACCAGACAAAAGCCGAAGAGTATAATAGTATTGCTATTCAATGAGAAGCTGTTGATGTCATCGTAGATGCCGTGGCCGTCGAAGCCCTTTGTATAGCCGTGAATCGCGAGACCCGAGATGGCCACAAATCCTGCGAAAGCAAGGATGAACTGCGACACAAGTACTCCGGTTAGTCAACACGACATGTTTAGAGAATGCAATTCAGTGAAAGAACACGTACAAGAAGCCCTGCCCACCAATCATTGTACTTTGGCTTTTCAAGCCTGAAGGCGTCGTTGAACGAGTATTTCTCGTCGTGGGCTTGTGGAGGGTTGAAGCTGTAAGGCGGAGGCGGTCCGTAGGGATGATCTTGGTAGCCGTTGACAGGCTGCTGGTTGCTGTTGTATGCAGGATTATAGGCGCCGCAATTGTTGTTGTTATTGTTGTATCCCTGATTTTGATATTGATTCTGGCCCTGATTTTGGTATTGCGGATGCTGCTGCTGCTGTTGCTGTTGCTGCTGGGGATCGCCCTGCAGGTACTTGTCCGCCTCACCCATTGTGGCGCATCAAATAGAACTTTTTGCTGTTAATGGCGGCGAGAGTGAGAAAACTGGCTTGTACAGTCGCGGAGCCTCAGTTGTAGAATATGTACTGTTCGCGAATAAAACAGGGACAAGTGAAGAAGGGAGAAAATCAAGACGGCACAGAGGCAACTAAGGGAGCAATTCTCCCAAAGGAGCTGCAAACAGCTGTAGGTTCCCGCTGTAAATGCATGAGGTCATGGCGCCACAGAGGCTCGGCTAGTGGCTTCCGATCGTGAAGCGAGCTACCGCCATTCGCTGGATTACAGCGCCTCGGGGGATCTCCATCCACTGCACGATCGGGCCATTTCAGCGCTAACGGCGATGTGGCGATCTGCACAATCTCACGTTCGCATATTCGGCACTCTCTTATCTTGGCTATCGATTAAAGCACGTGTTTGAGGCTGCACCTCTACTTCTTCTCAAAAGTTCAATCTTCAACGGAGGACACGGCATATGATTTGCTCTCCAGAGTTTCTTTTCTCTTCTTTTTACTTTACACAGACACGCGTGCTGTGAACGTGAGCTTATCAACGTCATGAAGATGCCTCAGACCCGATGTATTTTTGTCCCTTACCAACCAGCATCTCCGATCACTGGCGAGCCCATCATCACTTTATATCTATTCAGATGAAGCCACGCTTTCCCACGACAAAACTGGCTTAATCACCTATTTGCCAAAGATTAGTCATTTCAACACCTCTGGCAATATTCTCCGTCTCATAGAGCTACGTATACCTAACAATGAATGAAAACATCAACCTCACCTTTCCAGTCTTCAGATCTTCCAAAGCTTGGTCCAATTGTTCGGCTGGGTAGACCTTAGACAGTTTGTCTACAGGAAATTTGCCCTGTTTGTACAACTCAACAAGCCGCGGAATCATCTGTTGCAAAAAGCGTCGGTAAGAGATATTTACATGTACACAGGTTGATATCTCATACCTCGTGAGGATTGGTAGATCCTTCAATAACGCCTACAATCTTCTTACAAGACACCAACACATCCAACTCATTGATCTTGATATCTGCTTCTGGAGGCAGCACGCCAACAAGAGCCAATGCTCCTCCATGAGCCAGAGCTTTCACTGATGTCTCTGCCAGAACGGCCACTCCTGTTGTCTCGACTATCATATCAACTCCATCTGGGAAGATACTTCGGATGCCCTCGTTGATATCATGGAATGCGCCAGAGTTGATAGTATGAGAAGCCCCAAGGCTAGTTGCCATTTGAAGTTTTTCATCAACCACATCGATGGCTATAATCTGCGCAACTCCAAGCGCACAAAGCTGCGAATCCCACAGCACCCATTCCGACGACTGCAACCGTGTCGGATTTCTTCGGCTGCAGTGCATTGAACACCGTTCCTGCTCCAGTCAGATAGCCGCATGATAACGGTGGCAAGCAGGAGAGGTTATCTTCAAGACGCAACTCGACTTTCACCACAGATATCTCTGGAACCATCATCAATTTGCTCAAAGAGGACTGCCCAAAGAATTGCGCAAAAACCGGCGTTCCATCTGGAGGAGAGGCTGGCGAGTTCATTCCAGGACCAGCCCGGCCCGTTTTGACGAAGTTGATCTCTGTCATACGGGTGCAACTTCCGAGTTTCCCCTCTTGGCAATATCGACACTGTTGGCACGTATGGAATGATAGGATCACGATGTCACCAGGAAGCAAACGTCGATTAGAAACACCGAATTCAATCTTGCGCACAACCCCAACACCTTCGTGGCCTAGAATGGCGGAATAGCCACCAACGGGCATGCCGCCATGTTGAACCACGATATCCTATTACAAATTAGTATACAAATGCACGAAACTAGTCGGCAATACGGACTGTATGGCACAGGCCGGTGTACAAGATCTCCACAAGGACCTCATGGCTCTGTATTTCGTCAAGTAAAATGTCTGGGAGAATAAATGGGGCACCTTTCTTCTCAACAACATAAGCCTTTGTTGGGATGCTCTTGAGGTCATGCATATTGAGTAGAATACAAAACACAATTTGAATTGGTCGTTGCAACCCCGAAACTCAAGAATTCATGATGGTTTTATGCGAACATGTTATAGCTGCTCTCAATAACAAATCAACTCTCATTACAACTCAAAGAAGAGATCATTCGATTACCCCGACTTCTTCCACTCATGTCCTGCAGCTGAACACCGGCAATTCGGGTCGGGTATTGCGTCAACAAGGAACGGCTATGGATGTCGGATACGATCTTGGGGTAACAGGGGTTCCATGTGCGATCCAAGGCTTTGTCAAACGTTCCGTCCTCCGCTTGATTACTTTTAGTGTACAAATGAAAAATCTTTTGGTGAATTAGTTGAGCAACCTAGTCTAACTCTTCTAAAGTAATGTACATACATACCTTGAGTTTCGGTCCTGGGGTAGGCTTTCGTAGAGGTTTCGAACTGACTTAGTTGCGTGCATCTTCCAGTCGCACATTGCAGACTGCCTACGGACCGAACCAAATATTGGATCCAAAGAGGGGAAATAGCAGATATATCGTACTTATACATGCTTAAAAATACAAATAGATGCGAACTACGGATGCTCCGTATTAGTCTCTACCATTTACTTCTGAAGCGTCTATGATGCTAGGTCTCACACAATCCATCATACCAGAGGAAGACAGTTCGAAGATTGAACAAGAAAGCAAGTCTCAATTCAATCTTTTATCTTGCAACTCTAAACTTGAAATTTATGCCGAGCTACTGGGCGCAATTACAAAAGAATCCGCCGACACACACCCATCTGTTGCTACAAGTCCGATACCTCCCGATGCATACTGACTATCAGTGATCTGTAAATCCACATCACCAACACGAACTCGGATCAAGTCATCATATGCCGTTAGTATCACTTTGTACTTTTGATCCAGGTCCCACGGAAACGCCTCGCTTGCGAGTTCAATTCTCTGTGCGTCCAGCGCCTTGACCAAAGTAATTCTCCTGTCCTCAGTGAAGAATGCGGCGTAGTAACGATTGAGGCCTTGGACCCTTATGGCTACACCAGCTGGAGCACCAAATTTGATCATGAAGTTGGGGACCGTGACGCTGTAGTTATCCCACTCTCGTGTACCATAGGTGATAATGCCTTCACCCTGCCCTTGGGCGATGATAAAAGATGAATTGCTGAAGTTATCGGCACCATTGACCCAGGCTCGCCGCCAAAATTCGCATGGTTCCTGTAGAGGTTTGCGAACTAGCGAGTTCGGCACACCGATCCAGGAGAGGCTATCAAGCCAAATGGTACCTTTATAGGAAGTTGTCGTGCTGGGACTCAGGGCAATGCCGATTTTCTGGATAGGCTGGCTATCCATTTCGTCCGGGATTGTCCAAGTCAATGAGGATTCCTCTCCTAGTTTCAATGTAGCGGAGGGTCCATCGATTGTGACCAATTCATCATTCCGACTGTATACTTTCAGCCTCAGCCCAGCGACAACCTGACCGTCACCCTCACTGCTGGCTCTTATTTTGGCTGTGACTGTCTGTCCAGGGTATACCAGTGGTGATGCCATCAACTCATATGTCTTCATGTATAAAACCTCTTTGGGGGTAAAGGTTTGAGTGAGGACTTCAAGCTGGTCTTGTTCTTGGCCCAAGTTCTCCACATCGATGGCCAACCCGGGACCATATTGGCCGTCAACTCGTTGCCGCAGCGTAGCTGAGATGCTCTGCTGGGCACCAGACGGTCGTGAAAGTTGAAAGCCCTGGGTACTCCCTGGAAGACTGAAATGGAATTGGGCACCGCCCTTTGGGGGCTCAAGTGTTTTGTAGCCAGCCAGACGTCGACCAATGTTTGCAATATCGTATGAGATTCGGACAGCATTGTTGATGGAATACCCACCATCCGCGCTTGAGATCAGAGCACGATCTGCCAAAGGGCCCCTCCAGTCATACGGTCCCTGGAACGCAGAGAGTCCAAGCATCGTGGCAACAAGACAGCCCACGTTACCAGAGTTGCAATCCGTGTCCCAGCCGCAAGTATTGATAATGTGCATTGCCTCGTCGAAATCGTTACTGGCGTAGAGCACAGCCATTATCATAATAGCATGATTGGGAATGACGTGACAAACTCCGTGGAACTTGTCGTACCCATGTGAACCTTCGATACGCTGACGAGTCTTCATCCAGTCTCCATCTTCCGCGACCCATTCTCGAACTTTGCCTATCACACGGGCAACGAGAGAGTCCTTAGGAATAACAGAAAGACCAACGTCGAGAACGTGATTGATATCCTTTGATACAAAGGCTTCTGCTTCCATTGCGGCCCACAGCTGAGCTGCGTATACAGACTCCCCGTCATGGCTTACTGAACCGGCAGCGCGTGCAAGTTTAGCTGCTAGTGTAGGATTGCCGGGGGCAACCAATGCCCAGCCATCGATGAAGATTTGTGCGCCTATCTGTTCGGCGACAGTTTTGCCGTTTGTTTTAATAGAGCCGCTAAGTGGCGCAGGTATTCCTCGCTTCAAGTTCAAAAAGGCTGTGTGTTCTGTCGACATGCCTCGGCCTCCCCACCAGAATATTGTTCGATGTTCAATAACATTGTTCAGCCATGTTTGGCCAATGTCTTCTGATGAGATGTCGGGAGAATAGCCGTGTTCCTCTAGTGCTCTGACGAACTGAAATGTGCCCGAGACATCGTCATCCGTGACAACAAGAGGGTCGCCGACTTTTTCATGGACATAGCCCCGAATGTGGCCAAGTTCTTTAATTATCCTCTGGTGTGTCCAGCCTTCGAAAGGCCGTCCAACATATACCCCGATGAGCTTGCCGAGTACTCCAGCATAAACTCTTTCGAGGTAATCTTCTGGTATGTTCGACATGATAAGTGTAGCTCTCAAATGTAACGCTTGGAAAGATTTCAGCTCATCAACGCATGTAGCGCCAAGTACGCCTAAACTCTCTATTGCAACGGTCTTTCTCTCACACTTATGGTTTCAATAAACGCGAAGAGAATGCACTAATTGTGAGAGTAAGTCGGGATCGGAGACCGGAGATGTTCATTGTCTCGGAACCGTCATCTCAAGAGGATGGCAACGCCTTCTCCGCAATTAATGCTTGAGGCTTCCCCGCAGGCCCAATCTCCATGATTAATCCCGGGAGAGGAGGGGCGCTGAACTGTATCCAATGAGGTGGTAGACCGAGAGCTGTAGTACCCAACTACCCCAGACTCGTCGTATTCTAGTACGTCGTAGTCTGATACAACAAGAAACTAGGTCCAATCCTTCAACAGATTTTATTTATTATAAGAGTCTCAAGTTAACATCGCTTTGGCCGAGGTTCCTGATATTTGAATGCCGTACACATCTGACAGTCTTATATACTCTTTGCTAGGCTTTTGGTTTGTGAATCTTGTTAACAGAGGCGCTCTCTTGGTTGATCGTCCCCGTCAAGCCAGCTGCTTGTGAAACTGCTACACCAGACAAAACATGTAACCACTGTTCGTATCTTGACTCCTCAGCTGCTTGATCGGCACGCCATTCTGCACATGTGGACTGGATTACATATCTATTAATCAACGAGAAGGATGACTTTAGCCGAACTATGGTTCGATGGTCGTGTTAGCACATTTCTTATCCCCACAGCCATCGATAATGCAGCTCGTTCAAATCCAACTCGTGTGACCCCCAACTTGGCTACCGAAGTCATTACCGACTTTATCAAGTCCGACGGCGTGATCTCCGCTTTCATCAACGAACTAGTGTGAAGATGGCATTCACACGTGTGGGAGGTGATCTATCCATACATGAACTCAATAGGTATTCAGATGGAATGAGATCACTGATTTGCCGTAACTGAGTCAAATCAATGTATTTCTGGGCATAAAATACCTGAGTAGATGGAAACGCCTTTTGAGGTTGTGATTACGCGTATCTATCTTGATGAGACCTGTCATGAGGCTTCTCTAAATTAAATGCATTCATGCATCACATCTACACCTAATCAAGGACAACAGTAAGCATTCAATAACTGGTAAAAGCTTAATTGGCATGCCATTTAGCCAGCCGAAAATCCAGCCCAAATCTAAGCGTTGGCGATACCGGAAGGCTCCTTCGGACCTGATTCCCGCTGGCGTAAATCTGAAGATTTGGGGGGGAAGTTTTAGGCTTCCCCATGGGGAATCTGGGGAACGTCGCATGGGGTCTTCTTCTCCGACATTCTCATAGACTAATGTCAGTAGACTCGATCGGTATATATGTAGGTAGAACAGGGTGCCATCCGAAACTTGGTATGAAACCTACAATATTCTACATGTGAGATGCGAGAGTTATTCTCTCTATTCTTTGAACGGTCATTATCTCCTACGAGAATACATTTTCAAGTATTTTTCATTGACTAAATCATTATGACTGTCACACCGGAGCGTGGAGATGCTGTAGATGTCTTCGTGGACATCGATCCGGCAGCAGCCATAGCGACAGACGATGAGCACTCTTTATCCATCAAAGAGGCCTTCAAACGCTACCCATCGTCAGTATTCTGGGCCATTGCAATGTCTCTGACTATTGTAATGGAAGGCTACGACACAATTCTCATTGGCAGCTTATTTGCGTACCCCTCGTTTGTCGATAAATACGGCGTCTATGACTCCAATCTAGGGCAGAAAAGCATCACAGGAGCTTGGCAAGCAGGACTTATCAATGCTTCTTCATGCGGTGCCATTATAGGCCTCGTCGTCAACGGCTACGTGACAGAGAAATTCGGTCATCGTATTGTTACAATGACTGCTCTTGTTGTAATGTCGGCCTTCATCTTCATCACCGTCTTTGCTCCGTCCATTCAGGTTCTCACAGCTGGTCAAGTCTTGGTCGGCATCCCATGGGGTATCTTTGCGATAATGGGATCTGCATATTCCTCAGAAGTGTGTCCCTTGGCTCTGAGAGGCTATTTGACTTCTTTTGTCAACATCTGCTGGGTCATTGGCCAGTTCGTGGCTGCCGGAGTCCTGCAAGGTCTGGTTAACAATGACACGGTGTGGTCATTCAGGATTCCGTTCGCCATTCAATGGGCGTGGCCGATTCCTCTATTCATTCTTGCTCTTTTGGCTCCAGACTCGCCATGGTGGCTTGTACGCAAAGGCCGGCTGGCTGATGCAGAAAAGTCTATCCGCAAGCTGTCATCTGGATTGACGGATACGCAAGTCAAGCAGAAACTTGCCATGATGGTCCATACCGACAAGTTTGAAAAGGCGGTTCAGGCTGAGTCGAGCTATCGCGACTGTTTCAAGGGCACCAACCTTCGTCGAACTGAAATAGCCTGCATGATACTCTCAGCGCAGACACTTCCTGGAGAGGCAATGTGTTACAGCGCATCTTATTTCTTCACACAAGCAGGGCTACCGTCTGCTGATGCATACAAACTGAATCTCGGAAGCATTGCGCTTGCCTTCATTGCTACCTGCTTGTCATGGGTTCTCATGACGTTCTTTGGGCGCCGAACACTTTTAATCACCGGCCTGGGCCTCTTAACGCTGGACCTACTCGTCATCGGCTGCCTATCATACGCAGCGGGATCATCAGCTCAATGGGCTCAATCAGCACTTGCCATGCTCTGGCTGGGAATTTACTCAGCCACTCTTGGCCCTCAGTCATTTGCCTTGGCTGCTGAAATCTCTGCCACGCGTTTACGATCACAAACAATCTCTCTAGCTCGAAACGCTTACAACGTCGTAAACATTGTTGACAATACTGCAGAGTCTTATCTCATTAATCCCACAGAAGCCAATCTAAAAGGAAAGACGGCGTTCATTTGGTTCGGCCTTGGGGTCCTCACAACCATGTGGGCAGTATTCAGGCTCCCAGAGACAAAAAATCGAACGTACGAAGAGCTGGACGTATTGTTCGAAAGACATGTTCCAGCATGGAAATTCTCGTCCGCTCAAATCGACGTTGTAGCAGAAACCGAGATTATACAGGCAGGCGAAAAGGGCGACAAAGCACAAGAGATTGAGTTTGCAGAAGCAGTTTAAGATAGTTTCCATAGTATTATACGAAACAATATGTTGCTAGCTCTTAAGCACCCGGTGTCTCGGCCAAGTCTGGCGTATTCTTAGTAAACAGGTTCAGGGGATCAAGTCGGCCTTTAATTGCCTTGATGCGAATCAGTCCCTGCGCTCCGTAATAGCTGAATCCATCGCCTTTCAGGGGATGAGTGAAGTTGAGGTAGCGAGTCGGCATAACAAGTCCTGCCTTTGTAACATTTTCCATCAATCTGTGTGCCCATGCTTTGGATTTCTTCAGCCCCTCTTGATCATCTGGCGGTGCTGCTGCGAAAAACCCAAACATCAAATGCGGCTCACGGTTGGCAAAGACGGCGCTCTCTACGGCGCTCGAGCCGGTTCCAGCACCGTGGCTGTCATGCATAATAATTAGTGATGAAACCGTTGGCATCGGCTCCGATATGATGCGCCCCAGCTCTTCTGACCAGTTAGGTATTGAAGCTGTCAGTCGAAAATGTATGAGGTTGTCGTGAAGTGGACGTTGGGGGATTGACACTAGAAATTCGTGAGGGGTTGCTATTCTTCCGTCAGTATTCCCCGTAGAACCTATGAGAAACGGAGTAGCAAAGTTGAACTCACCTTCTTTGGCAGTATTGGCTATAACGGTTCCAAACTTGAGAACCCGCTCGAGGTATTCCTTTGCTTCCTCGAGGTCGCTGCGGTCCTCCTCCAGAGCCCAGAAGAATAGAAAGGAAAATATAGCGCCGGCCCCAGTTGGATCGATGACAGCAACATCGCCCGCAAACTTGGGAGGTTTCTTCCATGCATATAGTTGATTCAGTTGCCGGCCGATTTGAGGCGCTTCTGTCAACGGGAAGACGATATTCCCGGCCAAACAATCTGGGCGGCGGTACACACGAACACGAAGAGATGTGACCACTCCGACAAGACCAGCGCCGCCACCACGAAGCGCCCACAGTAGATCGGGATCACAGCCGGCTTCGTCTGTGTCCATGATTCTCCCATCAGCCAATACAACTCTTCCTCCAAGGATGTTATCCACGCCCAAACCCATTATACCATTCAACGAACTATAGCCGCCGCCGCAAGCCCAACCAACGTACCCAACCTCGGAAGAAAAGGCCGTAGGCGTTGTGAGTTCATGATCGTCCAAAAACTTGAGCAACTTCCCGCCTATCACACCTCCTTCAATAATCGCTTCGCGCCTATCTGCAGAAAGGACTATTTTGTCCATTGAGCGAATATCGAGCGAGACATCTTTAGGTCCAAAGGCAAGATTCCGGCCGCCTTGATCTACACCCGAGTTTCGAATAGCCAAAGTCAGGCCATTCTGTGCGATGTACCGCACCGTTGTAGAAACCTCTTTTTCACTAGTCGGGCGCACAGTAGCTACAGGGAGAATCGTGACAGATCTATCGTTGACTCTGTTCAGGGTCTCATAATTCGCACTGGATGCTGTGTAGATGTGGAGTTGGGGAGCTTCGTGATGCAATCCAAGGAGCGCTGGCGCATCTTGTGCAATGATTGACGCTGAAGAGAAGCTCGGAGGAGGTGCATCATGAAACTCGGGGCCAGCGGCGATGGATGCCATTGTCCAACGCAGATATGATGAACCGTGGAGAGGACGAGTTGTTTCTTCAAAGCTGAACCAATGCCTAGGGTTTTGAGATATAGAGAGTTGTAATGACGAGATGTCGGCCTTTATACCGCAATGAAGGGGCGTGCAGATTCGACATGAGCAGATATTAGCCCATTACACTGCATCGAAAGGGCGTCGATGCCCAAAACTTTGAGCATCATTGACATAAGTTCCCCATAATAGTCTGGCATCAATAAGCTGACAACCAAACTATACAGCCAAGCTCCGGAGATACAGAGAAGCAACTGAGACAGATTCCGCCAATAAAACTTCCATGTATGTAAGCAGTTCTACAATTGGTTAGAAAGACTATCCTTGGTCATTAGTTATGGAGTACAAAGGTGTCAATGCGTTGTTTCTGCTTACTATAGTTGGTTCTGAAATAGACACAGCCAATTGGATCCCTATTTTAGCGAGGCAAGATCCGAGGTCTATAACCCTTAACCAGTTGCGCAGTTTATACATGTGAGCTCAAAATTCGCCCAATTAGACAAGTTGACGTTCAGAATCCGAGGTACACGGCTAAATGTTTAATTACAGAGTGCTAGCTAATATCAAACGCCGCCACCCGAGCATCGAAGGAGAGAATCTTACATGAGTCTTAAGCTAAGCAATATGCTCTCGGACTTAACTTAAGGTTGAGGGGCCAGAAAACCAATATTGTAACCTTGCGGACTTAACTTAAGTCTGAGGTGGCCGAAAACCAATATTGTAATCTTCGGGATTTTACAAGAGTCCGCCAAGACCGATTATGATCATAAATCATTTTCAGAACGTGGATAATAATCTCTTTGTTCACCAGAAATTGAAAGATATAAAGCCGCCAGTGTTGGCAGCACAGTTCCTCGTTATTTCAGTGACAAAACTAACAATACGTCTCTGTTATCTCAATACAAACATCATTTATAGCGAATAATTGAATTCAGGGTTCTCCTTATCCGTCAAGTCCAGGAATTCCTGATTCTCACTTCTGGTATAAGACGGATCCGCCCGCAAGAGACTCTTCTTGAGGTTCTGTCGACGATAGTACCACCAGATAAACACAAGATCCACAAGGCAAGCCACCCAGCACACGAGGATGGTAATCTCGGCTGGTCGATATTCGGGTGCATCCTTCGGTCGGAATGTTTGGGGTCCTTGATACAAGTCAATAAGAGTAATCAATAGAGGCATTTAATGGACGGCTTTATACCGATAATGTTTCCAACGCAGTATCCAACCAGATACATTGCTGCTACGGTTGTCTTTTTGGTCCATCCTGTTCATATATTAGCATGCAGATGAGAAGCTTCGGCTGCCATGAGACTCACCAGCGACATTGGTGGATATCAACGATAGTAGCGCAACAAACGGAGTCGGGCTTGCCTAATTATCATCAGCCATCTGTTAAGAATCGCCTTCATCTTGCCTGGTTATTTACCTGGGTGAGATAGTATCCGGCGAGTCGACCAGCAGGCTTATCCAGTGGAATGGCAACAATCATAATCACTCCAGCCATGGCCACGACAAGACCTGACATGCACACCAAGATGCGGCTTCCCAGACGATCACCCAAATACCCACAGACTAACAAGGCGATGACCTCGACAGCTCCGCCAGGAGTTCCATAAAGTAGACTCTGCTGGGGAGTATAGCCAAATGAGACAATGAGTTGGCTGAAGAAGTTAGAGATGCCGCCATTTGGAATGTTGGCAACCAGAGCATAGAAAACAAAGCCCCAGATGGCGGGATCCAGCAGGGCTTCCTTGACTTGGTACCACTTGAAGTGCTTGTTTCCGATTCCCTGCTCGTTGGCCTTGATTCGTTGAATGGCCAACACTCGCTCTTCTTTGGTAAGGAATCTAGCGTTGAGCTGACTGTCAGGCATGATGAAGAGGAAGACTATTCCAACGGTGCTAGTCAACACTCCGGTAAAGACGAAAATTGCCTTCCACGGGGCGATTGAAAAGCCATAGGTCGAGGCGCCGTGAGCGAAGCCGTACGCTACCAGACCACCAAAGATTTGGGCCTATGACAAGGTCAGCATCAAGTACCTTGTCGAATGCAACAAGCCAACATACCCAGCCATTGAAACTGAACCAAATGGCGGTCCTGAGTCCTTGTTCCTTTTTAGTATACCACTACGCGATGATGTTAGTCTTTTTCTTTTCTTGGGATTAAGTGGCAAAGTGTTATCGCTTACTTGAGATACAAATAGAGCGAACCCGGGAGTCACAGCCGCCTCGAATATTCCCAAAAAGAGGCGAATGACAACAGCCCCCCCGAAGTTCTCCGTAGTCGCAAAAAGAGAGAGAACAAGTCCCCACATGATGATGTTGAAGGCGGAATATTTGGCCAGAGGAAGTCGTTGCAACAGACGATTTGTCGGGAATTCCCAACCAAGATACCCTTCAGGTCACATGAGTCAACTTGTCACTCAAATGGAAAGAAGAGAGTCTGCTTACCAAAGTAGAACAAACTCGACAGCCACTGATAATTATCGCCAACAAGTTTGAGGTCGTCTTTCAGACCCATGATGCTCGCGTACGACAGTGTGGTTTCTATCAAAGGTCAGATGCTGCGTCCTGGTTTTCAAGCAAGGTAAGCTTACTATCAAGGTAGTTGAGGCCGTAAACAATACACATGATCTGCGATATGTATGCAATTAATTTACTGGTGTTGAATGACTTCCGAATATTTGATACTTCAACTCACCGGCATAAGGTTCAGGTCAATCTTGCGCAACAAACGCCGCTCCGTCTCCTCATCAAGCTGCAAGGCAGCCGTATCCAAGCCGGCAACGGCATTGAGGGCTTCATCCGCATCAATGTCAACAACCTCTCCCTTCTCAGCTACACCCAGCGTTGGGGTTTGCTCCAGGTCGAGATTCTCTTTCTTTTCCACCATTTCACCAGACATTTTTGGATCTTGCGATGAGGGACGTAAAGGACATGGAATGGATTCCTACTACGGAGATTCGGAGCTTAAGAGTAGAGGAGGGAAAGCCTGATATGGTTGGCGGTCTATCCTAGTTACTTCCTAATACTACATTGTCTTACATACATCGACGCCGACCCCGCCCTCTCCTCACCGATACACCCCTGTACTTATCAAGGATGGCGGTCGATCTCGCAGCAAAGAGATAAGACACGGCGGAATGGGCTTTCCGTGATAGACAGATTGATGCACAACAAGTCACACGATAACGAATGGCAATCAGGCAATGAATCAACCGTGGCATTAGCGCTTTGCACTACAGAGGGCGCTTCGCAAGCCAGTCTTGATTTATCTGTGGATGTTTTGTTTGATTCAATGAGGAGAAGGCGTGAGACGTTGAACAAGTGTACAGGACGAACATATCCGCCCCCGCGTATCACAAAGCGCGGAGAGAGGGAGGCCAGTCCATGCATGTACATAGCGGTAAAGAGAACCGCAAATAGTGTCGATATGCAGGGATAATGATACATACAGAAATACCCGGTGATGGAGAGATCATCATGTGTCCAAAAGTACAGAGCCGTCTTGCCGCCTTGTGAGAGCCGTCGGAAACGATACTACTCCGTACTGTATCGCACAATTGCCAGGATTAACGGGTCGTATCTGAGTAGTACGACAAGCTGAACCTGGGTCACCCATGTAACCTGCACCTGTACCACGTACATCTTTCTGAGCGCCAAAAGGTTAGCTGTACGTGGTACAGGTGCAGGTTACATGTACATGGGTGACCCAGGTTCAGCTTGTCGTACCAGTCGTTGTATCTCGGGTTATATCGATTCCCGTTTTATCCACGTACCCCCACAGCTGTTCAGATAGGCACGACAAATTCACGGAAGAGCTGAAAAGACCCGGTTTGCGCTACTCCGATTCGAGAATGCCGGCGAGGCTGGCTGTTGAGAGCTCTGGAAAAGGAGAGCATCTCGAGGGATCTGCTCTCGTGCGATATTTAGCCCTGCGATCATTGTACAGCATGTAAATTAAAGTCCTGTACCTGCATAGACAGGGAGCGCATCACTGCCGAACGTAACCCTAGAGCAAGCCATCTGTGAATATGTAATCAACTTTGAGTCCAGAAAGTCCAGACTAGAAGAGTGCTCTTGATTCCTCAGCCTGAGGCAAATTCAGCCTGTCATGACTCAATTTTATGAAAATTGGCATACCCGTATAAAAGAAATGCTAGGTGACGCCACGTCAGCATCACCCTGACGCGACAAGTAAAAAACCAAGTCTAGTCTTCCAATCTCCTTCATGTACTCTGCCTTATACTTGCCAATTGCTTGATAGTGTCTTGGTAGTCACAATTGCTTGTTGCGCAGTTCAGAATAGTTGCCGGTACCTCTATGCAACACATGCCGAACCTACGCGTATTCACATGCTCATTATGCCGGGCCACGCCTAGTAGAGGCCAGAAACGTCTTCCCCAAATCATCAATGGCTGCTATAGCAGCGTATCAAAGCCGAATAAAGGTGGCTCATCCCTAAGAGGATAGCTCTAGTTCTTCTAGAACTTCATACGCTTTACTAACGCTGATTTCATCGCAGACGCTAGGAGACAGCGGGTTGTGATACTGGGCTCCGGATGGGCAGGATATACCTTTTCTCGCACCCTCGACCCGTCCAAGTACGAGCGGATTGTCATCTCCCCTCGCAGTTACTTTGTCTTCACGCCGCTGCTGGCCTCGACGTCTGTTGGTACTCTGGAGTTCCGAGCCGTCCTCGAGCCTGTCCGGCGTCTACCGGGAGGCGTACGCTTCCATCAAGGATGGGCCGACGAGGTGGACTTTTCTCGCAAAGTTCTCCGTGTCGAAGCCAATGCTGTTGACCCTCTTCCGGATGCTATGCCACCCTCAACATTACCAAACCCCAGCCAGCCGCTGAGAGGGGAGACATTCGACATCGAGTACGACAAGCTCGTCATTGCAGTCGGCGCCTATAGTCAGACCTTTGGTATTCAAGGCGTCCGAGAACATGCACACTTTCTACGCGATGTAGGTGATGCGCGACGCATCCGGCTTCGGGTGCTCTCTCTCTTCGAACAATGCTCGTATCCGACTCGTTCGGGCATCAAGGACGGCAGTATGGCGACGAAGCCGCTCTCAGAGGACGACAAACGATCCCTGCTTCACTTCGTCGTCGTGGGTGGCGGTCCAACGGGAATTGAATTCGCGGCAGAGCTACACGACTTGATTCACGAGGACCTCAAGAATATGTATCCAGAGCTGATACCGCTAGTGCGTATCACTGTCTATGATATCGCACCCAAAGTGTTGCCCATGTTCGACCAAGCGCTGGCAAACTATGCCATGGACACGTTTGCACGACAGGGAATCCAAGTCCGGACGGAGCACCATCTCGAGCGTGTAAGAGTGGCTGACGGGGATCTTGGACGTGCACACGGCGGGCTCAGCATCAAGATCAAAGAGTATGGCGACGAGGAGGTCAACGCAGGGTTAGTGGTCTGGAGTACCGGATTGATGCAGAACCCATTTGTCGAGCAGCTGGTGGGAAAAGAATTTGCGATCAACGATGGCTCTGAGTCGGGACAAAGCAAAGCTCCGCATCACCGTCTCCTCAAAGACCAAAAGACGGGCGGCATCGTCACAGACCGTTATCTTCGCGCTCGTATAACCAATGACCAGGATACTTCCAGTGGTACAGCAGATGCCGTCCTACCGGATGTCTTTGTAATTGGCGATTGCGCCGTAATGGAGAACGACAAGTCACTGCCCAAAACAGCACAAGTCGCCTCTCAGCAAGCCGGGCATCTCGCAAAGCAGCTCAACAAAAGCATCCAAACTTCCCCGACCCCTACCGACGTCAGCAACGCCTGGAAGCCCTTCAAGTTCCGCAACTGGGGTACGTTGACGTACCTCGGCGGGTGGAAGGCGATACACCAGAGCTCTGCCGACGAGCTGCGCGGGTGGGTTGCCTGGATTGTATGGCGAGGAGCTTATCTGACGAGAAGCATGAGTGTGCGGAATAAGCTGATGGTGCCTGTGTATTGGTTTGTGTCTTGGGTGTTTGGGCGAGACATTTCACGATTTTGATGGTGGGCACATGGGCATGCGTGCTTGTTGTACGCTTTCTTTTTTTTTGTTCCAAAACACATATGCATATATGTTGTTTTCATGGAACTTGTAACTGTATATGACCACAAATCAACTGCTGATGCCATATGGGCATCCCACAGACTAACCAATGTCAGCTGTGTACGCTGGCATGTTTGTACGATGAAGAGGCAATTGCACTCCTAGCCGAGCTAATCTTTTGCCTTCCTTGAGTCTCGATACTCATTTTGTATATTATCAATAGAACAACTTCCCTCTTCATAGAACAGACGTCTGCTTATGTAAAAGTCTCAACCTATTCAGCCCAATGACGGATAATCTTTTCCGTAGGATAACTAGCGGAAGCTGACCGCATTGCCCTCATTATGACGCCGAGATGACCATGCAGCAAAGAACTTACACATCACACGCACTGACGCAGCCTCAACCAAAAGAACCATGAAGCAGATGGCGCTCAGCTCAGGCGGGAACCAGACCGATTAAATACTGACGAGTATCAGCGCGATTAGCGCTCCACGCTTAGGTTCTTACAGCGGCTAAATGCAGCGTGGCATTGATTTGGCATTAGCATCAAGCACTAGCCATGGGCTTCCTTGCGCCCCAAATTAGAGAAGAGGTTATCGTTCCTGCGGAGATGACTTGAACGGGGTTTACAAGTTTATATAGTAACAGATAGTTTATACAGATCAATGGATAGTAAACAAATATTCAAGCGAGGTTATTAGTTAGCCGTGACCCCTCAATGAGTTGTGCCATCTTCAGCCGAACTGCCGAAAATAGACGGCGATTTGTAACCTGACTGACCTGTTGTATTCTGACAACTTAATAATGCCTTTGGCCTTGTCATTTGTCATCCTCAGCTTTTGTAAACTGTCCAATTATTCATCGCCGAAGAGAGCTCAATCGCACTATTGAAGCTGGATCAAACTCGCTCTTTGACATCAAGAGCCCAAGTTATCTCCGCCTAGGCGTTTCCTAGCATCGATCATACGATCTGGCTCAGTCAAGTCGGCATAAGAAACTCTCGGCATTTAGGCATGTCACTAGTGCCATCTTCTTATTGGTTGAGTCCAGTTTACCCAATTCAGACAGCGGTCCGATCAACGGCGATCAAAGGGGGTCTCAGAGGTCCCATCACGTTGGGTCGTTCTCAATGCTACATACCTCTCCAGTATAGAGTTTTTGGCTTCCTAATCGTGCTAGCCCTCGCTTCTTCGGCGCTTAGAAATGCAGACTTGCGTTTATTTCTGCCCTTTTCACTAACGGTGGCGCAATCAACACTTGTCCAATGCTGTTCGAACAAGTAGTAATCAGTGATCCACCGCAAAAGTCGGCATGCCTTCTTCAACGGGACGATCCGCACACACTACTGCATCTATAAGTACAACCGCCTTGCATAACCCTTCGAGAAGCAATCCTCTGTCGGCACTACCCGTCTTATTCATTTGATCAATCCATCTTTCTCCTGTATTACATACATCAATCGCCTTACTCATCTCACAATGGCTCTTCCCAAGACTGCCAAGGCTATCGTAAAGCAAGACGCTGGGGTTGCCATCATCGATGAGGTGCCGCTTCCCAAGCTCCGAGACGGCCATGTGCTGGTCAAGACAAAGGCCGTCGCCATCAATCCCACGGACTGGAAGTACATCGACCTCGATGACCCCAAGACTAATGGTGTAAGGAGCGGATGCGACTTTTCGGGCGAGGTTGTGGCAGTTGGCGCAGGAGTCACCAACTTCAAGGTTGGCGATCGAATTGCTGGATTTTGTCCCGGAGTGTGAGTTTTTTTTTTAGATCCTTTACACACAATCCTCTCTATCCTGGGGAGTATTTGAACTCTATTAGTTTCAATTGCCTAACGCCATACTCTTAGGAACATTCTTGAAAAGGAGGATGGCGCCTTTGGAGAATATATCGTCGCTCAGGCAGATGTGCAGTTTCACAACCCTTTGAGCGATGAGGAGGGAGCGTCCCTTGGAGTCTCAATCTTCACAGTCGTAAGTCAAGACTCGACACGACTCGTCATCACCCGTTAACGTCTTCTGTCTTCTTCAGGGCCAAGGCCTGTTCCAGAACCTAGGACTTCAGCTTCCATCAGATCCCGTCTCAACGCCCGAACCAATTCTCATCTACGGCGGCAGCACCGCTTCCGGTCTCCTAGGAATCCAGTTCGCCAAGCTGGCCGGATACAAAGTCATCACCACATCCAGCCCCCACAACTTCGACTACCTCAAGTCTCTGGGCGCCGACGTCGTCTTCGACTACCGATCACCCACCGTCATCGACGACATCATCGCTGCTGCCGACGGTGAGCTGACAGTCGCCTGGGACTGCATCTCCCTCCTCCCCTCAGCCAAGATCTGCGCTGCGGCACTCTCAGACAAGGGCGGAAAGCTAGGCTTGCTCCTCCCAGTGGACCCGGATGTCATCAGCCGCATCAACCCCAAGATCGAGTCATCCAGCACTCTCGCCTATTCAATCATGGGACAGTCCCTCAACCGATACGGCAAAGAATTCCCCGGCAGCGAGGAAGACAACGAGTTCGCAAAGGAGTGGAGAGACTTGTCTGAGCAGCTCTTCAAGGAGGGCAAGGCTAAGGCGGCCAAGCTTGACGTCAACCGCGGCGGCAGCGGCCTCGAGGGAGTCTTGGTGGGCTTGGATGAGTTGCGCAACGACAAGGTTAGCGGAGTGAAGCTCGTTTACACCATTTAGGATGGGTTGTCATAGCACGTTGTATGTAAGCATTGAAAGGGAAAAAGAAAGAATTAAAATATTGTGTGCTGCATTACTCAAGTTCCAAAGCATTCTAAAGTTCGTAATGTCCTAGTGCATTCTGAAAATGCATGCCTATGTAGATGCGTATCTCACAGGTTCTGCATGATTACATGTATGCGCATGCGCGTATTCTAATGGTCCGCCCGGGTATCTTAACCGTTTCCTTATCCCCTTTTAAACATCTCAAACCCGAATCCTACACGTTCTCCTTCATGTGGTCCTTAAGCCCACTTACCCAGCAGGGCCATGATGATGATTCCGAGGTAGAGAGAAACCAGCATGAATGCCAGTCGCTTCTTATCCTGCGTGCGGTAGGGGTTAAAAAGGAAGTCGCGCGCAATCATCTCGACGAACCCGGTGTAGAGGAGGATGCCGGCAGAAATAGCGTCAAGGACACCAGACACAACATTGGCAGTGAAGGAACCGCTGTTGTAGGTAGTTCGCACACCGAGGCCAATGGCAATGGCAATGGGGGTTGTCAGCCCGTAGGCCAGGCAGAGAGCCCAAGGCATCCAGCTGAAGCGCTTGGGGAAGGGAATGACACTCAGGCGCGCGCCAATACCCAGGCCCTCAAAGGCTTGGTGGAAGACGATGACGGGGTACAGAGTCTTGAACTCGTCGCCGACAACACCGAGGTTGAGGCCAATGATGACGCTGTGGAAGAGGACACCGAATTCAAGGATTAAAGATGCAGCGATCTGAGACTGAAAGCCCATGACCGATTCTTTAGTGTCGCCATCAAGGTGCTTGAGCTCTTCGACATCGAGATTATCGCTGGAAGCAGGCTTATCGCTAGAAGCGTGGCTGTGGTCGTGGGCATGCTCCTCGGACTTTTGGTTGAAGGGAGGAATGGCGCCATCTTGGTCAGCCGAGTGAAGTCCTTGATGAGAGTGAGGAGCAGGAGAGCCCGTTGTAATGGTGCCCTCGACTTCGACATGTGCCATCTTGTACTTTCTGTCGACGTAGTACTCGGCCAAGAAGTCCAGCAGGAAGATGAGCATGGCTGAAGTCATGGCCAGTGCAGGAGGCCAAGTGTATTCAGCCCAGCCACTGGTCAAGCCGACACAGCTAGCCGGTCCGATCTCCTCATAGGCAGGGTCGAGGAGATGGATGAATGCCGTAGCAATGATGACTCCAGAACCAAAGTATCGCGCAAAGAGATACACATAGAGGGGGATTCGCAGACGTCGAACGCGAGAAGCCAGGACAGGGAACAGAGTGGTTGCCGAGGAAGCGATCAAGATGACGAACAGGGCCGAAATACGTGCACCAAGCTGTCCATTGTAGTCGTTATCGCCGGCGTTGAGAAAGCAGATGATCTCTCTGACGTCTCCCTCATTGTCAACAATGTCTGTGAGGTTGACAGAGTTGGGATTGAAAACCGCGTCCGCCATGATGCTGGTTGCTAGCAGTTGAAATGCTAAACCAATACGGTGAGCCTTTGAAAGATTCTTGACGATGAGAGTGAGAGAAAAGGAGAGGGAAGATGGTGGGATAGAAGAGTATTTGAAGGCAGCCACAACGCGAACCACATGCACCCAACACGTTCCAGCGGATCCTCCTCCCGACGACGAGCGAATCAGTAGCAAGAATCAAAAACTCAACCTAGGCAGACCGCCCGAATCCTGCATACCAGTTGATGAGGCTGGCCGACAAACGGGCCTCAGCCGGAAAAAACCTTCGAGTCTCCCCTGTCAGATGTGGATTCCCTCAGGATTCTCCAAGACGCTATTGGCAGCGCTCGGATGGTTGGATGCCGAGTCTCGCGTTGATTCTCACTTACGAGAGCAGCACGAGAACCATGATGGCCAGTGAGAGAGTGGTTGGCCCAGCTAGGACAGACCGAAGACCCTCCCGTTGAACGAGTTGGGCGGTAGGCAGCCGGGCCAAGCAAATGCAAGGAGGACTTTACTTTACGGCTAGTAGAAGCAAATCAAACGCACCTGAGTGAGACAAGTTGTCTGAGTTGTTGGATCCTTTGACACTGGCTTTTTTTATTTTTAACTCTTTTCTTGAGACGAGTTGGGCGGCTGTCTCCGCTGAGGAACTGAGACACAACGGGCAGACTCAGAGATGGAAAAACAACACACGCGAGAGTGGGATTTTGACCGACTTCTCCACTGCGAAAATTGCGTGCTGAGATGCTATGATGGAAATGGAATCTCCTCTTTTTCCTCTTGATCAACTTTCTTCTCAGTGGTCGGCATTCGCGGCTGAGAACCTTGATGGCTGCGCAAAAGTCCAAAAGCTCAAGGTGGTGAGAACCTTGATGGCCACATGGGGGCTGACATGAAAATGCACGAATCCACCAATGGGAGGACGGGAGAATCACATCCTGAACGTCCAGCTAGGCTGATAAGGGCCAAATTCTGAGGCATAATTTGAATATTCGACATTTTGTGTGATGAGGGTTGGTCTCGCGTGCGCTTGGGCCTCGTTGCCTCCAGTGTCGTTAGCCGGAGCATCATCCGTTTCTCATCTATGTCTGTGTCTGTGTTGGTGGCACGTACTTGCTCGTACAGAGATTCTGCATGCAGCCGCTCCTCGTGGCCAGAGCGTACATATTCATGTTAGGGCTGTGATGGGTATGAGATGAAAAGCTGTGGCATGTGACTCATTACTGCCTGGTTCAAAATAGGGCTTCGAGGGTTGTCGGTACGCTGCAGGTCAAGGGGATACGTACATACATGCGCATAATCTCGAAACGCAGTGATGGGGTGACAGCAGGACACTAGCTGGCTGCACAGGCGTCTGAGTTGGTCGTAGTACAGAGGGGAAAATCACATGGGATGCTGATGTTGTCAATAGTGTCCAATTAGTCTGTGGGGGAGGTGTGTGATACAGCAGCCTGCCTCGGTGCTGTAAACGGAATCCTTGGATTCCCTCGCGTGATCAAGGTACTCGCACCAGACTCCATTGTTTCGACAAACATTTCATCTTCTCTTCTTCAGTATTCAACGCTTTCCCCATAAGCAAATCCCGGCAGAGGCTTTCACGACTGATCTAAAGCGAGACACCTCATACTGGACCAGCCCTGTCCAGAACTTGGTCATCAAAGTTCGCCTGGAAAATGCCAAAAGAATGTAGGCAAACTATCTGACTCTGTTGATGATGTAGGTAGCATGATTGCACGTGGTCATAACGACAGAAGTTCCGTTTCGGATCAATCGTGTCAGCTAACAGCCCCCTGCTTATATGACTGCCCGTGTAAAGCTCAGCAATGGCGGCCATGTTACAGCACAGATTGGATCTACTCCTAGAGATGGAGCTTTAGCAAGGCCATGTTGGTAATAAAAGAATTTTCCAGCCCCTCAATATGTCGTACCTCCTACGTTTGATTGCCTAGTCTCTCTTCCTTGCTCAACCAAGTCTAGTATAGAAGCAGGCTTAACATGATGCCTTGCCACAGCCGCATCGACTTGTACTGTTACGTCTCATATCTTGGTATAGCATGCATTGTGAATTGTCACCACTTTCATTGCTTTACTCTACGTAGCACATGATGACAAATGAAGCTCACATCATGCCACAAAGGGCGTCATTGACACTTGTGTATCATCACGACTCTCACGCTCTCCCTCTCTTATATCACGCGTATAATCACGTACTTGATGAAACCACCCCTATAATTACAGCCCAAAAGCACATATCAAACCTTTCTTTCATCGCCACATCGCCTTATATAAACAAACTTTCCCATCGGACCGTCGGCCAACAACACTCACCTCGTGGGGCTCAACCCCAGCTTTGCGGAAGCCACCCGCTCGATCCACATGACGCCATTCCCGGATCCAGCCAATACTGTCTACGTCGCGCTAATTCACGGCCATTGGCTGATTTCCATCACCAGGGTCAGAGCAAAGGGCGTCATTATCAAGAGGTTAAAACAACCTCATTCCAACTTTGAACAGCTTGTTGTCTTACTGGATATTAGCTGCAAGAGAAGTTGAACAGCAAACGGCTACGTTCTGTCGGTACCTTTCCTGACGTGTTACCCCATCGCTACTAGCCCGAGTCTCAACTCACAGTGATAATACTGCATCAAGAGGCATGTCTTACAAAGGGCGCAAGCCAACGTGCTTCCTGCTAAACCCTATGGCAGTCTCTTTTGTTTCTTATTTTCAGGGTCTGGCTCACGAATACTCCCCGATGCCCTGATATGGCAAGATTAATATCCATATGACTATCAAATAAAGCCAAGATGATGTATATACCAACTCCAGCAAACCCGGAATACCGGACATTGTAAGCTTGACTTGCCGTAATACAGAAAGAGGTGGATAAACCTCTACAAGTAAATTGATACAACGTATTGTAAATAGTAATCTAGCAGTACACTCTGCGCTTCGTCCAAGGCATATTTTGTAGGGTTACTTCCATTTGAATCATCGTGAGGGTCTGTTTAGCTGAATTCGACTTATCCGTTGAAGACAACACCCGGATAAAGCTACCCGCTTTGATCGACTTTACAAGGGCCTTGAGCATTGGTTGGCCATCACTTCTTCCACCACCATGCCGTACAAACCATGACTCAGTAGAGATTCTGCGTGTGATTACAGCACACACCGACTACGGAGGGCGTTGCAATGCCCATCTAGCGTCCATCTCCACACCCGAGCTCTCGACATGGAGTGTCAGCTCGTCGCTTCCAGCACCCAAATGGCACCAACTTCCGAATGTTAGATTGCATAAACTTCCGACTCGGGCCTGTAAAACAGCCCAATCAGCCCACCCAAGGCCCGGCTGCCCTCGGTGCTGCCAGTTTCCATGATATGCATACCATACCGCAAGACACTGGGCAGCAAAAAAGTGGCAAGCCCAAAAGAAGTGGTACCTTGCCTTTACGAGGTCAGCACCTAATACCACTTTAGAAACAAAAAACATGCTCGCCAGGTGTCCATTCCTCTTGGTAGCAATATCCACAAGCCGATGCATCTCAGCCCCCCCGGGATGAGCGCAGTGTGGAGAGAAAGGCACATGTATATCCTTGAGGCCTGCTCGATCACCTGTTGCAGACCTGGGGAAAGGGAAGGGCTGCCCATGGGGAGACCAAGGTCAGTACGTAATAGCTGCGCCGGCATAGAGGGCGTATCAACAATCGCGTCTACAGGCGGGAGCGGAGTGGACCATGTGTGTGGAGTTACGACCTGATTCATACGACGTCTGGTTGAAAAGCCATTGGTGATGCTGCTCTCTGTTCCTACAGTCTTACTATTCCTCTGCGAGTACTTCATACTACCCGGCCAGTGTCTGGTATCACGTCCGTAGTGCTGCACCAGTCAGTCGTAATCACGTCGTAGCGTAAACCAAGCAGCCAGGTCTCGCCAAATTTGCCATGCACATCACCTGTTATTAACGAACATCCCCCCCATGGCTTGCGTCGGCGCAGAGACTCGGAATGGAGCAACACCCCGTCGACTCAGCGTCACATCGCCCGCAGTCGGAGACGAAATGCCTGCTAGCCGCTGCAAGAAGGAGAGAAAAAGAGCCCGTCTTGAATGATTATCGTTACCTACGGAGTCATATGGAGTACGTACGGAGTAGCCAACTAGGTACGAATACCTACTATTAGTAGCATACGGGTAGCCGTTCCCTCGTATGTACGGTGTCCTCCGGCGGGCGTCCGCATCAAGCACACAAGATTATGTACATGTAGTTCCATCAAACCACCAAAGACGCCGAGATCTCTCCCGTTGTCCCGCCTCTTGGTTTTTTTTTTCTTCTCCCCTAGCGGATGGGTGGCTAATAAGCAAAAGAAACCAAGGAAGAAGAAAGAAAAAATTTCCCATTCGCCTCCCAAGAACATCTGCCCCGATTTTACGCTTCGTCGCGGCCGGCGATTGGCCTTTGCTCGCATTTCCGCGGCAATGCCGACCGAGATGCGGTCTTTTCGCAGCCACAAAGTTGAAGCCAAGCGCTAGAGAAAGCCGCTAGAAGGATGCACAGAAAGCCGTAGCTTCGCTCAGGGAACATGGATTGAGTCTTGTGCGCCCTTTGGATTGCACCTCCTTTGTTAGGCTCGTCGGACGTTGATGATGAGACGAGGGCGGCGTCGAGGATGGAAACGGCGTCGAGGCCGGATATGGCGATTTGCCTCGAACCCTTTTGGGGGGGAGTTGAAAAGCGGCCTTGGAAATGACGCAGTTTCAAAGGCCCTTTTCATTCTCCTACTCAGTCAGGCTGTTTCTTCTCTGGCTATCACGGCGGTTCCTGTGCCGAGACTGGTTTAGCCCCATCAAACTCTTCATCAGTTGATGGGTCTTATATGGGGCGAAGATGAGGGTCTCGCCAGAGTGATAAGCTGGACGGCGGCAGTGTAGTGTAGCAGTAGTAACGTTGATGTGTCGAGTTTGGAAATGCCAAATACGACCTTCTAAAGACAATAAAGTTCGGCCTGCTGCCCGACCTTGTTTTCAGGCCCCCCTTGTCTGTTTCCCGTTTCTTGTTGTGGTGTTGTGATAGTATATACAAAGCGGGTGTCGCCTTCGCCTTCGCTCTTCTACCCAATCGACCTTCAGTTGCTCCGCCTCTGACTCAACTCCCATCCTTTTTTTTTTCTTTGCTCCCTTTTCCGGCTTCTGGAGCAAAAAAAAAAAAAAAAAAGAAAAGAAAAAAAGAAAAAGATGGCCGCTGGTGATGCGACCGCGACTGCTTCTCCCGTGGGCCCGCTCATGACCGACGAGAAATACATTCAGGGCATCAACGACAAAAGCTCGGGCGATGTTCCGGGCACCGACCTCGCGACGGGCCAGTCCGACGAGGGCCTGAAGCGTGAGCTGCACTCTCGCCATCTGCAGTTCATCGCCATCGGTGCTGCCCTTGGAACTGGTCTGTTCCTGGGGATTGGCGGTGCCCTGTCCAAGGCCGGGCCCGGTTCTCTCTTCATCTCCTTCTTGTTCCTCGGATCCGTCGTGTACTCCATCATGGTGGCACTGGGAGAGATGGCGTCGTATATCCCCGTCACGGGTGCCTTCACCGTGTATGCTTCGCGCTTCATGGATCCCACTCTTGGTTTTGCCATGGGTTGGATCTACTGGTTTAGCTGGGTCATCACCATCGGCCTCGAGCTGACTGCCAGCGGTCTCATCATCCAGTACTGGACCGAGTCCGTCAGCATCGGTGTCTGGATCGCCATCTTCTGGGTTGTCTTTACTGCCGCCCAGTTCTTGCCGACGTTTGTCTTTGGAGAGATGGAGGCATACCTGTCCAGCATCAAGGTCATCACCATCATCGGCTTCGTCATCTTCGGCATCTGCGTCAACGCCGGCGTCGGTGACCAGGGCTACATTGGCTTCAAGTACTGGCGGGAGCCCGGTGCGTTTGCTCCGTACTTGGTCGACGGCAAGATTGGCCAGTTTGTCGGCTTCTGGACGGTGCTCGTCACGGCCGGCTTCAGCTTCCAGGGCACGGAGCTGGTCGTCATCGGAGCCGGTGAGACGGCCGACCCGCGCAAGGCCATCCCGACGGCCATCCGCTGGACCTTTTGGGCCGTCTTCCTGCTCTTCAACTGCACCGTCTTCTTCGTCGGCATCAACGTGCCCTACGACAACCCCGACCTGCAGAACGGATCGACCGACGCCTCCGCCTCGCCTCTCGTCATCGTTGCCAAGCTCGCCGGCATCCAGGCGCTCCCTTCCATCATCAACGCCGTTCTGCTGACTGCCGTCCTGTCGGCCGCCAACTCCGACATCTTCTCCAGCAGCCGCATCTTGGTCGCCATGGCTGGAGAGGGCCACGCGCCCGCCTTCTTCAAGCGCGTCAACAAGTACGGAACCCCTTACTACGCCGTGGCCGCCTGCTCCGCCTTTGGCCTTCTGGCCTTCCTCAACCTGTCCAACAACGGAACGACGGTGTTCAACTGGCTGCTCAACATCACGGCCGTTGCCGGCTTCATCAGCTGGGCGCTCATCAACCTGTGCCACATCCGCTTCATGAATGTGCTCAAGTATCAAAACATCCCCCGTGACGAGCTGCCATACAAGGCTCCTTTCCAGCCTTACCTGTCATGGTTCGGCTTCTTCTTCAACGTGCTGATCCTGTTTACCAACGGCTTCACCGTCTTCATCGACTGGGACACCAGCTCCTTCTTTGCGGCCTACGTCAGCCTCATCCTCTTCATTGTCCTCTATGTCGGACACAAGATTGTCTACAGGACCAAGTGGATACCGGTGTCCGAGGTGGACATTTCCAAGGGCCGATCGGATGCGTAAGCTGATGATGATGATGGAGAAGAGTTGGTTGTGTCATTCGGAGTAAACTGTGCGTGTGTGTGTGAAATAAGCGGTTCATTGTTGTATTTTTATTTATCTTGTCTTGTACGAGTGTCATGATCTAGTCTAGGTAGTAATTGATACCCCATCTTTGGAAATCTTACATCATACTGTTTTTGTGAAGCTGTGGATGATGCGCGAATGAACAGGAATCTATTGACTGACTGACCTGATTTCAACCAGCAGGTATAGATTGGATGCATGTGTTGAAGGCGCACGTATCGACGTGGCTCTTTTTTATTTATTTTATTCATCACACTGGCCAAATGTTAAATGGGATCGAATCACAGAAACAGAAAAATGCGAGATTAAATATCCAATGCCGGAATATGAATGCTTCACGCTTCCCCACGCTCACCCACCATCACATGTCAGAGCCTTTCGCCTTCGTACTGCATTGCATTTTGTTGGGCAAATCAAACAATCTGTTGAAAGAACAATTGAGCTAAACTCAAGACGGTATACCCCACGCTTTGACCCAGCTACAGTATTTAATCCGAACTGGACAATTTTATGTCGTTCAAATAAGGAGAAGAGCGGCAGATGATAAGGCTTTGAATAAGCGTGGCTGCTTAGGACGGCACAACAACAAAACTCTGAACAAAAGCTCATCAAGCATGATATAAACTCCGGCGGCATTCTCCAGACAATTGATAAGACAAACGTAACAAAGAAAAGACAAGCTCCAGAAAAGCAAAAAGGCACGCGACCCCAAGCCGTCTGTGGATTCTTCGCAGCTAAACTTGATGTGGAACAAACATCTCCAAGCAAAAACGCCGACTTTTTTTTCACATGTCAGACCAATCACAGCCTCGCATCCAGAGATCGCCAGCTCGATAAGCCCCACGACAAGAGATTTAGCTTGTGTCTGTTGAGTGAATACGGCCTATTGAATGGAATAAGGGTCAGCACGAGTTTGCCGGCTACGGCCTCACTCTTCTGTCTTTGGCTTTCTTCCTCACACCGCAGACGTTGCACCGCCTCTCCCTTTGCCTATCACAGTTTCACTGCATACTGCAAGATAATCTTTTTAAAAGGTCGAGACCGGAGAAGAACTCGCCACGCTAGGGATCAGGTGGGCCAAAAGGCTGGAATCCCACCATCATCAAACCCCCAATTGCGCCCAATTTGGCCTGCTGGGCGGCAACACATGAGCGAAGTTGAGAGGCCAATTGGTATTTGACAAGCGTTTCACGAGACTTTGAGGATACAGGCGGGAAGACTCTGGGACGCTCATTCCTTAGACCACCGTTTGGACTCTGTGTTGTCAACACTTGTGAAGCATTGGCGCCGTTTCTCCTCATCAGCCTTTCGCCCAACTTCCAAGATGAGCATCATTGATATAACAAAGGATCTGGCGGCCTTGTTCGAGCAGCAGGCTCAAGCTACGCCAGATGCCATTGCCCTGGAGGATGAGAGCCGGACTCTCACCTATGCGGAACTCGACAGCCTGACCTGGTCTTTGGCCGATCGCCTGCGCCAGTATGGAGTTGGCCGTGATGATCTGGTCGGCGTCTTGATGGGACGGAGCGCAGACAATGTCATTGCGTCTCTTGCTGCTCTCCGAGCCGGAGGAGCCTTTCTCGTGCTGGAGCTGGCCTACCCAACGGGCCTCCTCCACGATGTCATTGATGATGCCAAGCCGACTGTCATCATTACACAAAAGGCTCATGCTGCCAATATCAAGCCCGGTGTCGCTACAATCATCATCGACCAACCTGAGCCAACCACCAACGGCCATGCCGCACCCGTCGTGGTCGAGACGAGGGAGCCTCTGCCCGCAAGTGACGACCTGGATCGCCTGGCCTTTGTGTCGTACTCATCAGGCACCACCGGCAAGCCCAAGGGCATTGCAAACCCTCACAGAGCTCCCGTTCTCAGCTACGACTTGAGATTCCGCACAAGTGATCTCCAGCCAGGAGACCGCGTCGCGTGCAACGTCTTCTTCGTCTGGGAGATGCTGCGTCCCTTGATCCGAGGTGCCACAACCGTTGCCGTTCCCGACAACGCAAGCTACGACCCCATCGGCCTCGTCGAGTTTCTCGCTGCCAGACGTATCACAGACACCCTCATGACCCCCACTCTGCTGACCACCGTCCTCTCACGACATCCAAACCTTGGTGAGAAGCTTCCTGAGCTGAGGTCATTGTGGCTGAACGGCGAGGTGGTCACGACGGATCTCGTTCGTCGAGCCTGCAACGCTCTCCCCAACACTCGCCTCCTCAACGTCTACAGCGCCAGCGAGACGCATGAAATCGCCGTGGGCGACATCAAGACATTTGTCGACCACGAGTCTCGCGTCTGTCCCGTCGGACCGCCTGTAGACCCTGAGCACATTTACATCTTGGACGAGGCCGGAAACAGGCTAGACGCAGGTGTCAGCGGCGAGCTCTTTGTTGGTGGCGAGCTGCTAGCCAGAGAGTACCTCAACCTCCCTGAAACCACAGCCATTGCTTTCCAGATGGACCCCTTTGAGAACAAGGAGGGCGCTCGGATGTACCGCACGGGAGACATGGCGCGGATGCTTCCGTCTGGCCTGCTTGAAATCACCGGCCGAGTGGGCGGCATGATCAAGACTCGCGGCTACACCGTTCAGCCAGGAGCTGTCGAGACGACCATTGTGAAGCACCTGGCCGTACGAGACTGTGCCGTCGTCGCTCATGGAGAAGGCCTGCAGAAACAGCTCGTGGCTTACATCGTCCCCGACACTGAGCAGAACCCAGGCCGGACAATTGTTGTCATTGACGACGCCGGCCACAGCCCGGTTGCTCGACGAGCGCTGTCTGCCCATCTTGCACATTACATGATTCCTCCTCTATGGGTTGAGCTCAAGGAGCTGCCTACGCATGCCGTCTCTGGCAAGACCAATCTCAAAGCCCTGCCGCCTCCTCCTAGGCCGAAAACGCCGGTACAAACAGCAAAGACGGAGAGGAACGTCACTATCAAGATGGACACGATTGTCAAGATATGGGCCGCGGCTCTCAATGTCCCCGTCACAAGCATCACGCCCAAGCACGACTTCTTCGACCTGGGCGGACACTCTCTGATTCTGGCAGATCTTGCCAGCAGACTGACCAAGGCATTTGGATTCCCTGTTCCTCTCGGTCCGTTGGCAGGCACTCCCACTCTAGAGGGACACCTGGAGGCTGTCAAAGCTGCTCGTGATGGCCACACCGAAGAGGTTCAAGCTGAACTACCAGCTGTCCTCAGAGCTGACGCCGTGCTTCCGGAAGACATTCAAGCTATTCCAGGCACGCAGATGCGGCGCCTCAGTGACGCTGAAACAATCCTCCTCACTGGATCTACAGGTTATCTCGGAGCTTTTCTTCTCAAATATCTCATCGAGCACACCTCGGCGACTATCCTGTGCATGGTGCGATTCACAGAGCCGAATGAAGACTGCCGTCCAGCCGGCACGGCGCGAATCCGCAGGAACCTCATCGACCTTGGCATCTGGAGCGACTCCATGCTGGACCGTATGGAGATTGTCCCAGGAAACCTGGCCAGGAGCCGTCTGGGTCTATCACCAGAGGCCTTTGAGGAACTCGCAGCTCGTCCTCAAGTCATTGTGCACGCTGCGGCCACTGTCAACTTGGTCTACCCTTATGCCGCTTTGAGAAGTGCCAACGTGGGTGGCACGAGGGAGATTCTTCGCCTTGCCTCGCGTGGCGGTGCCACTCTTCATCACATTTCGACCAACGGCGTGCTGCCGCCATCGATTGAGGGCTGGTCCGAGGATGCCATGATCGATTTTGACGACGTGCCTACCAAGCTTCAAGATGGCTATGGTCAGACTAAATGGGTTGCAGAGAAGCTCGTGATGGAAGCCAGTAAGAGAGGCATTCCCGTCAAGATTTATCGACCGGGCACCATCAGCGGCCACAGTGTCACTGGTGCTGCCAACACCTATGATCTTCTCAATGCCCTCTTTATCGAATCGCTCCAGCTCGGCCAGGCCCCAGATGTCGCCAACTGGGTCGTTGAAATGACTCCCGTCGACTTTGTCAGCAACGCCATCATCACGCTCGCCGACCACACGCAAGGAGATCAACTCGTATATCATCTTGGTGATCCCAGCCCAATCAAGGCCGCATCCCTCTTCGATTCCCTCGCCGAGCTAGGATACGAAACAGGCCGCCTCCCATGGGACGAGTGGGTTGAACTCTGGAACGAGAAGCGAGGCTCTCGCGGAGGAGACGAGCCCTTTACCGTAGACATCCTACGCGGAGGAATGCCCACCGCCGACTCACTGCAAGGTGCCATCGTTCTCAAGGACGGCGCTACGCAGCCCACGCTGGACTTGTACGGAATCGAGCGGATCAAGATCAACGCGGCCCTCCTCGAGACGTATACGCGACACTTTTACGCCAGGGGTTGGCTTCCCAAGCCTCCCCGTCGACTCAAAACCAACGGAGCCGCAATCTCCGACATCAAAAAGGGGCGTCTCGCCGGCAAAGTCGCCATCATCACAGGTGCCTCTTCAGGTATCGGAGCTGCCGTCGCCGCCGGTCTCGCCATGGAGGGCGCATCAGTGGCCCTCGCGGCACGGCGCACCGATGCCCTCGAGAGCATCAAGACCAAGATCCTCGGCAACAGCCGCGGCAAAGTCCTCATCCACAAGACGGACGTTTCAAAGAAAGACCAAGTCGACGCCCTCGTCCGCGAAACCACAGAGAAGCTCGGCCCCGTCGACATCATCGTGTGCTGCGCCGGCGTCATGTACTACACCATGATGGCCAACGTCCAGACGGATCAATGGGAGCGCACCGTCGACGTCAACTGCAAGGGCGTGCTGAACTGCCTCGCCGCCACGGTCCCCGGCATGCTGGAGCAGAAAGCCGGCCACGTCGTCGCCATTTCTTCCGATGCAGGCCGCAAAGTGTTCCCCGGCCTCGGCGTGTACTCGGCCAGCAAGTTCTTCGTCGAGGCTACGCTGCAGGCCCTGCGCGTCGAGACGGCTGGATCTGGTCTTCGCGTGACTTCGATCCAGCCCGGCAACACGGCCACGGATCTGCTTGGCATGTCGACCGATGCCGAGGCCGTCCGGAAATACGGCGAACCGTCGGGAGCAAAGATTCTCGATCCGGAGGATGTGGCGCGATCGATTGTGTATGCCGTGTGCCAGCCGGAGCACGTTGCAGTCAATGAGATTCTCATTGAACCTCGAGATGAACCCATTTAACATGTACGGCGGCAATATGAGGGACAATCCGGGGTCTTTAAGATAAGGAACATATTGGGAATGGTGGTTATTAAAAGGGGAAATACCTAGGGAGATATATACACGCATCCCACGACTCATATCGTTTACATAGGGATTTTCATAGTAACTTTGTAATGAATTGTTCAACACTTGTTCAATCCAGCTCGTTTTTTTATCCATCTCGCTCAACACAGGTTTTCAGCAGGAATATTCGGAATATCGCTTCAGGGCAACGGATCGTCGGGCGCGAAGAAATTGCCTGCAACGTCCACGCAAGCGGCAACCCACTGCGGAGCCGCGGCAGCTCCGATGTTTCGGCCTCGAGTTTTTCAGTGCAGCATTGCCTATCGTGTAATTTACAGGCAAAAGGCATTTTCCGCTGTAGTTTTTATATTTGTGGTAAAATAACTAAAAGCTTCTCTTTGATAGCTATAGCATGGACAAAGGAGAAAGAGTCTTTGCAGCTATTTCGAGTCTCACGCCGTGGAGGCGTAATGGGCATTTGGAGATCGACATCGCTCCCCTTGGGAACCCTGATAGCTGAGACTGGAACATCCATCCATCTCATCTAGAAACCATCTGTAATTTATCAGGAATACAGCTATTCAATCCGGGAACAAACTATATGTTCTCTATCCTACATATTCTTCACAGATGACATCCCCATCGTCAATCTACAACTTGGATCCATCCTCCGACTCATCGACACCTCGCCAAAATACCAACCCATGACTGGTTTCAGACCAAACCGATCGTCAACGCCCATCGTCTTGGCAATTCTCATCTTCATTCAACATAGTATGAATTATCATCCTCGTTCGCTCAGCCATTGAATATCTACTCTTCTTTCCCAAATCCCAAAGGCCGCCGTACCAAGATCAACAGTTGCCCAATCTATCGACCTACCGCATCTTGATCTCATTCCCTGAAAGATCACCCACATAGAAAACAATCCACTGAATGGCTGAATAGTGCCCGTTGAGCTTGCTCTGCACTGTAAAGTCCATCACCTTTGTTCTTCAGAATCTGCTATTGTTTAGTGCGGGTAAATGTCGATCATTGATGGAGCAAAGTCAGAAGTTGAAGCAAGTGGATTCAAAAAGGGGCCGTGGCCGCGTATGACGATTTGCAACTACACGGTTCCAATACTCTTAAACATGTTCATGTGCCCACTCGGATAGTTTGTATTCTAGCTGTAATCATTCTCTTTCTCGTCCTATTTCGTTGTTAATATCGTCGTCATTACGTTGTTGTCCGGCCTAAACCTTTACGCTTTCTAAAAGGCTTCCATCCTAAAATCCAACTACCGCCATTCACTGTCAACGCTATTGCAATGACTTCTTTTTTTGATCCCCATTGTCGATCGTTACTGTAAAAAAGCCATCTCCTTTCGATAGTCATTCATCTACCGATATTTACTTCTTATACAATGCACTTTTCTCCAATCATCAGCGCAACCGCGCTCCTCTTCGCTCACTCCACCCTAGCCGACGTCTCGCTCATCACCAATGCCACCGATTTCACAACCCTCGCCAACACGGACAAAGGCTTTCCCAGCCAAACATTTCGCTCCTCCAGCATAATTGCTCCCATCTTTCTCGTAAACACGTGGGAGCAGGATCAAGTCGACAATGCCTCCTTCATCTTCCTCGGAACAGTCTACGGGGCGAACAAGGCAGGCCCCATGATTTTCGATGCCCGCGATATGAGCCTCGTGTACGCCGATCAGCAATACGAAAACACGTACACGTCAAACGTGCATGTTATCAACGGCACTCGTTATTTTGCTTTTTGGGAGGGCGGCCATACCCGCGGCCACGCCAACGGAAACTGTCTCTTCTTCGATGAAAACTACAACCTCAAGTACAACGTCACCGCCCAAGGACTCAACGATGCCCGTGCCGACATGCATGAACTCAGCGTCACCCACAGCGGAACAGTCATCTTCTCAACATACTTTAACATCCCTTTTGACTGCCGCTCAGTGGGCGGGCCAGAAAATGCGCTCCTCATGGACAGCGGCTTCCAAGAAGTCGACGCAGCAACAAACGAATTAATCTTCGACTGGCAAGCTTCAAACTTCTTCACCATTGATAACTCATATGCTTCATACAACGCAGATTACGGCGTTGGCCAAGACTCCGGCTTCGACTTTTTCCACATCAACTCGATAGAAAAGGCAATTCCGCCCATCTCCCTCGGCAAACACTCATCGCTAACAAACACTCACCTTTAGACTCAAGACGGCAACTATCTCGTCTCCAGCCGCCACATGTCCCTCCTCACCCTCATCGACGGCAAAGACGGCCACCCCATCTGGATCCTCGGCGGCCGACAAAACCAATTCGCCGACCTCTCCGACGGCGCAGCCACAAACATCAGCTGGCAGCACGACGCCCGCATCATCCCATCATCCAACACCACAGACGAGGCTCACATCACTCTCTTCGACAACCACGGCGAATACAGCGGCCCTTGTCAAGGCAAATGCCAAACCCGCGCTCTCCGCATCGCCGTCAACCAAGTCCTCCACACCGCACGGGTAGTTGGCGAGTTCTTCCACCCGGAAAACATCGACTCCGGCGCCATGGGAGGCTACCAAACGCTGGATAGCGGGAACATCATGACGGGATGGGGATACTATCCCGGCTTTGTCGAATACACCAGCGACGGCACACCAGTTATGGACTTCCAAAGAGGCGCAATCGGTGGAGAGCCTCTGCCAGACATGTTTGCCTACAGGGTCAATAAAGGAGATTGGAAGGGAAGCCCTTCATGGGCACCAAGTGTAGCCGCTGATGCACCAAACAACAGCACCCTCAATGCCACCGTCTACGTGTCGTGGAACGGCGCAACAGACGTTGCCTCATGGGCTATAGTAAGCATCTCTATCACTCTTTAACTATTCTTTCTATTCAGCCTCATGCAAAATGCTCATTCCAATAGTTTGCTTCCAATGACCACAGTAGCATCAACAACTACACAAACCTCGTCGCAGAATCCCCCCGCCACGGCTTCGAAACCGCCATCTCCCTGTCAAGCAAAAACACCACCCGTCGATACGTCGGTGCAGCTGCAGTGTCATCCTCCGGCGATGTCCTCGGTTCAACCATCGTCATCGATCTCCAAAACGGAGGCAAACCTGCCACTGTAGAGAGCGGCATAGTCACCCTAAAGCCTCCATCTCCATCACCGCCACCATCATCAGCATCAGGGAGTCGACGTACTGGCTCGGTAGGTGTCATGGGCGGATCGATATTTGGTGCTGCAGGCGTCTTTTATGCAGGAGTGTATTACTGGCGAAGAAGAGGGAGGGCACGGCGTGGACACGGAGAAGAGGGATACAGGATGGTAAACATGAGAGATTAAGAGGACAACTCAGGTAATAGTGGTAGAATGATGTTGATATTAGGTAGGGTATGTATTAAACATTGAATATTCTAGCATCCAAGTCGTAGCCAATGCCATGTATCAATGGAGCTTACGCAATGGTGACAGTGGCAGCAAAAGGCCTACGTTTGCCTCTGCAAGGACATGGTGCCGTCCATCCGCCAACTCGCATTCAGTAGCGTGTCTTTCACGTATTTTTCTGCCGCCCCTTCAGCTATGTGTTTCATCCTGTCTTCGAGTTCGCTCTCTAGCACCTCTATTCTCTCCTTTGCGTCATCGTCTACTTGATTCAGCATGCGATCAACCTCGTCTTTAACTTCTTCAATCACATCAGTTGACTGGATCCTTATATCCGTTAGTTCGTCGTCAACACGCGTTGCAAGTTCTTCAAGTATTTCTTCTTTCTCCTCCGTTCCATAGCGGCAATGGTTAGAGCTAGCATCCGCATCAAGCAACTTTTCTCCGAGCTGTCTGATGCTGTTCATAATACGTTGCTCCATGTCATTGAGAATGGCGTTAATAGGCGGCATATCACTGTTCTTCGCGGAAGAGCCGTTTTCATCAGCTTGGGGCATATCAAGTTTGCGTTTCTCTAAAGTCACCATTTAGCAAGTCTACAGTAGAGTCATTGGGCGGTCAAGCAGAGTGTACGTACTGGAGACACGTTCGTTACTAGACGCGGGGATATAGGGCGGAGGGGACTCTGCTTGCACATGAGTGCTCACAGCCGCTATGCTCGTATTGGCGATTTGGCCCCCTTTACCAGTGTACAGTCCACTGAGATCACCAAGCGCGGCATTCCAGCTCGGGCGGGGCGAAAAAATGGAAGCGATTTTCTTCAACTGGGCTGATGGAGTCGTACTGGAGCTGTTGAGACGGACGGTGAAACTTGTCACTTGAGAGAGGGCCACGATCGATTTCAATAAAGCCTTGCTCTTGGGCTTGGCAACAATGGGGTCTTTGGGTGTAACAAGGTCGGGTTGCCGTTCCAATGAGAGACACAATGATCGTACATTGTTCTCGTTCTGATAGGTGATGAATTTGATAATCTCGGGGCGAATATACACATAGATAGCTCGCCTATTGGGAGGCTTGCTGGACTTGATGAAGACATCGCCATACAACCGTAAAAAGGCATTGTTGGCCGTGATGTCGACGTTTATCTCGAGATCCAGATGGTCAGTCTGGTGCACTTCGTCGTCTTCATCCCTCCAAGTGACTGTGTTGTTTGAGCAGTGTATTTTGATTTCGTCGGCCTTTGCCGTCTGTTTACTGGAGCTGGGTATCGTCGCGTTCGGCATGGCTGGTTCCTCGACGCTTTCACTCTTGTTGATTTTGCCTGCAGTACTCATGTCCAAGTCACGATTGGCATCGACATGTTGGGATTGCCGCCCCGGCCTATAACGCGTCAGTTCACTACTCGAGAGGGAGGAAGCATCCACGTGTAGCCAGAATGCAGGACATTGAATCAAGATGAAGTTGCAAAGGCGTAGTGAAAAGCCCCTTCGCTCAGCACCAGACGACTCGCCTCACAGAGAGTCTTGCAAAACGGAGGCAAACAGAGGCAGGGCGCTTTCGCACGCTGTCCACCGTCGCGGCCAACAAGACCCCGATCCTGCCACCAGACTCTGCTGGCAACAGGCACCGAGATGGATCTTGCATGCAGTGAACCCTCTGCTGAAGCTCGTCGTCCAGTAGAGCGGCACGGCTATCCACGTAGGCTGAGAGCCCAGTGGAATCACACAAGGGCTATCTCACTAACCCGGGCGGAGGAGAATCTTGCGTCAGTTCCCCATGGTCGGTGTTGACGTTTGTGTCCTGAGTGTAGGATGCAGGACTGTTGACCATGGCAGACGAGATGGATGGAGGGCGTTGCCCGGGGTGGAAGAATTCATGATCCGTGGAGAGGAGAGGTGGCTGAGATGCGTTGGGAAAAAGGGCGGTGCGTGAATTAACGATTGCTGCTCGAGCTCTGTGGATGACTAAGCTGGCAACTCATCAGTCTAACCGTACTTGGATAGGTCCGCTCCGCGCTAATCTGATTCGGGCTCGCGTAAATGTCACCCCGCTTTTAAGCTCATCGCACCTCGAGAAAAGCTCACGTCCAAGAATTACTGCCATCAGTCTAGGTATGTATGAGCTGCAGTTATTATCATCCATTGCTTCAAATCTACCACATTTCTTCTAACAAAAGTAAAATCCATACAGAAGGCTGTCATATATAGTATAAATCGCACCATGATATCATCATTCATGCCAGAAAACAAGACAAGATATATGCAAGTCATGTCGCCAATACGTCAATCAAGACCATCATTTCCAAGTCGTTTCGATCCACGGGCGTGGTAGTGCCCTCTAACAAACCAATTCTCGCCGCTTGCATGATTGTCCAAACGATTCAAGAAAAAAGCTCCTCCGTTTGAACTTCGCAAATCGTCATTGTTACACAGTCCTTGTCGGAATCAAGCATCGTCAATAACGGTGCCGTCGTCGTCAAAATCAAACACCTCTTCAAGAGCCACCGCGCTAGCAGCCTCTCTCTGTAGCATCAGAGACGTGATGAGCTTCTTGTCCGGTCGCAAGACACCCCACATCCATGGTACCACCAGAACCTTTGACGTCTCTCCTGGAACGCGATGCGCCATCGCTTTGATGAAGCCGAGCTGTTTTCCCGCCATGTTCCAGACGAATTTGTAACCATTGTTGTAGTGTTTCTTGAAAGCGGTCGAGGCTTTGAGCAGTTCCCAGTTGCTCATGGCCGAATTCTTGTTGATATCATGAACCAACTCCGGAAATTCGCCGCTCGCGAACAGTTCTGCCGGTAGCTGTATATCAAGCCATTTCTGGTACAGGGCATCTACCTTGTTGGCATACTTGGAGGTTTCGGTGCCATTGTCTCCAACGACACGCCACTCATCGCGAAGCTTACCAATATTGTTCCGCAGATGTGTCAGAAGCTGCCTGCAGCCGGCAGAAGTTTTTGACCTCTCTTCATACATATTACAGATCTTTGTGAGGTCTTCATCATAAGGTATGGCGTTATTCTCTTTGACAGCCTCGTTAAAACTGGTCAAGACTTCGTCAATAACTGCATCGGCAACATCAAACCTCAAGTAATCGAGTATGTGCAATCGGCCCTTGTTGTCAGGTCTTCGCGATCCCTTTTCTTTCGCGTACTCTGGATCGGGAAGAAAGGTAGACTTCTTCCCAAGGTGTTGAATGCAGAAACGCTTCCAATCTTGCTCAGTAAACTCAATACCTTGCTTGCTCTGATCAACCAAGTAGCCAAGCAACTGGCTCAAATGTATGGCATCTCGGTCTTGAACAGACTTGTGAAAATAGCAGAGCCTCTCTTTGTACTTTGTACATCGACCGAGAAATGAGGGCTGTAGATTGAACAAAAATGCTCTAGATACGAACTCTACACAGGCGTCCTGAAGGTGCGCAGGTCGGTTGTTCATATACTTTCTGTAGTTGTCTCTTCCGACCTGATCCAAAATGTCCTTGAATTGCGTAGTCATCTTGCGAAGATATCCGCTCTCGATGAAATCCAGCTTCGGAGGCAAGGCAGCATTGTCAAAATTTCTAACAATATTTTGATCCCAACATACCCACGCCATGTCGCCGTCATAGTCGCCGCCTGATAGCTTATCAGCAAGGGGTATGCTTCCTTTGGTCGAAAAGATGATGACGTCTTTTAGCTTTCGAAGCTCTGGTCGAGATACTACCCTGACTCTCTGGATGTCGCTGGGGAGATGGGCTGGGGCTCTTGCTACTAGAATATCCATATTCTCAAGTAGCGTGTCGGAGAATCCCTCGGCCTGAAATTTCGTGGAAAAGGAGAGATGCACCTCTCCTTCTTCAAGCGTTGATGAAAAGTCCGCAGCCATGTAAATGTAAGCTGAACAGGGAATGGTGATGTTCATCTTGGTTTTCAAAATATCGGCCTTTTTCTTGCACATTTCCCAGACAAGCTCCCTGAGATACGTCATTCTCCTTTGATCAAATCCTGAGTCGAGCAAAAAAGCGACTTTATCCGCGTTACTATCGGGGAGACCAGCCAGAAATTCTACAGACCCATCCAGCGACCGTTCATTCTTTGAGGGGCCGGATTGGCGAATCCATGATCGGAGACCCATGGGTTCCTTCATGGCGGCAGCTTGCTCACCAAGGTCAGCATGCAGGGCTCTCTGTAGGTGCTCGGAAACTACGCGTCGCATCGCGTCGGGTTGTGGTGATCGGGCCTCTAGCACGGGGATGAATTGCTGATTCAGAGACGCCGATCTCAATTCCGATGGCCAGTTCCGTATCTCGAGAGTCCGGTGGTGAGGATCCTCGAAGTCGCATTTCCATTTCCTTTGTGATGGATAAGTCTCGACCCAGTCTCTCTCAAAGTCTTCCTCACTCTCCACATCAACCAACCACATGCCCTTTGCGCTCCCCAGTCTACCCTGAAAACAACTTGGGCAGTCGGACAACCCAAGAGCCACGGCAACCTTCTTGGCCAAACTTGGTGATATGCGACCGATTCCATCATTCATTACCACCTTACCCTGCGTTAGATCTTCGGGCTTGTTGATGATCTGATGCTTCTCGAGAACAACGGTTGGCCACGTTCGACTGAGACCTAATTCAATCTTGTCAGAAAGCACAGTCTCGGAGAAATATGGGGATACAGTAGCTCACTCAGTGCGAGGCGAGAAAACAGTTTGGTAACTGGCTGTTCCGAGTTGCGCTCGTTGTCGATGTCAACGGCCCATTTCAGCAGACCACTGAGCTTCATTTTCGTGCGGGCCTTTGTCTCCAACGCTTCTGCTAGCGGCGAGATGCCATCGGGTGCACTGGGGCGGAAATTATTTGCATCACAAGCAAAGAAATAGACTCTCTCTACCGATGTGTTTCTGTTTGTCCCAGAAATCTTCTTGCCCTTTACATTGCGAACGAAGAATGGCTTCCAAGTCCGCCCAAGAAAATAATGCTCCGGCTTTGTAAGCCAATCTACAATCTTTTCAAGGCTCCTTGGATCCTCTTTGAGTACAGTAGGGTCCTCATCCGTCGACGCCGATGGCGATGGAATGGTTATTTCCAAGAAGCGATCGGCACCAAATCGGCGCGCAAGTCGATGACCCAGCTCGAGTTTTAACGGATGTAATCGAAGACTATACAATGGCCCAGTCGAGTCTTGGTTATAAACCAAGTCTGCCGAGAGTGTAACTGTCTTGACTTTGGTCTGAAAGTCACCCAGTGCTGTGTGCCATGCCACCGGATCGCCGGACGGAGGCAAGCTCTTGCCACGAAACAAGTGATGGTTCGAGATTGCGTCTCTCAAACTGCTTTGATCATGCCAGCTATCATTCGGCTCATACAATAGGTCGAACTGATCCAGTGAAACTTTGCAATAAAGAGCAGCTCTTGTAACCTCCCAAATCACAGCCAACGGTGCATGTGTCAACGCTGGGATCGGCAATTTAGCTATATTATCGCCAAGGTCAGCAACAATGCATACTGTCTCCATCAATCACGCATGCTTACGCCAAATATTAGCAAGCTTTTCTTCAATCGTCTGGCTCGCAGAGCCGAGGCTGTCATCAGAAGACCGTTTCAACGAAGGCAGAGGGCTTTTGAATCGCGAATCATCCAGGTTTTCCGGCTGGTTGGTGGATTTGTTTGGTCTGCTAGGGAGGGAGTTCCGATTTTGCTGCACGTCGTTTCGGCTTTGGCTCAATCCAAACGAATGTGAGAACGATTCGGCTGATGTTTGTTGTGAATATGGATAACGATTTGACTTGTCATGATATCCAGAGTCAACAGTCGTCTGGCTGATGAAAGATACATCTTGCGTATTCGAGGAAAAGACTTCGGACGGAAAAGAACGACGGCTTGAAGCAAAAGTCTGACCAAATGATGTCTGCTGAGGAAGTGGTTGAATAACTTCTGCGATAGATCGACTTCCAGAGGCTAACGAGACACCACTGTCCGCAAATGAACCAGTTGAGCGGACAGGAAGAGCATCCACTGCATCATGGTGTTCGTAGCTGTGAGGTGGCTGGCCTTTGGGCCGCTTCTGAGTGTGATTTGCAGCCCCTTCAGATATTCTCTTGCTCAGCTGTCTTGATTCCGGGCCGTTGATATCACGAAGAATTCTCAAGAGGCGCTCTTGGAGCAGAGACCGAACACTGGTAGTGAGATACCCGGTAGGACTGAGTGCCTCGGCATCAGACAAGATCAACCGCCCCTGTATCTGAAAGAGCCCCAGACAGTCAGCTAGCCGGTTACCGTCATAATAATGCAGCTGTTTGATTTTCTGGTAAATGTCGTCGATCCGGGCCTCCTCGTCACTCCGCTGCCGTTCGCGGTATTTGCGAGGAGAGAGCGTTACATCCGGCCCGCGAAGGTGCAGTGCAAAATCGTCGTTGAGCCTGCTAATGATGCGGTCCAGCTCCAGCTCCAGCGCAGACCGATTCCGTCCTTGAGGCCCCAAGGAGCCAGACATTGTACTCGTAACGAGCACCGTCTAGCAGCCAGCAGCAAAAGCTTACCCACCTCGCTCGCCCGTATAAGTGAGACTATTGCAATAAGCCCTTGCCCGTGGTGGATGCAGCCCGACCGAAGGCTAAACTTGTGCCATTGCCGCGATTGCGGGGAATCGCCGAGCCGCCACCGTTGGAGACTTGGAGAAGCTGCACGTGTTGGATCACAGGAGCTGGGTCACGTGCACCTCGAACGCGATATCGCCACCTCCAGCCCCGGACCGCCAGTTGATCCGCCCTTCAGCCCAGCACTCCCGGATCCTCCACCTTCTTGCGCTCGTGGAGATGCTCGGGGTTCGGCGTTGATGAACTGAGTTTCGCAGCAGCCCAGACTCATCAGCTAGTAACTGGACGCTCGGGTCCACTGCATGCAGTTGGAAGAATCCGCGGGAGCTGAGATTGTTGCATCAAATCCAACCATGGTTGACAATGACGCGGACGACCAGGTGCCGGTCGATGATCTGACACCTGAGGAAGCCAGTCGCATCATCCACTCGCACCGCAAAGTTCGCTACGGTAAGTGAAGGATACAACATGAGACACCTCCCCGGGGGCTACGCGAGCAGATTCTGCGCCGTCAAATCCCTCCGGAACTCTCTCTAATTGCCGCGCGACTAACGCCTAATGCACCACAGGGACCGCCTGCTGGCCATGCCGTCAGCGCAAGGTCAAGTGTGACAACCAGCAGCCGTGTGAGAACTGCGTCAAGCGAGAACACCCTCAGCTCTGCTCTTATAAGCCGAACCGATCGTCGGCGAGCAAGCACAATGCCGCCGCCTCTCACAGCCGCAAGAGGGCTCGTTCACCGTCCGACGGAGACGACAATGTGAAAGATGAGCGCCAAGAAAGCTGGCCTCCAGCAATTGGTGAGCTCATGGCATCCAGTTACGCGCTCAGCTATTTGCGTCGAGTTCATTGAATAACCTCTCTTATAGGACTGTCCACAGGCCAGGACGACTCTGACTCGGTACCTGACCGTTATGTTGGACAAAACAGCATCCCGGCGCTGCTAGGAGAGCAATCGCCCAACAACAAAGAGGACGGCACCGACATCCGACGGGACATGAGATCCATTCTGGGGCTTGACACCTCCGCGCCCTTTCCTCTCATGTCATCCACTCACCTCCAGCGGCTTGCTCGCGATATCGCCACTGAGCTGCCGTCGGATAGAGAGGTTATGAAGTATGCCATGGCGCCGAGTACCGCCTGATGAGACGCAATCTCATGCTAACGCTACTTGACTAGACTTTTCCGTACTTACAAGGAGATCCCGCAGCCGTTTTGGGGTTTCGTTCTCGACATTGATGAGCTCGAGTCCAATCTCATGATTTATCTAGAAGATCGATCCCGAAATGCATCAAAGTCCGGGAAAACCTCGAGGCCCGTGACGGCCTCTTGGCTGGCCATTCTCTTTGCAGTCCTGGCAGTCGGCTCCCAGTACCACGAGTCCCCGTACCATATCCGCACAAAGGATTCGCAAAAATACATTCAGATATCTTTCCATCTACTCCGGCTGGCCAACTTTTTGTTGAGGTGAGACGATAGTCCTCTCACTAGACGCGTAGTTGTATCTGTACTCTAACCATATATTCTCTATATACAGGCCGTCGTTTGACTCGATCCAAGCATTGTTGTTGACAAACTTTGTTCTTCTCAATGACATGAAGGCTGAAGCATCGTGGGCGCTCACCGGTCTTACATGTCGCCTCGCTCAATCCTTGGGGTTGCATCGCCCGACCATCCGGGCCAGTCGAGAGAATTCACCCCCTGCCGCCAAGTCCAAGGAAATGATCCGTCGCAGGCTGTGGTGGTCATGTGTTTGGCATGATACCCTGACATCCTTGTCGTTTGATCGGTAAGATTTAGTCGCTCATCTTCGAGGTACCGAATGCGATGCTAATTCTCCTGGCTGCATAGAAGTTCGATGACAAACATTCCGAGCTGCCCGATTCCCCACAATTTGGATGCAACAATTGGAAACTATGGCTATCTGGAGATGATGTATAACCTCATCGAGATTATTTCGCGGCGACTCAATCCCGATGTAATGGCCTCGGCTACCTACGAGCAAATCTTTGAGAATTGCGAGGTCGTCGAGGAGCTTCGTAAACGGGCAGCACCCCATATGCAGGACAAGGAAAAGTGCAAGACGGCACTGGATCGTCTCCAATTCTTCGCCATCCGCCTCCACACGTCCTTTGTTATATCTGTCGCGTGCCGACCGGCCCTCCGAAGGGACTGCACCTTTGACCCGGCGCAAAAGCAGGCTCTGACAGATAGATGCAGGATCAATTTGACCGAGACGGTGAAAATGTTCCTCGCCATGCACCAGCTTTCGGTGATTCCCACGCGAAGCTGGGCCTTTACATACCATGGCCTGTCATCGGCCCTGCTGCTTGGCCTTTCTTCCGATACCAAGTCCGACCCCGAGGTCCGACAGCTCCAGGGAGATCTGATCGAAGCACTCTCCGCGACGGCGGCCAAGGAGGTTAGCTCCCCAGAGGCTCATGTCGCCAAGACTGATAAAGACATTGAGCTCTCGGGTCCCCTGTGGAGAGCACTTACAGCCCTCAAGAACATCTACGACCACGGACAAGTCAACATGTCGAGCCTGAAGCGGGAAGGCGACCTATCTGCGGTTGCCAGTGGAAGCAGGACTCCTTTGCATCTTGGGTTGAATGGCCAGGGCGGCTTCAATGCCATGATATCGAATCCTTCGTTCCGCCCATTGCCTCAGGTGACTGACGCCCGCGAAGACGCGGCAATGGCCATGGCCGAGATGCAAAACGGCTCATCCATACAGGACATGACAGCGTACGTAAAGCAGCAAACTTGTTTCCCCTTTACTCCATAGTCGTATCGGAATGCTAACCCGCTGAAACAGGATGAGCTACCCTCAGCAAATGAATAGCAGTCTTGCTATGGACGGCATACCGCCCATTGTCGATCCTATGCAATACAACGCACCCATGGAACTGTACGATTCCATCTGGGTTGGTAAGTACAACCACATAACTCGCAAATCAAGTACACCGATGAGACTAACAATCGGCCCAGAATCCCCTCCAGATCCATGGAACACTGGCATGGACGCCTTCAACTTTGACTTCCTGGCACAACCTCCACCAGGCCAGAATCACCAACAATATTATTTCTAATTTGATAGCAGGAGGGTGGGTGAAACTATGTAGTATTCTGTTTTTTATGGATATCGTAATGAATTGGGGGAGTAGGGAGTAAGTAACATTATGGACCCGTGACGATGATGAATACGCACATAGTGTGCAGAGAAAAAAAGCAACCAGGTTAATTAATTGTGTTTTACTCGCATGTACGAAAGGGGGTGATGAAATTTGTCATTTTGATTCAGCATATAGATTACATCTTTCCCAAGTTTTAATAATGATGAAATTGTTACTGTCTCAAGGACGTCCTGGTGAACCATCATGTATTCAACCGTGTATAGCAAGCTCACATACGTCAACGGCCAGGAGACATGTTGTCAGCGCTCTCTTTGATCATCCAGATTCTCGCAGGGTCACCCCTCGCGCAAAACTCAGATCGCAGATGAAAGTCCATGAACAGGGTTACCCATCCTCAGATGTTAAACCGCCATCCTCGGCCTTTGTCGCGACAATCAGTGCTCATCATCCAACATGTCTCCTGATCCATCTATACAACCATCACCAAGACGTGGAGCGTCAACAGTAACACCGGAGTCACAAGAAAATGAACAATAGGAAAAGAAATGGTCAAATGCTTTTTTTTTTAATTCTGAAAATCACCTTTTTTTCTTCTTTATGTTAGTTGATTATTTTTTCGTTCTCCTTGATGTGCTGGAAACGAGCTTCTTCTTCAGATGCTTGGGCATCTTCTCCTTTCGCTTCTCTCGCTTGGCTTCCTTAACAGCCGATTTATGTTGCTGCAATAAGTCAGTCATCACCCTCCCAAACTTAGCATCATCCATTATAAGGGGGGAAACATACCTTCTTCTCATCCTTGTCCTCAAATTTACGACCCCTCGGCCGTCCCTTGTCAAACCGACTCTCGTCATCTTCATCCTCACCACTGCCAAGAGAAGCCCCCTCGCCAGACTCATCATCCGAATCTTCCTCATCCTCATCCTCTCCTTCGCCATCTGCCTTGGGCGCAACAACCTGGTCAGCCAGCAGCTTGCTGTACACCAACTCATTGCCCTCTCCAAGACCGAGCTTCTTGACATCCTTCTCAATGTCATACACCTGCTCCAGCGTCTGCGGGATGTACTGGTTCCGGAAAACCTCCGTGTCCACCTCCTCCGCAGCAGCCTCCTCCTCGTTCGCAGCAGCATGTCTCGTCTCGTACAACTTCGCAATGGCCTCCGCCAGCTCAGGCTCCTCGACCGGTCCCTCCGGCACGGTGATGAAGTTGAAGATGGCCCGGTCAGGCAGCGTGTCGACGCCCTTGCGCCGGAAAAAGTCACCCACGTTCTTGATGTCCATGCGCAGAAACTCGAGCGACCGCGGGTGGTCCGGCTCCACGCTCTGCGAAACGTCGATGATGTACAGCTTGCCGTCGTGGTAGAGGATGTTGTACTCGCTCAAGTCGGCGTGCACCAGCTTGCACACCTGGTACATGCGCCGCATCGTCCCCAGCAGCTGCGCATACAAGTTCTGCCACTGCTGGTCGACGTCGTCGCCCTTGAGGTTGGCGTCTCGCAGCCGCGGATACGCCCAGCCCTTGTTGTCGCCGAGGAAGCCCATGACCAGCACGTGCAGCTTCAGCGCCAGGGGCTCCGGGCAGGGGATGCCGGCGTTGTATATCCTCCTCAGGTTGCGATACTCCTTCTCGGCCCACAGCTTGACCATCTTGCGGTTGTTGCCCTTGTCGAAGCCGCCCTTGAAGCGGTGCTCGCCGGTGATGTACCTCTCGCGGTCCTTGAACACCAAGATGGCCGTCTTGTACACCTTGATGGCTCTCTGCGTGGCAGCGCCCGTCTCTTCGTCGTACGACACGGCGCCGTAGACGTTGGCCTCCTTGCCGGTGCTGATGGCGCCGTGGACCTCGCTGACGGCGCCGCGGTTGATCATCTGCAGCAGAATCATGCGCGTCCTCTGGTCCAGCACCTGCTCGCTGGTGGCCCGGTCGGCCTTGTCCTTGTCCCGCTCGCCATCCTGCTTGACCGAGTCGAGCCGGATCTTGGTCGCGTGCTTGGACAGCGCCGAGACCTGGTCGTCGACGCTGGCAAAGGTGTTTGCCGTGGGCTTCTGCTGGTTGGACCGCGGGATCGCAGCGCCGTCCGTCAGCTGCTGTCTCTGGCGGTTGTACGTCTTGGTCAGGTCGCCGTCGGCCGCCCATTCCTCGTCCCGCTCGTCGTCGTCGAAAATGTCCTCGAGATAGTCGTCGTCCTCGTCCCCGGCTGCCAGCGGGGCGTCATTCTGTTGCCTCAGCAATTCGCGGGGCACTTCTTCCGTCTGCTCGTAGCCCTGGTTGGCCGTATATTGGTATGGTGGCTGGTGAGGCGCTGCCGGGGAGGCTGCGACACCTTCAGCGTCCATGTTACAGGTCGTTTTGTTTCTGTTTCTGCGTGTTTCTGATTATTGGCTGCTCTGTCCTGCGAGTCAAAAAAACAAAAGAGAGAAGAATAAAAATACTGCAGTCGTGCGCAAATGCAAACGCCCCCAAATCTTGGTTGATGCTGCAAAAATCGTCCCGCCGCAGTCGATTTTTTATCTTATCTAGAAATTTTGAAGTTTCCGTGTGGTGGCGCATTTCCGCTGCTAAAAAATGCCCATAGCGCGGAGGTACTTTGCGCCAAGTCACTCCCTACAACTGACGTACTGTAGGACTGCAATGGCGGGGATCTTCCCCGGTGAGTCACCAACGGCCACCGTAAATGAGTACATGCGCATCAGGTACCAAACATCAAACCGTCCATCAGTTCATCCTCTCCTGTGGCGAGTGTCTCTTCAGTTCTAATTGACTGATATTCCTCGTCTCCAAAACTCCATTCTGAGTCTCACATCCCTGTCAATTTTTTTTTCCTTTACAAAGCCGTGGCAAAAAAGCCTGTATTGCCAATTTGTAAGTCAAACAGAGTCAATTTGCAGCACATCAATGAGTCAGCTTGTTCTTGTTGACTCAGAGCTTAAAGCCGCAAGATGCCGTCTTGACCACGGTAAAGAAGAGCTCATCCAGGTGATCAAGCGAGACAGAGAATATGCATCTTGGCTCAAACGCCATGCATACAGAATCGTAATCAATACCGTCATCAATCTCTCATCACTCAGCTTTGCCAATGCCTTTTCTCGCAACTGAAATGCAATCGTGACCATCGGAGGCAGCCCGGTTGTCGAACGGCTAAAGGGGCAAGGCCAGCCACGCATATCTGCTGATTTTTCAATGTCTCGGTCAATCCCCATGATCGTCACCAAGGAAAATAAGAATGTCTCACAAAATGCCCTTGTCCTCCCGCAATTTCGCGAATATTCGGAAGCCCATGCTGTCTATAGCTTGCAAAATATTCCCATGCACATGCCTCTAATTGCATTCCATTCCTCGACCTGTGCGACCATCACGGGGTAACCAAGATCTCTGGACTTGGCAATGATCAGTGGCTTCGGAAGTCGGGGGTGCAGCGAGTTGTAAAACAGTTGCAACGGGGCTGCAATCCAAAGGACAGAGGCCCGGAATGCCATGCCGTGTATAAAATAAGTGAAGAGGTCGTCAAATATTCAGCCTTCTTCCCTTCTGTAGCAGTAGCTTCCTCCAGTCTCGACTCCAAGAGGGCCGCTGGAAGTTGATACTACCTTTTGACATAGTCGCTTTCTTCGTTGTAGATTCTTCGGATTAGAACGATTTCATCATGAAGTTCCACGCAACCGCACTTACACTTGCATACCTGGCAAGCTCTGCTTCGGCAGCAGTGGCCCAGCCGAGGAGTGAAGCAATCCAGTCAACTACTCCCGAAGGCAAGACGTTTTCCATCTCTCAGATATATAATGAACAGTACAAAGGAACCAACGTCCCGGCCAGCTACATTGCGGCTCTCGTGAAATATAGCCCCCAGCTTCCGGAGCGTATCAAGCATGTGATCAGGATCAATCCGGACCTGCACCGCAGGTTTGGCTCTCTCCTCGACGCCGGTAAGTTCTCTCATCAGGGTCACGGTGTGATTCGAGGGACTATAAAGGGCTGATTGGAGAAATAGGCAATCAGACGGGCACTGCCGTTGCCACACCGTCTCCGGGAGCCGATTCGGAATATGTGTTGCCTATCAAGATTGGCACACCACCTCAAACCTTGCCAATAAACCTTGATACCGGTTCATCGGACCTGTAAGTCGGTTTTGGTATGCTGAGAGAGAGTAGACTCCTTCCCTCTAACACCAATCAAAACGCAGTTGGGTCTTCTCGACAGACACGTATCCGTCTCAAGTCCAAGGCCAGGCGATTTACAACCCCGGTGCGTCAAACACCAGCGTACGCCAGAACGGTCTATCATGGGTGATCAAGTACGGAGACGGTTCCAGCGCCAACGGCATCGTCTACAAGGACCGTGTCCAGATCGGCAACACCTTCTTCAACACACAGTCCGTTGAGTCTGCCATTCAAGTCTCCGCAGACATCAGCGACGACACCTTCTCGTCCGGCATTCTCGGTGCCGCCGCCAGTACTGGCAATACAGTTCGTCCCACCAAGCAAAAGACATACTTTGACAACATCAAGGACCAGCTCGTGAAGCCGCTCTTCACGGCCAACCTCAAGAAGGGCAAGCCCGGCAACTACAACTTTGGCTACATCAACGCCTCCGAGTACACGGGCGCCATCCAGTACGCCGCCATCAACCCCAATGGCCCCCTGTGGGAGATCTCTGTCGGTGGTTACCGCGTCGGCAGCAACGACACAAGGTACGTGGCCCGCGTGTGGAACGCCATCGCCGACACTGGCACCACGCTGCTCCTGGCACCCACCGACATCGTCAGGGCCTACTATGCGCAGGTCAACGGCTCCATCTTGAGCAACGAAGTGGGGATGATGGTGTTCCCCTGCGCCGCAAAGCTGCCCGACTTTGCCTTTGGACTGGGCAACTACAGAGGCATCGTCCCGGGTCCTTACATGAACTATGGAAAGATCAACAGGACGTACTGCTACGGCGGCATCCAGGATTCCGAGGGCGCGCCGTTTGGTGTCTTGGGAGACATTGCCCTCAAGGCTCAGTTTGCCGTCTTTGACTTTGGCAACAAGGTTGTAGGGTTCGCCAACAAGAACACCACCGTCTAGCTGCGTCTTGGAATCGCCGTCTCGCAACCACAGTAATGAGAGACGGACCAAAGCATCAGCTTCAAGGGGGGATAATTCTGCTCCTCGAGGGGACACAGGACACGGCGTCTTTCCGCCTTGTTTCGGCTTTTGGATAGAAGCGTATGTAGGCAATCAGTATGGGAGATAATGGGAGGGTTGGTGATGTCAGTTTCTAGAATATTCATTCATACCTTCAAATGCAACTAGTTCGGCACCTGTCAACATTTAACCTCTTGTGCCTAAGCCAAATAATCTCCGCGAATCCATCGCTGTCAGCCATCAGCCCGATTTCTTACCCGCTAGCCTGCCATTTACTTGCATTTCACTAACACGGCCTCATCCCCCGCCAAAGTAAGTAGCTTAAATCCGTCGCGAGCGCGACAACTGGCGAAAAGATCCGCTTCAGCTAGTTTGAGCGCCAGTACGGAGTAGAAGAATAGTAAAAGCTGCAACTATACAGTTTTTTTGCGATCGTATAGCTTCGTATTCACAAGACAAGTCATTTGTCGGGCCCGGTTGCCAAGAACGGCAATGCTTAGCAGCGAAAAGTTGGATACGGCAGTGACTGCGTTAAGCCGGTAAGCTGGTCAACGGGCCAATGAAGAATCAAGGATGGGCAGTTTTGCCTCCAAAAGTCATGCCATGTAATGGCTTAAGAGGGAAAATTCTTCTACGGGGAGGACAGTTGACGATCTGGAGCTCGAACAAGTGCCGAAGTTAAATAAGGGCCAATGGACGGCGATGGATCATGGGAGCCCGTCTTCAACTCACTTTTGCCAATCTGCAGGCTCTCAACCGACAGCTCAATCTCAATCACCGCGGCGCAATGGCTGAAAACATCCTCGTTCTAGGTGCTGGCGAGCTTGGCCTCGCCGTTCTGGAGGCGCTCGCCAGACACCCCAAGCGCAACCACGGCAAAATCACCGTCATGATGCGGCAGGCCACGCTGGACTCTGCCGCGCCCGATAAGAAGAAGCTGATTCAGCAAATCAGGGCGCTGGGCGTCGGCTTTGAGGCGGCTGATGTGGTGCAGGCGTCGGTGTCGGAGCTCGCCGCCATCTTCACCAGATACGACACGGCGGTGTCCTGCAACGGCATGGGCCTGCCGTCAGGAACGCAGACCAAGCTGTCGCGGGCGGCGCTCGAGGCAAAGGTGCGGTGGTTTCCCTGGCAGTTTGGCATGGACTACGACGCCATCGGCCTGGGCAGCTCGCAGGACCTGTTTGACGAGCAGCTGGGCGTGCGAGCGATGCTCCGGGCCCAAGACACTACGGAATGGATCATCGTGTCGACGGGCCTCTTCATGAGCTTCCTCTTCGTTGCCGAGTTCGGCATCGTCGACTTGAGCACCAGGACGGTGCGCGGGCTCGGCTCGTGGGACAACAGCATCACGCTGACGACGCCCGAGGACATTGGCCGGGCCACCGCGGAAGTCGTTCTGGATCCTCAGGGCCTCAAGAACCAGTGCGTCTACGTGGCGGGCGACACTCTCACGTACGCGCGGGTGGGCGACCTATTGGACGAGCGCTTTGGCGTCCAGTTCCGGCGCGAGCTCTGGGACGTGGACGAGCTGGCCAAGCAGATGCGCGAGGATCCGGACAACACAATGGTCAAGTACAGGGATACGTTTGCTCAGGCCAGGGGGGTGGCTTGGGGCCAGGACAAGACGGTGAATTCGGCGCGGGGGATGAAGATGACGGACGTGAAGGCGTATCTGGCGGCGATGGACGTGAGCCTGGACGAGGCACTGTGATTGATTGATTGATTGATTGATTGCGCTGTAATGGGTGAATGTCATGTATCATCATCCTCGTCTTTTATCGTGCCTGTTTGTTAGTAATAGAATGAATAGAACTGAATGAAACGAAGCGCGATTCCGGTATCGCAAATCCGGGGTGTTATCAGCGTTATCGCCCGGCCTTATCGGCGATGAATGAATGCAGTGCTACACACCTTGATGGGTTCAGCATAGCAGTTAGTAGGTACTCCGTACATGCAGAGTCTATAGATTGTGATGATGCTGTACATTGGACGAAACCTGCAGCGCTCATGGATGGCACACTGCATAAATATTGCCTGAAGCTCATATTGGGCATTTTCCTGTCATCGTCGGGTCGCGTCACAGCTGGCAATGTGAATAAGAATACGAACCTGCTCTACACACACACACAGCCCAGCCCATATCGGCATGCTCCGTGCTCTCTGCATCAGACGCGACAATCCTGTCTCCAGCATCTCCTCGGCTCCGGTCTGCTCCGTATGCATTTCCTCTGAAACAATACTCGTACCCCCCATACATGCAGGCTACGATATTTGCCGCGGATCTAAATCACACAAAGGCGACGGATGGGACGGTTCGAGCACTGGTACTTGTTCAAGTATGGAGCAACAAGAGCAACGTTGCTCGTATGATTGGTGCTCTCGAGACAAGTTCACTACTAAGGTAGGTACTAATAGCCGTTCATCATCTGAACGGGAGCAAGAGGAAATGGCGGTCTCGGCCCCCTTTGATAATGTCCATATCCTGCCCATCCCCCCCACAACCAAAGTCTCTACCCCGTAATATTGCCTTTGTTGCTAGAATCATTCGAAATGTCTGTCTGCCTCTTGTCCTGTTCACATGGTACGCGAGCTGGCGAAGAGCCTCGGGATCGAGGTTGAAAGCGCTGGTCTCGTGGCTATGAATGACTCTCGTGGGCCACTGCAGCCTGGAGAGCCCCCTAATGATAGCTGGAGCTAGGCTGTCATTGTGAGACATGGAAGACAAACAACCTTGAACCCATTCAAGCCGCAGATAACACAAGGGTCGCCTGGCAGTGCTAGTAAGCCACTGATAGCGGCTGTTCGCCCCCATGTGAGGCGCGCGGCATCGGCCCAAACGCAGCCGGCCATTTTAGGCTCCGGGGAAGCATCCTGCAGCTGATGGCCCCGGCTATGGCTTTGTCTTCTCTCCGTACCGCACGGAGTACATTTGGTACCAATGTCTGCCCAGTACGAGCATTTGCTGCTAGCGAGTGAAGACTGCAGCTGAGCAAAGATAAGCATCAGTGCCTTGGTAAGATGAGATGGAAGCGGCTTATGATCTCGGAAGCGGATAAGGGTCCGGAGCATGTACTTGTACCGCGTCTTCTACAGAAACCGGGTTCTTCCAGCAAGATGCATTACAGCTGGACTGCACTGTACTGGTAATGATGACACTGGCATTGGGCAAAGGGGCTGCATGTTCGTGTCCCAATCCCACGCCGCTGGAAACGTCGACTAAAACTACCGCGCAGCAACTTTGGGCGCTATTGATAGCAAGTATCAGTACGTGGCGCATCACCATCGCACCACGGGACCCCAAGTACTCAGCACCTCTCCTCCGATATGACGTGGGAGATACGCTGGTACCTGGCGGTGTCCACCCCGTTCCCTGTACTCCGCACTCCCCATGCATGCAGGCCTCTCACGCCGCTTTCCTCTTCCGGCGTCTGCCTCCTATTCTGCCCCCGTATCCTTACCGGTGACACACCTATTCATCATCGTCCACACCTTCTTTCACCTAGGCACAAAGGCACAAGCATAACCATGACTGCACTGTACGAGTTACGGCACGCGCCAAAGTACTGCTACTCGTGCGCCATCCTTCCCGTCAGCCTCGCAATGGGCGCTCTTCCGCTTCCAGCCAACAGCCCCTTTTCCCGAGGGCCGTCTCTGTTTGGCCAACTGCGCCACCAGCCCGGCCAATCCTTGGAATAGAGTGAGTCACGTCATGCGCTCGTCCAGGCGCAGCCAGATGACTCTTCCCAGGGCCAATCAGCATGCCATCTCCCAATCGAGTAGGACATGATATCAGCAAGACGGCAACTGATATAAGATTGTCTGCTGGGCCGGGGGTGGCCTGCTAGAGCCCGTTCTTTGTCTTCTTTGCTGCTTCTACACGGCTCTTTGAGCTTCTACTCGTACTTCAAAAAGGCAAACACGAACCAATCCCTCCTCTGGGCGCGCCTTATTCCTTTGAGTGCGCCTTCTACCACAAACCGTCACTGCTTCACTGCGTGTCGTTTACTTCGTTTGTCATCTACGTACCCCTTCGTCCTTAGTACACGCCCTGGTAAGTGGTCCCCTGCCTTGGATTCGTGTTAGTCTTTCCCATCTCGACTGACATGGCACCCCTTTCGACAGTTCATCACTTCTTCCTACGCCCTATACAGGTCGTCTTCCATCACATCTTCGCATTCGACCGTCTTCTATTTCCATCCGACCAGCTTCGACGCTTCTCTCTCATATCTGTCCACTACAATAATCGCATACCTACTTAAAGCCATCATGGATGTCATCATGGATCACAAGTCATTCTCATCCCCCGCCGTCAAGCGTCGCCATGTCCAGTCCAAGCGCGGTGTCCTCCGGCGCCGTGGTACCAATTACCTGGTCAGGTCTACTGCGAAGCGCTTGATGGAGTCCAAAAGCCACGCCATCTACCATCAGTTCTCCTACCAGGATAGCTTCAGACGTCCCTGCCTCTCCGGTGTGTGGGAGGCTCGGCGAAAGGATGCCGGCTCTTTCGAGGCTCCGCGTCCTCTTCGAGCAGACGTCGAGTGGGACATTCGCGACGTCTTAGCCGGTGTTCGTGAGCAACAGCGCAAGCGGGAGACCCGCGCTCCCCACGTATCTCCTCGGAACGAAGAGCAGGAGGGTCGGGATCTTGCTCGCAGCGAAATTCCGCTCCCAAGTGACGTTCCTCGTCTTATCAGACGGCCCAGCCTGGAGCGTGAGGAGGCTTTCCGAGTTGCCAGCACTGCCAAGGGCAAAGTTCACCTACGCGCTTCCCCCGAGAGTGAAGATGCGCAGATCGCGGAGCTTTACCAGCAGGGTCTTCTCTACGACGGCGACGAGCAGCGCCCTGAGGAAATCTTCAACCTCAACAGTATCCAACACGAGGCCCCCGTGTATACCATTCGTCCTGCGAAGCGGGGCCGCAAGTCCAAGAAGGCTAAGCCTGCAGCCCTCGTTCTATCCTATACCGACGTTGGCGAGTGTAGTACCGAGGCAAACGCTTCAACAGCTCGGCGTTCAGCTGCTGACGACTCAGAGACAAGCGAGGCCTTCCCTCCTCTGAGAATCGTCTACGGGCAGAACGCGTCAAATCCAACATTTGACGTCGAGACATCTCAACCCCCAGAGCTGATGCTCGACCTCTCTGATTACGATTGCTTTACCGACAGTGAGCTTGACGATGATGTGCCGTCCCAGACGGAGATTGTGGAGAACGCAAACAACCCAACCTCAGAGACTTGGATCATGCTGGGTTGATCGACTCGCAGCAGGTCTGCTTAGGATCCCCCCGTGCTCCGCCGGGATTTGGAAACTGGACAGGTGGGAGAGCCTCACCTCAGACTGGTCCATCACACAAACCTGGCATGATTCCTTTTCTCTCTCGGCGTTTTTTTTGTTCTACTTCGTTTTCGGGTGGGATTGGGTTTTCGAGGATCGGGATAGATATTGTATACTACAGCCTGCATAGCGAGTGGTGTACCAGCAGATCCACGACGGCAGTTTGCGTTCCCTGCATGGGATGAGCGATGGTGCATTTTTCTTCTTCTTTTTCTTGTTCTTCTCGCTTGGATGATAATGAACTTTTCAAGTAGTTGTTTAGTCAATGATGCGTCGCTATCACGCGCGCATTAATTCATTATTATTACCTTCTCAATTCTTGTTTACCGTAAAGATGAAGCACACTTAAAGTGATGTATGGGCCATTGACATAATGTAAAGATGCTGAGGACTGTACAGTCAGTGGCGTGGCAGAAGTCTTCAAGGCCCTCCTGATTTTGGCCTATCCGGAAGTATGACATACAAATGAAGTCAAATGCATATGTTAAGCCGCGGGGCCTGCAGAGTGAGTTGCACGGCTAATTTGAAGAATGATGAAAATAGATTAAGATCCGGTATGTCGCTCTGCTGTCTTAGTTAACCGCCATAGGAGAAGAAAGCATAGAATTCTCAAGCTAAGTCAGCTACAGTATCGCATACGAAAAGTTCTTCATAGAAAGATCACAGGGCCTTACAACGATGAGGATAGACAGGACAATGTGAACCAAAGATTGGTCTTCTACATTAAAAGACTGGTGATTTACTTCGAATCGCTTTTCTCAATTGTGGATATCAATTCGTCGGCCTATTATTTCGCTGTCTCTTCCCCCCCTTTCTTCTGACCCATATCTCTGGTAACAAGCTGAAAGGCGCAAAACTCTCTGTGTTTTGCTATGCTGATCTATGTATTTGGTGATTTGCTTATTTGATTAGCTATGCGTCTGAATGAGTCGAACTACGGCTGGTGCCCGATAGTAATCTATACTTCCCAAAGTAACATGAATCTGTGTCAGATTCAAGGGGAAACCGGCGCGTTAATGCACCATCGGATACCGGATCCATGAATGATGTTGTATATCAGCAATAGTTAGTTTAGGGACGGCTTATCAAACCCACCCCTAGGCATCTTTCGCGGTCGGAGTAAGTTCTGGGATTTCTCCTTTCTCAGTAAAGGTGAAAGAAGTACTGGATCATCAATCCAAGGATTCACCGCTGATATCAGCATGTGTACCTATTACTATACCGTAGTGTTGGCATGGGAAAGAAAAACGAGGTTACAGTCCGAGTTTCGGCGAATGATTGAGTGTTGCTACCGCATCACCGGATCTCTCTAGCTTCTGGCCCACTATCTTAATGTTAGTAGTAAGCAGCTACTGCAGAATCTCGCAACATTCGTTTGGGGGCCGTTCTATATAAGGGGACATGCTAACTTGAGAAAGTCAGCCTATTACTTCTCTCGATCAAAACAAGGTATAACTATGGGGAGACCTATAAACGAATATTGCGAGGTTCTGCAGTAGCTGCTTGTAACAACATGATTCAACAACTCGGGGGCTGCGGGCATACTTCAACTCTACAGGTATAAGTATCAGCTCATCTCGTAAACATCAGACCATCTCATCTAAGAAACCATTACCATCCTCTCATCTCTTCTTTTTGCTTCTACGCAACTCCACGTATCATTGTTCAAACAGTGCCAACTTCCAAACCTCAACTCCAAAACGTATTTCTCCAACGTCTCAGTCGCAGTTCTCGCCGCTCTTGTTGCTTCTGCCGTGGCGAACCCTATTCCAGGTAACAAAAACAGAGACTCTGTACTATTGGCGGTTCTAACATTGTACGACGCAGTGAAGGCTCCTACTCCCCAGGGTGTTGACACTGCCGAGATCTTTGCTTAAAATACAGCTATATAAGTTGTCGGATCATCAGACGTAACAACATTTGTCCCAAAGATACTGTATCCTAGTTGTTAGACAGAGATAGACAATGTTTTAAGAGAGAATTGACCGCAACCTTGATGAGCAGATAGTTGCATTGTGAAAGTTAACGATACATGTAATTAGGCTTTTACCATTGATAGCGTCTAGTCATCTCCGGTGGTTCTACGGCGGTGTTGTACTTTCGCCAAGACGTAGCGGTGAGAAAGCCTAAAATAACCAGGTGGAAGCAATGTTTAGAAATCCATAAGATGAGCATGCGCTTCATAAAACGAATGATGCTTGCAGAAGTTTTGCAGGCATTGGTAACTTGGCGGGGGTTGGAGAATACCTGACCAACACGTGCTGAAGAGGTTGGAGCTCTGCCCGGAGTCAGTTGTCAATTAATCAGATCCTCGTTCAACTACTTCGTCGATGAAATGCCAAACAAATTAAACGATTCATTTCAATTAGTCGAGATATATCTACTCACAGTTAAAGCTAAAATCCTTACTTGTGGAACCTCAGCTATTTTGGATTTGTCAACTCATCATTTATTTAGTTTCAAAGCATGTACAACCAAGAGCCTTCAACCGACTCTTAGCTTTAACAGTAAGTCATCGCCGCTTCTGATATAATTTTAGACTACGATGACAAAGACAAAGGTGACTGTTGATAAAGCTTCAAGCTATTTGCTCTTCAGACACGTAACACTCTAGTTACAATAATCCAAGATGTTTCTCAGGTTGTCAAACGAGTTGATTTATTTTCCTAGCTAGCCAAAATTGACCCCAAGCTAAATCGTTTTTGAAATCTTCAGGCTTATGCAACTCTGCCCTCAAGGTAGATCCAACTCTAACCAATCTTTCGGATTTTGAAAGAAAACGCCTCCTAGCTGCTCAATCAATCGGCATCGATGTTCCATATCAAAAGCATTGTAAACGATACCGACACCTCTTGCGACAGCCTCATCTTCAGTTATATTGAGAACCCAGACTCCACCTTCAGCCGGCCAACCAACTTTGATGAAGGGCTTGTCCAGACGTTGATCGACAGCCCGTTTGAGTTGCATCATGTGCCAGTCTCTTTCACTCTTCCACCAGATGGCACCTAATTGCCTCACCACATATTCAAATTAGCGTCTTCCATTAATCTCAAACAAAGTTGTAAAATCATTAAAGTGTTACCCAACGTTTCTCCGAATTCAAGGTATTTGGGTATCCAGGAGAGAAAGGAGAAAAGCGCATGTATGAACTCCTAAACAAGTAGAAATATTCCATTGTACTTAATCCGATTGCAGTGCGCCTCTTCTTCAGCTATGGCGGTAGGGTCAGATTGAGATGGTTGAGGCGTATCGTGAAATTTGTCGAGCTTGAGAAAGTCCAGTTCGATATTGAAGCATCGTTCCAATATATATACGCCGCCCTTGGATGGCCATCCCCAGACTGAAACGCCTGGGCCCCTACCAAACCTGTTTCTGAGTTTCTTCTCTTCCCTGTCGTCACATGAACAACCTCCCACCACATCTATTCACATTTCGGCTTGCTCCTGTTCCCTAGTGGTCGGTATTGATACCGTTGGCTGATGAAAGAGGACGCAGATCGTGGCAAATGCTGTTACGAAAGCAACAAGGTATGAGAGGAGACGAGTCATTGCGAACACTTATTTATTGCAGCGAGCTGGTGAGTTGAGGGCCTTAAAAGAGAGGAGGAAGATGTTGAATGCATACGTGACAGCCGCGGTGCACGTCCTAAACCGGCACAGCGGTGGGTGTAGTTAAGCACGTAAACAAGGATACTTACGTAGGTATTTTGGTGCGTAGGTTTGTTGGTGTGACACGCTGAAATGATCCAATGAGGTGTTGTAACGGAATTCACGGACCTATTAGTTACTTGACAAATTATTGTCTTCTACAAGTATACTCGCCACCTAGTATATATTTGTTCTAACGGCAGAAATTGCAACTCATGGTAGACCCAACATAGTGTTGTTAATCTTGTTACTAACATACATGTAACCAACTAGGTGGGTTGACTGGATTGCTATTGTCCTGGATGTTGTCACGGGCCACCGTGTGGCTCTTGAGTAACAATCACGAGTATCAATGACTGTGTTCTGAGCTTAGAGTCAGGTGGTCTATACCTGGAGAGTGGACATACGTGGATACATTATAGTGTAAGTCACTAATTCAAGTCCTACATATTGCCAATTATGGTTATAAACAAGTTAAATGAGTACTAATTTGTTGTTACAGTGCGCTCTACGTTATCGTAACCCTTTAATTCTGGACCAGATACCTATCATGTAAGATATAAAGCACTATATAAAGTCAGTTAATCCCCATTGTTAGATAAGAATGGGATACCCAGCATGAAGGAGTGATTTGAAGTTGAATTCTTGGATGAAGAGCACTGTTGCAATGTTAGCTGCAATCTGTACGTACATTCTCATCAAGTCGGGCGACTCGAGCGCTAGTCTAGCCACCAGATGTGGCATCACAGCAGCAAACTTTGCAAAGTATAACCCAAGGTCAGCGTTCTCGCTTTGCTCTACTCTCGAGATAGGACAGCCTGTGTGTTGTTCCTCTGGCTGTCTGCCCGATCCCATTCCACCGAGGAGTCCGGATGGAACCTGAGCTACTTATACTGTCAAGAGCGGAGATTACTGCGCTCTCGTTGCTGACCAAGACAGCGAACCTAATGAGGGACAAATCTCACAGGATTCACCCGAGGCCGACCCCGACTCGTTAGACATAATGGTGGAGAAAATATTGAACGCCAAATTACTACTTGCATATGTGTACGGAGCGAGATGATATTAACTCAGTCGAGCATAGATAGTACATACAATTTTGCTGTAGTACACACGGTGAATGACAATGATTATTGACTGGGAAAGAGTGTAATGATGGCCATTTATACCACGACTTGTTTATTCTGAGATCAGCCCAAGAATGCTTTCTCTATAACGGCTGCCCGTCTGGTTTGAGTCTAGGAATTCCAAATTTCTTTTATTTTTCAAGTCAAGCTATTTACAACTGCCGCAGTCTCCTAATTCGCATCCTTGTTGAGTCCAAGATCAAATAACAATGAGATTCTACCTACAACTCTTCGTGGGGGGCAAGTTATTAGTCTAAGAAGTCGATTATTTGGAATTTGGAATTTGGAATGATAAGTGGGGAAAGCTGCTGAGCAAGTTATTCGGATCTTTCCGTAAACTAACTCCGGCGTCAATACGCACGGGAAAAGTGCCGATAAGCATGAACAATCGCGGACCAACACGGAATCGAGTATTTGGATTAATGAAATGACTTCTCCGTACTTCTTGCGCCTTTCCCCAAAACGAAAGCAGTGCCCCGTAGCTTCCGGCATTTCCTTCCAGAATCCTGGCGCCCAACGACCGAGGGATCAGGAGAAATCGTTCAACCCCACTCTTGCTGACAGAATCTTTCTTGTTGTAAACTACAGACGTACGGAGCTCGGAGTACAGAGTACAGAGTATGAGGTCATGTTCGAGGGAAATACCCCTGCATCAGGGAGACTCAGGTTTTCAGACCGGTGAACGTTGGAGGGTAACCGCAAACAGCAATCAAGCTACAAGTCTCTATGGAAAATCGATCTCTGTGGAGCACAAGATGACAATTTCTGAAAGAAGCGAATACTAGTATAGGGATGACGGTCGGGCATTGAATTGAAACCGAGCCGACTTGGTTGATAATAGTGTATACGAAATAGGGAGGAAGACTCATGAGAATTTCATGAATGATGGAATATATAAGCCTGCTGAGGTTCCGACCAATACGTAGCTTCTCATTCACAAGCATCATTCTCACCATCAAGTATTGCTCTCCTCGCACTTTTCTCTCGAGATATCATGTTCAAATCAGTGGCACTCTTGGCTTTTGCCACAGCCATTGCGGCCCGAAAATGTCACGACCTCACCATTCCAATCTCCATTTCAGCTCGAAACGCCGTCTTTGACCTTCCACCTCTTGTGTCAGAGCTTGATGTCACTACCTTCTTTCTTGATCTTGTTCGGTCAGGTGTCAATGCCACCGATAGATTTCTAACAGGAGTAAGAATAACACCTCCCTCCCTATCTAAGGACAGCTTTGATGATGCTAACAACATAACCCTTCCTCAAGTATAAAACTGTCAGCGGCCATTACAATATCGCCGCCACCTACTGCCAGCCAGACCATGGCCCGGGTAAAACCCTTCAGATCTTGACACACGGCGTTGGTTTCGACCGCAGCTACTGGGATTACCCCTATGACCACTACAACTATAGCTACGTTGCCGAAGCCGTTGACGAGCATGGTTACTCGACCTTTACCTGGGACCGCCTCGGTGTTGGCGCCTCCTCCAAGGGCAACCCAATCAATGAGATCCAAATGTTCCTTGAGGTTTCTGCTCTCACAGAGCTCTCAACACTGCTTCGCAAAGGCTCTGTGAAGGGGATCAATGCTAAATTCGACAAATTTGTCCACGCTGGCCATTCCTTTGGATCCGCCATAACCTACAACTTCGTCAACGCCAACCCTACCTTTAGCGATGCTGCCATCTTGACCGGTTTCAGCCAGAACCCAAACTTCATCAGCGGCTTCGCCCTCGGAGGCAATTTCAAGCCTGTAAAGGAGGTCCCTTCCCAAGCTGCCAAGTACCCCACTGGCTACATTACGGTGCCGTCAAGTACTGGCGTCAATATTCAGTTCTTTGCTCCCCATGACTTCGATCCTAAGCTACTCACATATGTCGCTTCACACGGCCATGCCACTACCCCCGGCGAGATACTTACCGTCGGCTCTGGTACTGGTGCTGTCAACACCTTCAAGGGCCACCTTCTCATCGTCACAGGAAGTAGGTGTTTCCATCTCTCGGCATGTTTGAAATCATTACTAACAACTGTGACTACAGATGAGGACGTGCCTTTTTGCGGCGGCAACTGCTCGGACACGACCACTATTCAGGGAACTTTCCCCAATCTCATTTCCTTCTCCCAACAATTGTTTCCCCATGCCTCACGCTTCAAGGCAAGTGTCATTCCTGGAGCTGGCCACGGCCTCAACTTGGGATACTCGCACAAGCTCGCATACAACTCCATATTCGACTTTCTTGAATCTTCTTGTTAGGAAACACGTTAGATAAGGGTTGGGAGGTTGGAGAATGCGGTCGACTCTATTGGTACTGCTCTATAACTATAATATATTAGATACTAGAAGAATCTTCACTAGATTCATTAGAATGCGGTAGATATAGATTCTTGCATAATATATGTTTTTCTTTCCACTGAGCATACTCAAAGCGCTTGTATGTGAACTGGGGTTATCACACGTTTGGATAGAGAGTGCATGTTGCAATGAAACAAGATGTTTTCAACGAGCTGAAACCAGCACTAAAAGTCTACTAGAAAAGTGTTCCTATCGACAGAAAAATAATAGCGTGCTCTCAAAAGGAGAATCATACCAAGAAGAAGCTGTGATATTCAAGATTGTAGTCAGTCTTCTGGATAGTGGTTTTACTTCTTCCTTCACAGAAACGGTATTCGGTAGCGAAGCAAATATTCGTGAGACCCAAGAGCAACTTACTTGGCTCGTTCTCGTCCGGAGACTTGAGCGATAGACACCCGAAAATACCGTAAAACACACACGTCAGTTAGACGAACTCAACGACCTGGCGCTTGGTCACGTCTTTAAGCCGCCCTCATGTAACGGTTCCACGACTATAATTAAGCTTACATGGATCAGTCTTTCCGGACGAGGTCAATCCAATGGTTATAATTAGGCTCTTGTAGGTTAGTCGTACGACATGCAAGACGGAAGTTTCCAGGGTCCCATCACGATAATCGTGAATATATGGTGTGTGTCACAACGATAATGATCCCGTCACACATGTTTGAGATAAAGAAGCCAGAGCAAGTAACGATTCATCAACCCGTAACTAAATATATAGGCTTTATATTTTCATTTGGGTAGTTGCATTAACGCGCGGTTATGCCTGTTAATTATATGACTGCTGTGGTAGAGAGGCAAAAGGAGAAGCAATGTATGGCATCTCCTTAGATGGGGCGAAGCAGAATGTGTTATACAAAGACTTCGTAGCCTCAACGCTTGGAAACTTGTTGCTTTAAGCCAACATATTCGTATGAGATGAATAGCCACCAACATCTCTTGTACAATGAGGTAAAACAAAGGGCGGTGTCGTTGAAGAGTAGGGAATCAAGATAACGGCGTCAGCTAGACCATAAAATTATATATAATCCAGGAAGCCATGCTGAATCTATTTCTCTAAATTGTAGGATCATTATATTCACTATCATTTGCTCATATTGTTCTACTAACTTGTATCTGCCATGTGTGAGTTGCTCGCCAAAATGAGAAAATTCTATATTAATCAATCTGTTAGACCATCACATTTTCGCACTTCTCGCCATAGCAGTTGTACTGTTTCCAACCCCCGTGGCATCTTATACATACTATCAGGACCCCGAATCCTGTGATCTCGTTGGCGATCCCGACATCTATGGCATTGGCATCCGGGCCTCCATCTATCTCCAGTCCCTCACCGCGGTCCTTGCACATCTAATCCCATCGCCTGATGGATTATACACTCAGCGGATTGGTTCAAACTCAATTACAACAGCTATTGTATTCAACTTTCTGAAAGACATTCACCGCAAGGGTTTTGTTTATCTTGAATTCTGGATTATCGTCGCGTTATTGCAAGTCATGTTGTGGGTCTGTAACTTGATCACTTGCATTTTTGTTTTGGGACCAGTATGGGAAGATATTAGTGAGTATAAAGCCACTCCTTTGTCGAACTTGACAACCAGATAAATATGAGAAAAGAAATATGTCTTAATCTCGTCCATCATGTTAGGTATCCAGCCACTTGATCCCGGATCAATAATTGGGGTTTTATTTTTCCGCATAACGCCGAAACCTGGAGCAGATAAAGTGATCTTCTGGACAACGTTGAATCAGTCGCTGAAGACTATAGGCTACATCAACATAGCTTGGACACTTCTCCTCTTATTGACCCTTTCAGGAACACAGTTTTGGCTCTATTTCACGGCCATACAGTGGGGTTATCACCAAAACTGCACAGCCAAGATAAATTTCTATGGCAATTTTGATCCATACAATGAGGACTGGGTGAACTTTCTCAAGGCGGGCTGCATTCTATCAATATTACTAATCATCTCTCTGGCCTATAACTTTTTGGGGCTGTATTTCATGCGTCTACTCGCATTCTTTCTCAAGCCTGGACGAATTCGTGAAGATGGGCCTTGGACTATCCTTTTTGCTCCATTTATGGCGGTAAAGAAGCGGTTACTCGGTCCCTTTTGCGCATTTTTGGACATGCCCAACTGGTTTTATAAAACAACGCCTCTCAGCAGTCCTGGTTATATGGCTTCCCTTCGCTTGAAGGTAGTATGCATTGGTTTCGGTTCTCTTGCCCTTTTATCCAGCATAGTGTGGACAGAAATGACGATCCATGCCAATAACATCGATCTATCTACGGCTACCATCTCGTCATCAAGTCAGCTCATGGCACTTATAGTTGCGGCATTCACTTCAATACCAACATTATGGAACGTCTTTATTGTATCTCTTAAGGGCAACAAAGAGAAGATGGACGAGAATACTCAATACGAGAGTACTTCAACCATTGAAGTCGCTGATGTCATTGATCTACGGAATATGGAATCAGAGCCACGGAGCGTTGGCTCGACGGTTGTCGAAAGTGATGTGGTGGACGCTGGCAATATTGTTTAACTTGCTTGTTATGGCTTGGCTAAATCACCACTGGAAATGATGTTGAAGATATGGTTAATAGGGTCGAGAGGGGAATGTGATTTTATGTGCTGATCGATAGATCAATTTGAACAGTTTTACGGAATCAGGGCAAGTGTAGCAAATAAACGAAAGGCTTATAACCAGGAAGCAAGAAATTCCCTTTGAAAAGAGGTTGTTTTCCTATATCTTTGAATAATAGGTGACGGTCGGTGTGATATTACGATCTCTATGGTATCCGTGGGGGGGGGGGGGGGGGGGGGGGGGGGGGGGGGGGGGGGGGGGGGGGGGGGG